AAAAGAAAAAGAGGCGCGAAGACAAAGTGGTGTAAATTTAAAGAGTTGGGGGGGGGCAAAATGTCCCTGCCCCCCTCTAAAACTGATAAATCGAGAATGTGTTGAGAAATACAAGCATTTTTTTGCAAAAAAAAAAAATTTTGGCACAAAATTTCCCCCCCCCCCCCTCTAGAAAAAATCCTGGCGACGCCCATGTGCATTTCCCTTCCATGGCAGCTGGCGCGAAAGCGAAAGCGAACGCGAATTTGTGACGTGATGGCAAGTATTCGCGCTGCGAATTCTTAAAAGTTGAACATATTTCAACTCGGGCGAATTTTACAGCGAATGTTTCATGACGTCAAATAGTCGCTTCGTATTCGCATTCGCGTGGAGTATGAACCGGGCGCGATATTTTTTATTACACAACTATCTGGGGTACCTTGTGCGCTTTCCTATGGGGCATGGTTATCCACTAGGCAACAGCGGTGCTCGACAATTCCGCAATTCCTAAATTATATACATTCGCACATGTGGAGAGAGCATACGCGCGCGCGCGTAGGTAAAATGTTACAGGATTGTACGCGGCGCTCTACAATCCTATAACCTTGATTCAAGTCGCCTAAAAAAATGGTCACCCTGTACTATTGTGTAAAAAAAATATTCGCGAACCGGGCTTAACTCGCGGCTGTGAATTATTGATCTCACGGCCGCAACTTATTAACTCGCGACCGCAACTCCCCCTCTGGCCGTTGCAGTTGTGTGAATTCGCAGGCAATGAAAAGGTCAGAATTTCCTCGGTCAATGTGTGGATTGGCGCATTGATGATAGGCCACCGTATATTTCGTTGGTACGGAAGCCCGTTAGGGCCAGGTACCTCTTTCTCTTTCACGGCGGTGCGTTCCTCTTTCACGGTGGTGCGTTTCTCTGGCGCAGCTGCGAGTTGGGGAGTCACCAACCTCATCCCCAGGGTGTCGAGCAGTACGCGCCCACCACTACCTGCTCTCTCACCCTGGTATTGGATCATTTGCATGTGCAAGATTTTTGCACACGTATGCAAATGAGGAACAGTCTGGTGCCTGGAAATGCGTTACACATTAGCGTTTGTTTTTGTATGCGGTGTCTGGGGTAAAAACAGAGTCAATTCGTAGCAGCGCGAGCACGGCGTGAGTTACGAAAACACGATTTTTGAAATCAAACTGTTACGATCTTATCGAGACAACATGCAGTATCATATTTCATATTAATATGAGCAAATTGGAATGGAAATTAGTATTTTTTAGAAGGCATGGACGAATGATCGCGAAAACACGTACTGCACGTTGTGAATATATAACACCAAGTACACGATAAAAATCCATTACTAGCCAATTGCGGTATCCAATCAGGATACAGGAAGAAAGTTTCCTATCCAGGGTTTACTATTGGAAACACGGTTGGAAATAAAGTAAGCACTGGGGACGAGGTTGGGGAGTCACAGCCCGCGAGTTACACGTTATGAAAGCAAGGCCAGCTACCATGGAAGAGAAATGCATCGCCGTGAACTTGGTACCTGGCCCTAACGAGCTTCCGTAGTAAGTAACCTCTTCACCTGAAGGGTGGGAAATCCGCCATTTTTGACGTCCAGCACGACGCTCGATCGATTGATGGTACAGTATGTACAACTGCATTATGATTAAGGTATAGTCCGAAGGTTCGATAGTCCGAAGGGGCGATAGTCCGAAGTGTACATTAGTTCAAAAATGGAGTAAGGTTAAATAATCCGAAGGTTCGATAGCCCGAAAACGTTCGATAGTCCGAATCGACAATAAGGTTCAACAGTCCGAATTGACATCATTGAACATTACAGTCAATTAGGACTATTGAACCTAGCGCGCTTTCGGACCAATAAACCTTCAGATTATCGAACCTTCGGACTATATGCACCGCCGCCGACTATATCGCATCAACATGCTCGGATTATCGAATCTTATTTCATTTTCGGACTGATCCCCGGGCATGGGAAATTTGTGTGTTTCAAACCTTCAGACTATCCCACCTTCGGACTATTGATTGGCCCCGCTTTTTTTTCTGCATTTTCTTGAAAATGTAATGAAATATTATTCGGGTATGAGAAAAGTGTGCTCAGACTTTCAAAGCTTCTGATCAATAAACCTTCGGACTATTGAACCTTCGGCACAATAAACCTTCGGACTATTGAACCTTCGGACTATCGAGCGGACTTCATTCATATTGGGTTTATAAACTACGATTGGTATCGGACGGTTAAATATTAATGACGATTCTCGGCTCGGAGCGCTATATTAAGCCCGCCCTCTGTTGGCAAATGTTATTTCGTTAATTCCGAAGTCCAACCTCCCACAATTAAAAAAAGCTACATGCTGCCATCATTCCCACACACAGGTGCACAAACCGGCACTATTTCCACAGACACCATGTTGACACCAGGATTATCCTTTCCCCGAACGTTTCGGCTTAATGAAGTTCGATCACGTACGAGCCAACACAATCTGTTCTTAGTTCAGCGTAATTAAAGTCATGCTTGCATAAAGGTCGTCAACTATCAAGTAGGCCTATGATTACAATATTCAGAAAAAGGATAAAAATTGGTCAAGTTTTGAACTAATGGCTGAAACTAGTTCGATGAATTTATGTTTCTTAATTCGATGGACCTCAACTCAGTCAGGCCCACCTACTAAGTGAGACACGGGACGCGTGGTTTGTCTCGATGCACTTTAGCCTAACCATGGAGCTATTATAGTTCCATGGCCTAACCTACTATATTTTAGACATAGTGTAGGCCTATTGACATTTTCTCACTGGCCAAAAATGCTCACATTTTCTGCAAATGCAACCCTCGTCTTACCCGTTTACACTTCAGAAAAATTTAAAGATCTGCAACATCCTTGAGTGCCAGTTGGCGTATCTAGGTTTGAGGGTCCAAGGGGGTGGGGATAAACGGATTTTCTTTTTAATCTGAAAAGGTGGCCCCCTTTTTGTTTTGTAAAACTGGTTGAAAGCGGAGAAAAATGATACAAATAATGGTTGTGACATTGAGCTTTCTTTTCCTACAAAAATGTATATAGGGGGAAAACAATGCCTTGGACACTGCTTAATCTTATCCGTAATACATGTAAAAATAAACGCGCTGAATTTACCTTGGACCAATTTTGTCCAGTAGCCACCCATACAAGAGCTATAGTAAAACTCGATTGGGGTACACGCCGCGCCTACATATAAAAGAGAGGAGGAAACCAAAATAAAAGGGGCTCTATCCTATTCTCTCGGCAAATCCTGTTCCCATGAAAAAAAACAATCTATAGACACGTTTGTTTAGCATGTATAATATTTCACATGGGCAGATATCGGATAGTGGGCAAAAACAAAACAAGGGGGTAAACGGTGCAGTCGGCACACACGACCGAAACGATGTCTCACAGTTTTGTACCAGCAGAAAATTGTCGCATTTTGTTCATATTGATGCTCGAAACGAGCGCATTGAGAGTCAAAGTGCATTTTGCATGATCAAGAAAACTTTATTTATCGCCTCTGAAGTCTCACTATTTTACAAACGTAGGGCCTAGCAATAAACAACTACGGCTATAGTTCGTTCGTTCGTAAGAAATCCATCTTTACATCTCGGCTGAATAAGGAGGTCAGACTTCAGTCAACTGATGGTGTCTTCATCTGACTCCAGGAGTCCAGGGCATGGGCGTCGCCAGATTTTATCTTTATAATGTCTTGCTATAAAAATAATTTACAAACTTCTAGAGGGGGGCAAAGCACATTTTCCCCAACAAATCCCTATATTTTCCAACATTTTCCCGATAGATCATCATTTTTTCGAGGGTGGGCAGGGACAGTTGCCCCCCCCCCCCCCCCAACCCATTAAATTAACAACAATATGACTTCGCGCCTCTTTTACTTTCTTTTTTGTCCTTTCTTTTTTTTCTCTCTCTCTCTTTCTCTCTATCTTTTTTGGTGCTTGTCGGGGGGGGGGGGGCTTTCCCCCTCCCTCGCGACGCCCATGGTCAAGGGACGCCGTGTGGAGATTTGTAGTTGGGGCAGGTATCAATGATGTGCTCTATGGTGTGGATCTCGACACACACACAGTTGGGCGATGACTCTGCTCCAATTGTGTGCAGGAATTGTACGTCCAACTCCGCGTCTGATTCTATTCAGGTTGACCCAGGCCTTTCTTGGGAGGTCACAGCCACTTGGTTTTGAAGAGGGCTCTGTAATGAACTTCTTCAGATTGGTGGTAGACGAATTCCACTGTTATTACCAGCATTCTGCTATCCAGGTGGGGGAGGCTCGAGGGGCCTCTATAGCGGCAGCTCAGCGGCTTGCGTTGGCTATAAAGTTATACTTAAAGAAAAATGCCGTCATCTGAAACACTGAAACATTCCCAACAACGTCGCTTTACTGAGCGACTATACTGAATATTTGAGAGTTACGTGCATATAGAGCGCCCTCATTGAGGACATGCCTGTGTTCCTCTGTGATACCCATGTTTAGACACTTTGCACTGTTGCAGTTATTGAATTTAGGTGGGGAAAAGACGACTACGGTGAGGGCGCTGTGTGCAAGGGGTATATGCAGTTTCACAAAAAGGGGTGAATGGATAGTGGATATATGATTGTGCATTCGTATTGGCAAAAAGGATCGACTGATGATCGAAACATTTTCGGGTTTAGACTTTCATTACCAGGTGAATTTGCACTCAAATGGAAACATTAATGAATAATTTAATTTCGTGCTTGGCACTGGCAATTACAACATTGTCCAAGACATTTTGGTGTACAGTCCAAAGCTATGTTGAGATTGACTTCTGACGAATACTAAAATTTGGAAAAAAGAGCCAATTGCAGTGGCACCTAATTTTTACTTTGCTTTCCGGTACATAATCTCCATGTCTTCTAGATCTATTCCACTTGAGAAATTCAAATCCATCCATCAAAACATGTTCCTAATGCAAACCCATCTGAGTGCAATGCAGCTCATGTCCGAAGCCTGAAACTTTGTCATACGTCTACGCTGTGTAGGTTTTTGTTTTCGCACCTACAGGAACAACATCCAAGAGTTTGGTTGGCTGTACGCTTCAAGGACCTATTGCTGTACAGGTGAGCAATAGGTAACGCACAGGAAACGAACAGAAACGCAATATTTCCAGGCAGCACCAGGTAGTTTGGTATCGGGTACAGACAGGCTAGATCTGGAATCAGGTCCATGGCCAGGAAAAACAAAGCGAAGAAACTGAGCAAGACCCAGCGGGCGATATTGAGCTTCAGCCGGCGAAATATCAAGACAGCGGCCCGGCTGAGGGTCGGGTCCGCACGGACGGTGTGTGGGGACGGCATGTCGGCGATAATACGACGCAAGTGTCGCCTCGCTATGAGGAGGAGGGAGCAGTGTAAGGCGTAGCCGATTACTGCAGGGATCAGCTTCACCAGGAGGTAGGCGCAGAAGTATACGGAGCGGGCGATGTCGTCCTTGAAGTGAGGCACACAGGCGTGCCAAGAAGACATGTACAGACCGCGCCAATCCGATAAGATGCCACAGAAGATCACAGCGAGAAGACCGATGGGTGCCATACCGGCGATGATGACTCGAGTCCGGCTAAAAGTTACCAAAACAGGATACCGAAGGGGATGCGCCAAATAGACGTACCTTTCGATCGAAAAGATGAACATGATGACCGAGAGAACTGACAGTATGGCCGCTAAGAGCAAACCCTGTACCGTGCAAATGCCATTACCAAGGATCCACTCCCCACCCGTGATTGAACTCAGTGCAGCCGTGGGGCCCAGGCACAGGGTCAGCCCCATGACAATGGTGCTAACACTCGCTACGTAGGCCTGGGTGATATCATTCCTCACGGGAGAGCGGTGAACGACTAGCAGCGAGAAAATGTTCGCAACCAGAGACAGCGGCGTTGCGACGCACCAAGACACCGCTGAAATGAAGTTGTACAGTGCATCTACTTCTTCAGCAGCTCCCCCTGTAACATTCGTCTCCATCCGAGCTAGTAAATTCTCCACATCTCAAGCGATTACGGGAAGCCGAACCTCATTGAGGACCTCTCCTCGACAAGAACTGACTGCGACTCTTCAGACATCTTCTACATCACGTTGGTTCAATTGCTATAAAACAAACCGTCATCATTCCTTTACTGTGTACCTACTGATCAATCATTTACAGATTACTCTCTCGCTTGAGGTAACACAAGCTCTCCGAGACAATCGATCACTTTAACTTTTTTTTAACAAAGCAAAAACTGATGAAGCTCGAGATATTTTGTTCTAAGTATAAAATGCGACGCTCCAGGAAGTGACACTTTGTGTCGGACGGATGGCCAGATTTTCCCGAAAGCAAAGAATCTGTACAAATAGTGAGTTTCGTCGTGAGCACGCACATCAAATTCGGTTTAATATGACAGCATTAATGGTTTTCTATTTATAATTGACCGTAATGGACGAGGAATTAACAGACTGACTTTGCAGGACAAGTGCACTGGACTACTCCACTGAAACACGTTTCAGGAGACACATCTAATAAGGCCAACACAAAATCAAGGATTGAGTTAAAATCTTAATTTTCACTTTTAAACCCCTTTTCTTTCATCAGCTGTGAAAGGCAAGATGCGAAAATTCACATGAATACGAATAAACATCATCGAAAATGTGTACACCCATGCTTTGAAGCCAATGTATCAGCACATTAAAGTTAAAGGAACATTGTGGGAATAAATTATACATTAGTTAATAATTTAATATGCTTCAAAATGATATATAGTTCATTTTGTGGCAGTTGGACCATTTTAATATTTTGGCATGTATGTATATTAATCAGTGGAATGCAATTCTGAAGAAAACGGAATTCCGACAACTTAAAAGCTTTCCAAAGAGCTGTCGACGGACTACGATAGGTTAGAAATCAATTACATTTTCGCATTATGAGCTCCCGAATGACTGTAGGGCCTACGTCAATTTAATACCTTTTCAAACCATATAGTAAAGGTTGTTAATTTCCCCTTCAGACAAGAGATAGGGGGCAACTTTCAAAATTGAGTGCAAACTGCAAAGTGACCAAAGTTGTCTCACATGCAAGCAAGTATGCGTTAAAGACTGGATACAGAAATTGGCTGATAGTATAGACAAGGATCTTGTCCCAGCAGAATTGTGGTGTGACATAAACAATCACGCATAAGGTCACAAGAAACTACGGTGGCCCACAACTGTCACGGCAAGCGCAAAAGCGCCACGGCAAGCGCAAAAGCGCCGCGGCAAGCGCAACAGCGCCACGGCAAGCGCAAAAGCGCCACGGCAAAAGAAAAAGCGCCGCGGCAAAACAAAAAGCGCCGCGGCAAAAGAAAAAGCGCCACGGCAAAACAAAAAGCGCCGCGGCAAAAGAAAAAGCGCCACGGCAAAACAAAAAGCGCCGCGGCAAGCGCAAAAGCGCCACGGCAAGCGCAAAAGCGCCACGGCAAAAGCGCCACGGCGAAAGCAAAAGCGCCACGGGTTTATTGGGGAGGGGCGTAATCATACATGCCGCTACTACATCAAAAAATAAAATGGGAAGGAGAATGGCCGCCACCAGGAATTCTTATTAAGCACAGAATTTAATTCTTTGAGAAGTGATTTTATGGCTGAGAAAATCATGGGCAAGGAAAACCGGTCAGTGAAGCAACGTTCAGGGACTGATAAATCGTCGATATTAATTTGTTGTAGGATGATTCCAAGATTATTCCAAGAGAGTTCCTGCCGTGAATCAGAGTTTATAAAGGAGAGGGAAAGTAGGACTCGCTATATCAGCACCATCAGGGCCGTTCCTCATTTCTTTACATTTCGTGGGATGCAAACAATTACGAGGACGGGAGGCTCTGTGAGCTGATGCATTTTTGAAGACATTTTTTTCCCCTTCCGACTAGCAAGCAGAGAAGAGTTCCGTTAATTTGAGCCTTTTTTCACAGGTGTGTATACCAGTGTAGGCACGCAAGTGAGCTGCCCAGAGTGTATGAGTTAAGTTTTTTTTTCTTTTTCAGTATATCATACACATCTAGGAAGTCGATTAAGGCTCTCCTGCAGGGCTGCGGCAGTGGGTAAGGCTTGTCAACACGTAACTCGCCCGCGGGCCATTAGGTTAGAAATTCCCAGAGAGCGGGAATTTCAAAACTCTTCCCTGAACGTTGCTTGCACTGACCGGTTTTCCTTGCTATTTTCTCAGCCATAAAATCACTTCTCAATTCATGGTGGCGGCCATACTCCTTTCCATTTAATTTTAGATGTAGTGGCGGCATGTATGATTACGCCCCTTCCTTGCCCCCCTCGCTACGCCCATGGGTGAACTAAGTCTCAAATTAACGGAACTCTTCTCTGCATGCTAGTCGGAAGGAAAAAAACTCTTCAAAAAAATGCATCAGCTCACAGAGCCTCCCGTCCTCCCTAATTGTTTGCATCCCACGAAATGTAAAGAAATGAGGAACGGCCCTGATGGTGCTGATAGTGAGTCCCACTCCTTTATAAACTCTGATTCACGGCAGCAACTCTCTTGGAATAATAATTATCCTACAACAAATTAATATCGACGATTTATTTCCTGAACGTTGCTTGCACTGACCGGTTTTCCTTGGCCTTGCTATTTTCTCAGCCATAAAATCACTTCTCAAAGAATTAAATTCTGTGCTTAATGAGAATTCCTGGTGGCGGCCATTCTCCTTCCCATTTTATTTTTTGATGTAGTAGCGGCATGTATGATTACGCCCCTTCCCAATAAACCCGTGGCGCTTTTGCTTTCGCCGTGGCGCTTTTGCTTTCGCCGCGGGCGCTTTTGCGCTTGCCGTGGCGCTTTTGCGCTTGCCGCGGCGCTTTTTGTTTTGCCGTGGCGCTTTTTCTTTTGCCGCGGCGCTTTTGCGCTTGCCGTGGCGCTGTTGCGCTTGCCGCGGCGCTTTTGCGCTGGCCGTGGCACTTTTGCTTTTGCCGTGACAGTTGTGGGCCACCGTAAGAAACAGATACCAAGCACGATATGTGTCATAGAGGTACCCCCTTCCAATACCCTATACCCTAGACTATATTATTGTAACCTAACACATTCCTCTAGATATCTCAAAAGAAATCCTGCGATTCAATGACCAACCCAAAAGATGGGGGTTTCCCTCAGTCACATCACGGATCCTAGACACCAGGATAAACGACTGTTCTGAGCTCTAGTACAAAATGCATTGAGCGGACTTGTCTTAATTGGTTAGACGCGTAATAACGGGCAATAATACCCGCTGGCGCGTAATCGCGTTTTTTCCAGCTGTGCCATTGTGTTGGGTTTTCGCATGACATCTAAAACGGAAATATTCATAAAACTGTAACCAAAACTACTCCTCATTTAAGATATAATTGTTCCAAAATTATTTAAAAATAAATACTTCAGGATATAACAGATGTTGTGCAGTTTTTGTCGTCATAGATGAAGTATTTACCCGGGAAATACACGTCAAATTTCGAAGAGAACACTGTTTACCCAAATTTCGTTTTTAATTAGGCTTTTATTAAAAAGCTTTAGAGAGATGTGATGCCGAACCGATGAAACAAAAGTGAAACAAAACAAAAAGAAACAAAACAAAAGAACCGATTAAAGCAAAAGATATTGTGCTCGGCATTACCATGGTTATGTAGTTATCACCTATCAGAATTCAATAATAAAGACCAAAAACGTTGATCATGAATATACAAAAATATAATTCGCTGGCTTGACAGACTTCGACGCCAGATCGGGCACAGATTCATGCAAATCTGACAGCCACCGCGCGCAGTGGTCTTTGTTTAAAAGTATTCATGGAATTTGCCACCAGTACAGGCCGTTATCACGCGTCTAACCAGGAGTTGGGCCGAGTCATTAATCCTTGTGTGTAGGATCCGTGGTCACATATCGTGCTGCATAATTATGAAGAAACAAGCCAGGCGATGATCGTTGACAAGGAACGTCGTCTTGATTCATTTAAATAGCTTTTGAATGACTTGAGACTGGAGGACTTGTGATTGGTTTGTAACTGGCTTGGTAAGACTCAGACTCTAGCATGGCCAAAATAATAATGCTGCAAACCTGCACATGGCAGTGCAGTCAAAGATCAATGACGTAAATGTCTTCAAGATTTAATAAACAGGCTCAAGTTTAAAAGTGACGACGATTACTCGTTGCTGTTCACGCTGTAACAACAGGTGAAAAGCTGCTTCGCGGTTTGCTTGAACACCCTGCTGTTGAGCATGACTTTCAACCCGATCAGAGTCGGTCCACTGAAGATACTAAGGTTCCCCACAAGGACTAAATACCTTGGTATCATGAAGCCGAACAGAGCAAGGTCTAGAATCAGGTACACTCCGAGGGCCAACGGTGAGATGAGGGTCAGAAGAATCAGCTGGGATTTGTTGACTCGGATCTTGCGGTCAAACGTGGCCACCTGCAGCCGCTGGCCGGTGATGGCCGCTCCGTCATCAGCCGTTTGTTGGCCGTTCGTATTCAACGACGTCCGCGGTATCTCGGCCATAATGCGTCTTAGATGCTGCCTGACAGTCAACAGCAGAGCTGTGTGGACGATGTAGGCGACCACTGACGGAACGACGGACAGAAGGATGAAGAAGGATAAGAACAACGCTTTGTTGAGAACAGGGTCGGAGTAAGGAGCGCAGACGTGACACGAGGGAATGTAGACTCCTTTCCAATCGGACAAAACCCCACTGAGGGGGATGTTCACGAGAGCTAGGATGAGAATGCATGCTACCAGGCGTTTGGCTCGTTCCACGGTGATCAGTCGAGGGTAGCGTAGCGGGTACTGCAGGAAAACAAACCTCTCCAGAGAGTAGCTTAACATCAAGAAGGCGCTAACGCAGTGCAAGTAGACCATCACGAGACTCTGAGCCGAGCACAGGAAGGTGCCTAGGATCCACCTGCCGCCTGCGATAGAGCTGATAGTGGACGGGAGGGCGAAGCACAGACAAATCAACAGGAGGATGAGATTGATGGCCACGATGAAGATGTGATTGACTTCATCTGCGTGGTTGGCAGTACGGTGTATTACCAGTAGTGTGAAGGTGTTTGTCACTATGGCCGTAGGGGTGACCATGGACCAGCACACGGCAGAGATAATGTTGAAGGTTATCGCTCCAGGATCCGTGTCCGCTGGCATCTCAGGCTGGGTCGTATTCTGCATCTTGATCAAGACGCAATCTACTCAGAGCATTCTTACAGCATGAATCCAACAAGACAAGGCCAGCCTAAACGCTGGTCCCAGAGTGCACAATGTTATGGTCGATTCAGAATGGCTAATCACAAAAAGTCTTTCATGCATGTGCCATGCACAATGGGCCGGATTTAGTCCGTTCAATTACCGGGTTGACCTAGTCTATCAAACGTTTCGGCAAAGGTGCGACCTTAGAAAGCAAGTCTAGTTCACAGATGACAGCCAGAGAGTGAGTAAGGTAGGCCTGCTTGCATAATGGGCTGGCCCAGTAAAAATTGTAAATCTTTCAGTTGATCGATTGCGGGTGCCTCTCAACAAATGTTCACGTTGGGTCTATTGACGATAAACTTTGAAGCTTGTGATGATCATCCGTTTGAAAGACTAGCAACAAATCTCAGCCTGCCTATACCACCAGTGTACAGAAATATGGTTTGGTTTGCCTATTGAATGTCGCACATGGTTGATTGCAATGACTTACCAGTGCAGACCTGTCGGCGAAAGCAATCAAAGCTTGTGGTGATCAGTTTGGGTAAACAGTGATGCTGCCTTCCTTTCACGTACATGCTATAGGGCTCACAGATTCACAAGCACGCCTCTTAATGTGACCATCCATTACTTTGTCATAGTTTTGACAAGTGTATCCAGAGCGGAGCATGTCTAAAGAGGCAATCTCCAGAAAGGTTAAAAGCAATGTCATGTATTGCACAGATGGCCCGATTTCTCATTCCGAGTCGGTGATGAATTCTCCAGAGGAGTGGCAGCTCCGTGATGAAGGGAATTTGCCTTGACGGTCACCCGGCGTGGTGGATTCATCCAATGGCGCAGCTTGGCGTTAACTTTCCAAAGACGAAGGCTCGGGCGTGAAATAAAACTGATTACAAATATATTTCTCGGCACGCTCAGTTTAGTGAAACACGTCTCAAAAGATTAAGACCTCTGCAAAGCTTTGAGAATCAATCAATAACTGATGAAAATGTTGTCAATGTTTCCATATGGGTTCAAATTAAGAAGAATGCGTACGAATGATCCACTCCGAAGCAAGGTAGTATAAATTGGCATGGTACATTACATGCCACTGGGGGAAAAAAACAGCTACTGAACTCGCCGCGGTGAGTTATGTTCCGATGGTAATTGACTTGTGCGGACTGACAACACGCAACGCCGGTTTCGGCACGGGATTGAGGCAAGTCACGCCATTCATTGCTCCGTTAGCATGGACAAAATAATGAAAGGATACGATGATGAAAGTTTACTTGACTCGTACCCAAAATCGATAATGTCGGTTAATGGCTAACGCTCTGCCTGTCAGCTGTGTCACCTGTACACGCCTTTGTTTTTTATTATAGCCATTGTACGTTGTATTCATGGGAGGCAATCGTCAATTTTCATTGGAGGGTTTACGGTTTATTTGTATAATAGTGAACCCCTGCCCTGGCTAGTGCACGCTGCAATTTATCTTCCTATTTGCTGTGCTATTCAAGTTGGAGGGTCGGTGAGTAATGGAGCCGAGATTAAAAACACTTGCGACGGAGAGAATCTGCTCGTCTCGGTTTAATAAATATCCCAAAGAGGTGATGGAATTTCGATCTTGAATGACGGCCACAAATCGGCGAGGCACTTTCCGTCGGATGGCGACGAGACAAACAACTTGTCATAAATTAACTCGGGCCTCGGTAATCTTAGAAATGTTAATTTCGATTCTAAACCTCACAATAGGCAGAAGATATTATAGCATTCAAAGCTCACATGCATGGCATACTACACGAGTTCCTTTCGTCTACATAAACAGTCCTGGTTGAATGCATACAAGTATGTAATTTGCAAATGCATACGATTTATGTTTGTTTTTTTAATTTACAGACCGAAATGATGATTTTGAAATTGGTGGTAACAAAAGACAACAACATATTTGTATACCTTTGCTGAAGAATATTACTGAGAAATATCCGTCTAGTTAATCTGATAGTGTAATAAGGTGATCTGGGAGAATAAATAACTGTTTCTACTTTCATTTTCGAGTATACATAAGTCAAATCTAATTAATTGTTGCGGTATGAAAGAAACAAGTTATTTCACTATGATGTTGCCATTTCCACACTATAAAATGTTACAATGTCGTTTAAACTTATTATACAGAGCAAAATGCAATGAATATGTAATGGTGTATTATAATGTACATGGATCAATACTAAAACAAATTTACGACAACATTTAGGTATAAGGTGAAGCGTCATGCTTTTGTACCCTAACCTATCGACAGACAAGTCGGGACATGACCGAGAAACAAACAGAGACAGCGACAAAGGACAAAATTGACAACAGTGCGACACACAAAGACACAACCTTGAAAAACACAAACCGATATGAGTCGAAAGTATAGGCCTACATCTAGATTCATAAATTATAACTGATTATTCGAATAACAATTGAGTAGATGTGATCTAAGGTTTTAACAAGGACAGAGAAGGAGGGTGACGATTTTAAGAAGTCATCTAGACTATTCCAGTATGATGTACCACGTTGAATAACGCTATTTTTAGACAGGCCAATCACAATTTAGAGAAGATTGATGCGTGGCACTGCGAACGAAAAGACGAGTCGTCTCGTATGATCGCCAATTACTTTCTGTATATACCCGTGCTTCCGAGTAACGTTCGAGTACCGTTACGTATAAAGTCTAATCCAACCATTTTGCTGCGGTATGCATACATTATGACAGGCCTATGTAAAATTGATGCATCATTACGATATACACGGGCGTTGGGGAGGGAGGGGGGGGGCACCGATTGACGCCTATGATCACGAACAAAAGGACGAGTAGTTTAATCATGCATTTCAGAGCTATCTGCACACTTTCGTCATACGCTACTGACGCCTCGCGTTGCCGGGCAACCCATTCCACACAAAACATGGCGAAGCGAAAGTACGGTGCCTAGTTTGTCATATTTTTTCATCAGTTATAAAAAAATAACGGCATCCGTCACGGTCTGAGTGATGAATACAGTTAGATACGCAGCACTGTCCCATTTTCCAGTCTTATTTATTCTTAATGTCTGAGAAATATCAACTAGAAAATGCCCACTTGAATCGCTCGTGCACAACGAACAGTAAAAAAAAAAAAATAGCGGACGAGATATTGTGTGGAACGGTCGCTACTGGAGACGAGCCGCGTGACGTCATACTTCTACGCGTCGTGTACTTGCTCATTATATGACTTGAAGCTTTGCATGGCGGATGAGAAATTAAAAAAAACAGAACAAGGTCGAGTTCTACACTCAACCAACTGGTTCTTTTCAGAACCATACTTCTTCCAAGAAGAGATTTCTTTCCACACGGGTGTTACCCGCAATTTGTCTACTTTATCTTGAAGCAGATGTTCCCTTATTCATTACAAAAAAATCTATTCGTGTAGCAAAAAGAAGCTGAACCCTTGAACGGAGATTACATTGATTAATGATTACTAGAAATTTTAAATGGATTGTAATTAAAGCTTGACGAGAATTACAAATACCGCAATCAAGGGCGGATCCGGGGGGGGGGGGCAACGGGGGCCATGGCTCTCCCCAAAACAACTTTTTGAAGTCACAATAAATGCAGGCAATGCGTACACCACATAGAGCTATGGTACACCACCATCTTTTCCTTTGCGATTTGCGATATTGCGATTTCGTGACGACTTCGTTACGACACAACGGTCACAACCGTTTGAGTACAGACAGAGAAGTTGATCGGTTTTTTATTTTTTTTGCCGACCATCACGATATGTTTCAACTGCCGACCATGCACGACCTGTAGGATGCCAAAACGGCGCTCAAGAAGTCGTTCAGATAAAGTTCAGATGTCGTTCCGAGTTTCACGATGTCGTCGAGTCTTCTTGCGTCTCAGCGCTGTCTTGTCGTGATCGGGAGGCTACATCGTGGCAGTGTGACAGGCGCCTCAAGCAGGCCCCGAACTCCTCGCCGTAATATTTTTGACCCAATGTTCGGACCAAAATTTGTTTTGCGCCCCCCCCCCCAAAAAAAATGTAATGCGATCTGGATCCGCCCTTGCCCATCATGGATGCTGCACGGCAGCCATCATGTCGATGGCCATAGTATCAACAGGAAGACCAACAAACACTGATAACTTGCCGAGACCATAGTTGGTGTTAGGTCCTTTGACAGTCCAAACGAAACCATTGGGTGAAAGTGAAAAACAAAAAACATGAGAAGCATGGCGTATCTGTACATCATACAATAAACTTTTATTGTTATCTTACACGTAAAACAAAGGAGTGCACTTCCATGCAACCTCTTTAAGTAAATGCCGCTTGGTGTAACCTTTCTGAAATAAATTCTTCACTAAATGGCCGGTTTGGTTTTTCGGAATAACATATTTATTATGTAGATGGGCCCAGAAATTTACTGTGCAACGAAACTGAGAATTTCAAATGAGCATTTCTTATTCTAATCCTCTCAACAAAAGACAGCACTAAGGCCCTCGGTTTCAATGTCAATTTGAAATTCTGTAACTTAGTTCAACATAGGTTACCAGCCAAAATTGGTCATTGTGATGCACACTTCTGGTGACTGGCTCTCGGCAGATATTTGCTTAGTTCGTAAATTTGCTAAGGCCAAAAAAAAAAGTCTCCGGTTTCTGGTATGGAGCTTGCCCCAAAAGTGGTGCGGCGACGCGGCTTTTTTTTTTTTTTTTTTTTTACCCTTTTTTTTTTTTTTTTGGCTTCAAATGTCGGCTGATGACTGCAAATGGTGCCCGACTAAACTTAGTGCAAATATATGGGAGTCCAGAGAGGCCACATAAAGCTTATTCTCGATCATAACCCCATCTAAAAACACGTTAAAATTGTGCAGCAGCAGGATTCCAGTCAAACCAGTGAGTTTGGCGGTTTTGAGACATCATCTTGTATTGAAAAAAAAACTTTTTCATTTTGCCGACGCGCATGGCTGCGGCGACGCGCGCGCATACCAGAAACCGGAGACTTTTTTTTCGGCCTAATCAGAAGTAAAAAAAAAAAAAAAAAGCTTCCCCTTACACTACTCAGGTGAGTCGCACGCAAAGGCGAATCGCACGCCGGCACACTCCGAACGATAAAGTTGATTTTGTACACTTAAATTCGTTCAGCAATTACGTGAGATAAGAATCGGTACCGGCCTGCCATTTGGACTCGAATGACTGTACTGTGCTGCAGAAATATCCAGTGTTTTTAGCCAGTCTAGGTGTTCCGCAGGATAGGCGTACTAGGAACCAGCACCAATGTCATGTTGATGCTAAGCTGTACTGAGCACTGGGATGAGATTGTCAATTAAAAAAAAAAAGTCTGAAAATTGGATGGAAGGTTTGAAAGATGCATTTTTTCATACTGAAAGTGTCCTTCTTTCAGATTACAAAAGTCTGAAAAATCTCATGCCTGTATTAAGCAAGCCAGGGCCAAACTTGTAGCTCAAAAAGTTCGTAGGACTTGACAGCACAGAATTGTCCAACAGTTCCCTCGTGATAGACAAAAGAGGTCCGCGTTGGAATGTGCTTATTTTAACTAACAAATTGAAGATGTAGTCATTTGTTTTTTTTGTTTTTTTAAAGCGTGCTTGGTTTTAGTATAAATGCTAGCCAACGATTTTTTGTATTGGAGGAAATTTGAGGACGAGAAAAGAATTATTCTGATTCCAATAAGATAGTTCCAATAAAATAGACCAGCAAACTTTCAGAAGAGGTTTCATGTGGAAATTATCCCAGATTTACACAAATACAACCAGCGCCCAAAGTTTTGATCAAGAAACTCGATATATTTCTGATCCCTGCTTGTATTTTGCTGGTGCTAAATCTTAAGCAATTTGGCCCAGAAAAAAAAGTGAGTGATACACAAATTTCACAAGAATTATGAAATGGAAAGACAACTGAAATGAACTATTAACTCATTAGTTGTTAAAAAAAAGGAAGCGAACGGATTTGTACACACTATCCAACATGGCTACCCTCAACGTAAGAAACTACTGTACCTTCCAGTGACAATGTGAAAACAAAATATAGACTATGAAAAATATAGACTATATGATGAAAGTATCTACACAAAGACCAAGATATCGCAAACCCTGCATGGCATATAAACTCAGTACATGTACACATGTACATCTATCATTCACAAGCGATAATCCATAGAGGAAGTTGTCAAGAAGCAAACCAACACAAATTCTATTTGGCGAAAAGGATGAAACAGGTTTAGTATAATAATGCAGGATGTTTACCAGTGAAGACATACATTCCGTTAATGTTTCGAGCGTTCAGTGTATTCCGAACCTGAGGGAGGTATAACAAATCGGAACTGACCACAAACAGTTCCATTTTTCAGCCTCGTCATTTTGCCCTGCTTCCGACACCTGAAGATACATGTATATATTTTGCATAGCATCTTATGAGTACATTTGAGAATCAAGACATGTAAGAGTATAGAACCTACCTATAGCCCCTTAAATGTGGCTCAAAATACTTGACTGCCTCCTCATTATGAGCTACACAGTGGTCATATGCTATTTGTGGGGAAATATAGGTTTTAGGGAAATTGAAATCGGGACTGTTTTTCTTTCAAACGGTATTCACTACGGAAGATAATTAACCTGATTAATAAAATGGGAAAATCAAAAGGTCAAGAGTACAATCTTTTTGGGACAAACTCACTGCAAATTTTGCCTGAAAATTACAGGATAACTAAACACCTACAGAAACAGAATTAAAATGTTCCTGGCTATTAACCAGGTAAGTATCTTCAACGGTGAAATTCAATTGAAAGACAGTCCTGAATTCAATCTCCTCTAGATCAACTTTTCCCCCACACATAGCATATGACGATGTGTGGCTCACAATATAAAGGAAGTCCAAGAGCGGATCCAGAACACAATTTTTTTTGTGTGTGTGTGTGGGGGGGGGGGGGGGGGGGGGGGGGGGGGAGGGCCAAAAAGAAATTTTGATCCCCCAAAAGTATGTCCCAAAAAACATACGGCATGAGGTTCGGGGCCCGCTTAAGGGCCCCTAAAATTTTTTAGATTGTAGATGCTCTGTGTTGCGATCCGAGGCAATTTCTGACCACTTTAACCAATGTTTTTGAGGAAAAGATGGTGGTGTACACATTGCCTGCCTTTATTGCAAAGTCACTAAAAATAAAAAAAAATTGGATTCGTTTTTTTTTTGGGGGGGGGGGGGGGGGGGGGGGGCATGGCCCCCTTTGGCCCCCCTGGATCCGCCCTTGAGGAAGTCCAGTATTTGAGCCACATTTTAAGGGGATAAACCTATCCTTACGTTCACCATTACAAATTGCTCTGAATTCCATGATATTTGCTGGTCCCAGAGGGCCAGCGGCCAGCCTAATGTCTATCTGACTGACTGACTGATTCCCCCCCCCCCCCCCCCGACTGACTGACGGACTCACTTGTCAGCCGGTCAGTGCTATCATACAGGATTACCCCGCAACACCAATAAATGGGCTAAATCCGGCCAATTGTTGAAGACCAGATGCATGAACAGACTTCCAGTGAATAGCCAATCTGAATCGATTCGGGTGTTTCACAATGCAGTGCGCCACCTAGAGTTTGCCATGGAGAGTTCATTTTTCCCAGTGCATTGGGGGAGATGGTCGACAAATTTGCAGCACGGGACATTTGAAATTGTTAGTTTTTTTTCCAGTCAGTAGTTTCGTAGTTTACAGGATACCTGTGCCCTTATCTATAACAAATTAGTTTTATTTTTCTACTGACACTCGTTCAATTGAGTCATGTTTTGTCGACTGCCCCTGTAAACTTGGACTCTCCACAGCAAACTCTTGGTGGCGCACTACATTGTGAATCTCCCGAATTGAAAAGACTTCAGTGCGCTCTGGGACCAGCTTTACTAGGCTTTCCTCGTCTTGTTCACAACAATTAGTCATTTTCTTTACACTAACCCTAAAACTAAACAGTGATTCATTGGCATCCTTAAAAACTTCCGTGCAGTATTTCGTCTTTACGTTGGCTTTTATCACAACACTCTTTATGATATATTTTAGTGTGTGGTCTTGAAATTAAAAAAAAAATATGTAAAGATATTCTAAATGTCAGAGAAAAACTCTAATAATTATTCCATGCACCCACAGTGGGTGTGGAAAGAGAGAGAACTATTTCCAATAATATTTGAAATCATAGGTAAAATACTGCTTGAAAAATCCCTGAAAAAAAAATGAATTGTATTTTCTGATATTTTTAATGTATGAAACAATTAGATACCGACATTTTGCTTGCATTAAGTAAAATACTTCAAAAATTAACAGGGAATGACCTATGAAGAATATCGTACAAACTTTTTGGTCGGATGTCACTACATATATGATTTATCACAATAATGTACTATACACATATCTGTTTAATATTTAAGACTCGAATTGCGAGCCCAAGTAACGCAACAATTTCAGGCTTTTAAATAAAAAAACCAAATTAGAGGGATTTTTCAGTCCTGATCCATGAAGCTTCTGCACACAAATCCAACGCTTCAAAATTTTAAGTCAATAAATATATATATTTTTGGACACGCCTGATACAAGTTGGACTATTAATCCCAATTCGCGATAGTAACACTTCTTTGTTAAGGTATGTGGCATTACATGTATAAAAAAAATGTGATAGACGGAATAAAAATATACACAGGAAGGCAACACTTTTGGGGTCTGTTTGAGGCAAAAATTTGGTGGCACACTGTGTCGTGAATCCCCCAAAATTACCAATGTAAACTACCTGTTTAAACGACACCCCTTATTTTTTTTACTTTAAAAATTAGTAGCAGGGTTTGATTTCATGCTTTTGAGTTGCCTGAGTATGTAGTCAAACGTTGGTCTGTTTCTGGGCTCAATGTCCCAGCACTGTTGCATGATCTTGTAGATGCTGTCCGGGCAGCTTTCAGGGGCCGTCATGCGATAGCCTTTCTCTATGTGTTCCACAACTACTGTCAGATTCTGTAGAACAAAAAAGTTGGGAACCGGAATTTAGCTGTGTTTGTGACCAAACCTGGCAAACTGAGGCATAAGTTGGCAAAGCAACTTTTCAGTTGTGGGTGCTTCAACGAATCTCGTGCAACTGAAATCAGTAGAAATGTTAGCATTCGCATACACAAAATGTCCAAATTCATCACGTCAAACAAATTAAAATGAACATCTGAGTATGCTTTATTCTGAATAGAAAATATATGAAAGGATTAAAATGTTCTTGGTATTAACAATTTGTAAGACTCCTGCATTTTTTGTTTTTGGTAGCACTTTCCAGCCTTGATACAGAAACATGTTTGTGTCTGTACCATTGTCATTTATCTTTGAAAAAACTTCCAAAAGGTTAGGCCAGGTAATTTTGTTGATTCTTTCCCTTGTTTAAGTAAGGGATGAACATGTAAGACCCAATACTCACAAGTTTTGGGTAGGGAAGCTTCCCAAATGAGTACAGTTCCCAAATGAGAATGCCAAAGCTCCATACATCAGACTGGACAGAGAAGGCCTGAAAAGATAAAGTCCAAACATATGGCAGACATGTCAATGATCAATGAATAGTTGAAAGGTGCTCATATGTGGCTTCGAAACTGTTCTTTGTACTCTGGTTCCCTTACCAAAAGCTTCAGACCAGACAGAACAATTTATACATGTAGTCGTCAAAGAATTGTCAGGTCAGGGAACCAGACTTGCTGGCTTGTGCCCATTCACGGATATGTGACCGACTTCAAACAATATGTGGACTCACTAAATTCAGTCAACTGGGGCAGTATTAAAAAAAACAATTTTTTTTGCCAACAAGCTTTCGTTGGAAAATGATACGAAATTCTGTTTTTTTTCTGGAAAATAACAGTATACCAAGTGCCATGATTTCACAGGATGCTTGAGCCTATTATTCACTTACAGTCAAGTAAGTTATTTGATAATAATATGGTAGTTTTATTTTTTAGTGTTAACAAAATGTTGCACATTATCTTTAACGCTGTAATACACAGTGCTAGGGTAGTTTTTGGAAGAATAAGACCCAAACAAACAGAGCACTTTAGGATGCTACAAGAGTCAACGAGTTGAACAACTAATGTTCTTTTTCACCATGCAAGTTTGTGATTGTGATTAACATCATTTGAAAGAAACCTACATTTTTTCGGAGGGCTTCAGGGGCCGTCCATTTGATGGGGAACTTGATCCCCTGTTGGGTGACAGTCACCTCTTTTGACAGACCAAAATCGGCAACCTTGGCAACGTCCATCTCCGAGACGAGAACGTTTCTGGCCGCCAAGTCGCGGTGGACAATGTTCTGGGCCTCCAGGTAGGCCATGGCTGAGGCAACGTCGCTGGGAAGAAAACAAAAGTAGTGTGGGAAAATATCAGTCCTTCTGTTTTGAGGCGTGCGATCACACCCCCACGCCATCACACGCCTAAATGCTTCCTGACAAGTGCGAATAATCGCACGCCTGAATCCCTCAGTACCGCACACCTCGACATACATATACGCCATACATGTACATTTACATCTTAATTATACTTCATAATTTGTGAAAAATACAGTACGTCGGTGAAGAGAAGATGGCTTTATTGTAAACCAAGATGAATATTATGAAAAAAAATACCAGATTGTTCAGTCCCACTCCCAGCTTGGACCACAGAATCACACACCTAGAAAAAATCACACGCCTAGAAAAATCACACGCCTAGAAAAATCACCCGCCTAGAAAAATCACACGCCTAGAAAAATCACACGCCTAGAAAAATCCAGGTGTGCGTTTTTCCACACACCTGTGATTTTCAAATAAGAAGGACTTAAATATCAGCATTTTCTCACAGTGCAAGTTTTTGCACAAACTAATTTTTCAATGAGACAAATGTTTGTGACTTTATTTGCCGAAATACTAAATTTCTACCCCACCCTGACCCTTTCCACTAAAAAATGAAACTAGTATTATTTAAACACTCAACAGACCACATAAAACCATCTTTCAGCTCATCCAAACCAACAGACCAGCTGTGACGTCATACTCACAGGCAACCAACATGAAGCCCAAACATTTAACCACCTTTGCATGGTATTTTGCCCACATTTAACAGTTTATGTCAACACTATTAAACACTCCACATTTCAAGAGATGTACCGGTAGGCCTACGTGCAGTGCTGAAGAGAACGGTATGCTGTAGGTTGGCATTACGTTACCACAACATCAATTATTAATAATAATAATGAGTACTAACAATGTGCACACATCCACCTACTAATAGGTGCTCATGGCGCTACAAAAGAAAACAAGTTAGCAAACGAGAAAATAAACAAAACAACCTGTACATTTGGGCCTATGTACAGTCTGCCAAGCATGAGAACCTATGCTGTGGTGTTGTAGGCTAGACTAGTAGTGAATTTTGAGAGCCATTTTGAATCAGCTGAGAGATGTGCTAGACAAACATGACAGGGTCTATACATGTATCCTTAAGCCAACTGGATTCTAAATCCTACTAATGTAAAGTTCCTGCAACACTCACCACGCAAATTTTAATAGTTCCGGCTGCTTGATCACTGTCCTTCCTCGAGATCTTAGATAATCTACTAAATTCCCCTGGAGAAAACATTGAAGAAAGAAGAAAAAGGAAGAAAAAAGTTCCTCTTGTTGTCTGTGAAGAGTATGTGATGGTATAAACCACCTCCACATCCGAGTTAAAACACCATTCCTTTAGACAATGACACGTTAATGTAAATTATATATTTTAAATTTAACAATGGTTTTGTTTTCCTTGTACTGTTAATTTCTAATTCATAAATACCTAAGACAGTTTACGCATTCCTATTGGTCGAGAGCCCGTCACGTGGCCGGTCTTAAACGGATGATAAAGACATGGCTAGCTGGTCTTAAACACTTTTCCAGTGTCACAATAAAATGTGGACTCCTAAAATTCCTGTGCCTCTTATCGTTTCATTGGTTGAACGTTCACAATCCTCACGTAGGCATGCGCAACACTACCAGGGAGTCAGAATTTTAAAGTTCTAAATTCAAAACGCAACGCGCCAGGTGCGTTCTGCGCGACATCGCGCAGAACATGATACGCGTGCGTCAATCTCCATAAAAGGGTTGTTTACATCTTACTCGCCAGCTGAACACTCCATTATTTTGCAAGAGGGATGTTTCAAAAAGCATAAAGTGAATTTGTTGAACAAAATCGGGATGTTTTGAACGAATTATATGATTTTTCTTACCGAAAAGGTATTTATGAATGGGAATAAATTGTGCTCCGTCGGTATTTATCACTCTGTTTAAGACCACTTAGAGTCTGGGTGCTGATAATTACCCTCGCCTCCGGCTCGGGTAATTATCAGCACCCAGACTCTAAGTGGTCTTAAACAGAGTGATAAAAACCTCCGAAGCACACATTTATTCCCTTATTTAAGCTGCTAGCACCTATATTACACTGTGTTTAATCACTGAACAATCCAAAACAATAGAGTGTTTGGGTGGTTCGGGGTGCTTTAGTGAGTAATACCCACGGCAGTTTCAGGTGTTACAGTGACTAAAAGGTTATCTGTACATCTTATAATTTAAAGAAAAAATGCTGATTCTATCGTAAAACTGTATTTAGTTATGCTTAAATGTAAATAAACCAGAATTATATTAACTTCAGGAAAATTGATGTAATGTATGGAGACTGTACGAATGCAACGAAAACAAAAAATATTTACAAAGCATGACTCTCGTTATGTGTATTCGTGCCAGTCAACTGCCAATATACGATAAAAGTAGAGTGCAGTAATGTGTGCACTCGAAGTTGTTCATATAGGCAGAGCTCTAAACTAAATACTGCACTGATAATTAGGCGGGACAGAAAACACGTCCTGTTGGCTCTCTGTCCAACGCATCAATTCATCTTGAAGGGTTTTTCAAGTGGGATGACGCACTTGTGACTGTCTAGAAAGGCCAACCCAGGAAGCTGTAAGGCCAGCATGAGTTTAAATGGAGAAAAAAATGCCTACTGAAACCCCATTTTGTTGCACTCAAATAATTGATATTACAGGGGAAAAATATATGACAAGCGGAGTTCAAAATAACTAGGTAAAAAACATTCAGATATACAAATTCAAATAAAATTTCAGAATTCTAGAAACACACAAACTGTTTGTTTTCCAGAGACTCTCGGTGATAAAATTAATAATTTAAACGAGAATACTATAAGCAGCTTAAAGCCAGAGTCCATCATTTGCAGCTATCCAAAAAGTAACTGGTGTAATTATTGTTGAAAAACATACTTGTTTGAAAGATAGTAAGGGGACTAAACTCCGTGTGAAATTATTCTTTATGGCAAGCTGTCATTTTGAAGAAATCAACGAAAGAAGGCCTTTCCAATGGTGCGTCTTAAGAAGCACCGTTGGAAATTTCCGTTAGTTCTTTTTTTTTTATTCGGCGAAGTGCGCACAAGCGCTGACACGACGCACACGCGCGCGTGGTTGCTTTAATTCGTCGGATCAGTGCGCGGCATCGCGTAGCTGCACTCGGCTAGTGAGAACGTGTCTCGGCCGCTGAATTCAGGCCCAATTCAAAACATGATTCAGCAACTTTTGATTTGAAATCGAGATCCTAGAATGTTGTTTTTCTCGAAATATACAGCTGAAGCTGACCTGAAACTTCAACAGATTAGTTGTTCAGCACCCTTCTTTAGATTTTGAGCACTTTTCTTGCTTCAAACGAACAAAATGCACAAGTTACAAATGATGGACTATACCTTTAAGGGTTACAAAATCACTTTAAAAAAATTCAGTGATAAGACTACAAGGCCATTAAGATAACTACAAATGTGCATGTAATGTAAGACGTTGAACTTAATATTAAGAACTCCTTGACTATGATGTTAAATAAAGTTTAGACTACTCTGACGTGCTATTTCAAACCAGGACAGCAGATACAAATTTCCCTATAATTACTAACTGGTTTGGGAGTAAGTTGAGAAAAGCATGCAATAAACTACCAGAAATCTCTATAATATGAGTCCAATGTCAATGGTTTCTTTGGTAAAGTAAAGTCTTTGGTATTATTTTTATAGAAAGTGTATATGGGTCATTCCACAAATTTGGGGCCCACAAGTGAGAAATGTTTGCGTCCCTGTTACACCTGACCTGTGTCATTTGCCGAACAAGTATCATTGAAATTGACTTCAAACTATTTCTTATTTGTTTTGCAAGTACTTTGCCTTACATAATCACTCTTGGAGATAGAAGACATTAACTCTAACCACCCCAACTCCATCAAAATCCCCCCCCCTCCCCCCCCCAAATTTTGGTGGATTTTGGGGGACTTGGTCCAGGAGGCCTGGCGTGACTAAATATTGATAAATATTGATGGAGTATGATGGACTTGGGCCTAATGGCCTGAAGCAGTGCTAGGGGTATCTGATTGATTTTGCCTAGCTTCCTGTTCTGCTATTGTGATAAAAGCCATGTGTAGCAAGTCCAAGAATGTCAACCAGTGCGTCAGTGGTGGATTCCATTATGTCATGTACAGTTTTGTATTGGACGCACAGTGATTGATGGATTTTGATGGACTTGGTCCAGTTCCTAGTAAAAGATGTTAGGGAGTTAGGGTTTAAAAAATGTGCCTGATGAATTTGCGAAATGTTATGTCAGATGTAATAGAAACACACAAAAAAGTTGGACCTCAAATTTATGGATCCATGTTGACGATTGAAATTAATCCTTCTTACCTTTTCTAGAAATTCTAGGACTATTAATATGGGGCTTCCCCGCTTGGTAAGGCCACGCCCAGTAACTGTACGAGGTTGGGGTGCTTGAGTTTCCTAGAAAACAAAAAGACAAATTTAGATTTCCAAAAATAAAAAAAGTAATTAAAGCCAGAGTCCATCATTTGCAGCCATCCGAAAAGTAACTGGCGTAATTATTGTTAAAAACATACTTGGTTGAAAGATAGTAAGGGGACTAAACTCCCTGTGAAATTATTCTTTCTGGCAAGCTATCATTTTGAAGTAATCAACGAAAGAAGGCCTTTCAAACGGTGCGTCTTAAGACGCACCATAGGAAAATTTAAATTAGTAGTTCGATTCGTTATTCGGCGCAGCGCGCGCAAGCATTGGCACGACGCACAGGCACGCGCGGTTGCTATAATTCTTCGGATCAGTGCACGACATCGCGTATAGCTGCAATTCAAAACAATTCAAAACATGATTTAGCAACTTTTGATTTAAAATTGAGATCCTAGAATGCTGTTGTTCTCGGAATATACAGCTGAAGCTGAGCTGAAACTTCATCAGGTTAGTTGTTCAGTATCTTTCATTAGAATTTGAACACTTTTGTTGCTTCAAACGAACAAAATGCACAAATTATAAATGATGGACTATGTCTTTAAATTTTTATTTAGTTTGCAGCCTAGTTTTGTACCTATCACACTGACTGCCTCGGTGATTGACTCGCTTGTGTGCTGGGCAGTGCTATTTTATAGGATTACCCCATAATGCTAATGGATGGGTTTAGTACGGCCCATAGACCTTATTCATGAGGAGTCCATTTTTGATCATGTTCCTGGAATGTAAATCATAAAATGTAATCTGTTGAATGGGATGGTGCCAGACTATTTATGTGTTCCAAGCATCGCATTCATTTTATTTTTTTAAATGTGGCTTAATACATTTGGGTATATTTAGTCACACATTTTGAATCATTCATCAGAGCAGACTGGTATTAAGTTGTAATGAACTTCATTTCACTGCTTTCATTTCTATTCGCAAGTTCCAAAAATGAAGATTTTACCGCGCTTTCAATTTGATATGGCCGACTTGTGAATAAAGCCTATCGTGTAGACAAAATGGATCAAAAGGCTTCCAGTGAATATTCAATCTGAATCAACTAAATAGAATTTGTGCGCTCTTAAAGGGACACTAGGTCCTGGAACAGCCCAATTGGGCTACAAAACGGACTTTGAACGAGATGATGATAATCGGAAATAACTTTTAAAAGTAGGATATAAACATCCACACAACTATCCTTTCAAAACTGGGCGTTTTTGTGTTATTCCTGTATTATGCGTGCGAAAAAGAATTTCGGGGTCCACTTTTGCGACCCCCATAAATTCGAGCTGTTTGGATGCTAATTGTGATTTCATTCGTACGCGTAAAGTGTTCGCCTTTTGCGGACGTTGAAGAAACCACAGTTTTTTGCATTGGTGATTGGTCACCGCACGCTTTTCCCGAGACACACAGCGTGTATAGCGTACATGAGAACGACACGAAAAACGTATTCGTACTCCGTCACGTCCGATGTAAACAAGCAGGTTTTTTCGTCTTTTCTCGGGAACGGTAAGACATTAGGTTGGTTTCCTTTCAACCAGATGTTTGAAATAGGCTAAGTAAACAATCCAAAACATAACATTTTCGAGGATTTCAGGACCTAGTGCCCCTTTAATTGTACCAGCTTTACTAGCTAGGTTTGCCAAGTCATGTTTGTTTAGTTGTGGGTAGCAGCTCAACAAATCATCATGTCTCTCGGGGAGTCAGTCAGTCAGTTAGTTGGTCACAAACGTTGACATTGTCTATTGCTCCTACATATTTTGACCGATTTCCACCGAACTTTGTCAAAAGTATCAGTATCAGTATCAGTATCAAACTGGGGTCAAAGGTCATCATGGGGACACTAGGGTAAAAAAAAACACTACTCCTTCCAGAAATTACATGGCACAATCACGTGACTCATGCATGAACACAAATTTGTAGGCCCACAGCTTCCGAGATCTGATCGCGCTTTTTTAATTGAGCGCTAGCTGAGTCTAATTCTACATTGTACAAAACGTGAATAAAGAGTTCCATTTGGGGTTATTAAGGGGCATTATCCTCAGCCAAAAGTGAAATTGCGGAACGACATTTCACAAATCAAATTCTTTAATCAAAGGTCACACAGGTGAAATGACTCAGTGCTTTTCCTTTTGTCACTGTTAAAACAAGGAAGAAGGGAAGGATGACATGACATCATTTTCAGTTTCACTGGAACAGGAAATGGTTGAAAAGAAAATGCAACAGGGCTCCAATTTCAGTTATCTTTAACCCTAACGTCCTAACCATTACTTTGGGATAGAAAACCGAGTACTGCAGAATACTACACAAATGATCTATGCAGGCACCAAATACCAAAAAAATAATATGAGTGCTGTGCCCACTTATATGCGAATGCCCTGCATACTACGGTTTACTAAATTTGGTAGCTTTAGGTGAGGTTAGGGTGAAAGGTAATATACAACATTTGCAAACATCACAAAACGAAACTATCAAATTATTATTGACTGAAAGTGAATAATAGTCTCAAGCATCCTGTGAAATCATGGCACTTGCTGTGCTGTCATTTTTAAGAAAAGTGGAAATTTTTTATATTTTTTTCTAGTACTGCCCCCAATTTACCAATTCACCAAATTTAGTTAGTCAGCATTTTGTTTGCAATCAGTTAAAACATCCATGAACGATTGTAAGCCAGCTAGTCTGGTTCCCTGGCCTGACAATTCCCCGAGGCTATTAATTGCTCCATTGCGTCTGAAGTAGGGTCAGAGAACTAGACTAAAAGAACGTTTTTTGTCTTGGTTTTTCCAGCATCTATGAACACAACATTTTAAACAGGTCAGTGTAAAAATATTAACTAGAAATAATTGACCCCCAAATCCATTCATTTCTGACAATTTCAGCAAAAGCAAATGTTGTATATTCCTATAAGCCAAGAAAAAATATCTGTCGTTCCTAATACCTCACCCAACCTAGAAAACCAAACAGAACCGGAATCTTTTTATTCAAAACAAAAATAAACAAATAAAATAAAATGAAAAAATATGGTGTCGCCCCCACCCTAGTTTTTTTGGAAATTGTCGTGCATGTTTTAAAATGTTTTATAACATTCGTTTTCAGTTGGTCAACAAAGCCAATCAACAGCTCAGCAAATGCAGAGTGAACAGTTGGTTCACATAATAACTGTTATGAATGCGTATAAAAAGATTGAATAAATTTTTAAAAATCACAAACTTCTAAAACTCTTGACACTTGGTAAATTTTTGGTACTATATCTGAATTTATATTCCATCTTTGTACATAAACAATACTAATACATTTGAAAAACACTATCAGTAAATGAGCAGTTCATTAAGCCTTTGCCCCAATAATGCACACATGTATGCGTCTGCACTACAGAGGTTTTGTAAGGTGACGTCTTAGCATTGTCATCTTTTTAATTCCTATACTGTGTAGAAACCTAAGCTGGAGTATACTCGCAAATTATAATTGAGTGTTGCATCAAAAGCACATTATTTGACTTTTAATCTATCTAAAAATAACATGCAATTCAAAATGTGTGAGCTCAGGATAGATTCAGGGTATTCTGTACAAGGACACAAGGAGTTATTTAACCTAGTAATTTATTATTGTTCAACGGTTGGGTTAATATTCTGTTCTGCAATACTCACGTCATAACGGACGCTTCAGCCAGGAATGTTTGTGCTGCTTTGCTGTCGTCTTTTAGTTGTTTGATAGCGACTTTTCTTCCTAAGTAGTAACCTTTTCTTACATCTAAAAAAGAGAACAATGACAATAATAATTCGAAATAGCTCCCAAAAACATGTCGAAACCTTTTTTATAACACTTGATTTTATTACGATTACAATCAGATTGGGGGAGGGGGGTTCCCAAAAATTAAAAAGCCCCCCCCCCCTCGAACCCTTTACCGGTAGTTATTTTTTACCAAATTCGGTACTATAATGTGCCAACATGAAAGGGCATTGCCGGGTTTAAGAGTGCCACCTATTGTCTGATACTGTCCATGATAGTCCGCTTTGAACAGCGCCCCCTATGAGCTCTGTGCGATGACGAAACATGGGCGGGACATTTCGCTGGTTGATGCGCACCGTTCCTTGTGTGTGACGCACGTACACCAGGGGATTTGTATTATGTACACGCAGTGGCCGCGCTTCGCGGAAAATTATTGCAGTCAGGCAAGATGGCGTCGGTCGGTCACCCCCAACTGTACTCCCTTTGCCGTTGAGGGGGTACTTGTGAACGGAGTGGATAGGAAGATGGTTTTCGGCATCGTCACCCCTTCATGAAAATTTGAGGACCGCCCCACTTTCAGAAAATGTCTAGATCATTGGTGATAACAATGAAGAATTTTAAAAAAAACTTGCCTTTGTTAGAAACTAGCAATTTATCTCCTTTGCATCTATGCACCCAAACAAGTTTTCTACTAATTCAAAAAAGAAGGAAAATAGTGACAAAGAATCTTACCTCCGAAATTTCCCTTCCCAATAAGATCCCCAACGTGGATGTCTTTCCTATTAATGGCCCAGCCAGCTGAAAAACAAAAGAATTCCATTATAAGCATTGCAAAGATTCGATTCCTTCGCAACCTTCTGATACAGAACTCTTAAAAATGGAGTCAGCGTCTCAATGCTTGGAACGTCCCCATTCCTTCGGAATTAATCCAGTTCCTGTGGGAACATTCCCTTTTTGATTAGGAATACTCCAAATCCTCAGGGAACATTCCTTTCAACCGTCAACATAGACTTTCCTTTCGAGAATTTCCTAAAGAAACATTTGTAGAGGAATAGGAATACTCTTACTCCTTTCTGATATGGAATGGGAAAAAGTATTGTTCCCCTGAAGCATTCCTTTTCCTTTTAAAACTCTCTTTTTTTAACAGGAATGCTGTCAGGGAATGGGAATAATCTTTTTCATTCCGGAACACTCCTCTTACTTTGTTGTAAAGGAATGGGAACACTCATGTCTTCCGGAATAGTCATGTTCCTTTACGAACACTCCCAAGCAATTTAGAAAAGGAATGATGTAATGAAACGGCAACAATCTGTTTTTGTTTTTTTCTTTTTCGAAACACTCGTACCCTTTCTGGAACATCCCAATTCATTTTAGAAAACCCTTTTTTTTTTCTTTTGAAACATCCCTGTGCATTTTGAGAAAAACTCAGTTGAATTTACTGTCTTTAGGATGGTCAGAAATAAGAACCACTCCAGGATTGGAATCAAAAGCAATGTTAAAGGGAATGAACAACATTTGATTTTGCTGCAATTTTCAGAAATAAATGGATTTGAAGGATTAGAATGTTATAGCAAATATTGTTAAACTGACTTGCTTCACGATTTGGGTTCGGAGATCCTGGAAAATCTAAGAAAACCAAACATGATCTTGTAGTCTGGTTCCCTGACCCCACTTATGATGAAACGGAGCAATTTATAGACTTTGGGGAATGGAAGGTCAGAGAATCAGTCTAGCAGGCTTGCACCACTTTACATGTGTGTAAACAATTGCTAATAAAATGCAGAATAACTAAACATGAAAAATACAGAGCAGTTTTTTTTAAAAGCCAGTTTTCTCCAACGGTGGTCGGCCGACCAGCATTGGAAAATACAAGTTTTCTCAAAAATGTCAGCACACCAGGAGCCATGATTGTACAGGATGATGTGGACTGTCATTCCCTAACATTCCAGTAAGGTATTTCGTGATAATTTGATCATTTCGTTTTTGATGTTTGCAAATGTTGTATCTTCCCTTTAACTCCAACTCACATTGCACAAAAGCATCCGAGTTAATTGAGTAGTTGAGTTCTCCCTTCTTAGCCAAAGCTACCTGTAGCCTTGTACATAAACCATCGCTGTCTTCCTCATAGTGCTGCCAAGGATTAAAAAGAAAAAGGCAATGTACTTGAGACACGCTTTGATTTGAGTTACATGACAACACATATGATAACATGAGAGGTTCCTTCCTTGAAAGTGCAGCCTCACATGTATGAAGACAAACGCACTGCAAGAAACACCGGGGCGAACCCCCACTCTTAGCGATAAGTGTTACTGGGTTCTTTTACGTGCACAACTAGTATACAACGCACGGGACCTACTGCTTTATGTCCCATCCGAAGAACGAAGCAATAATGCTTACGTGCCTTGCTTAAGGACACAAGTGTCCAGACCGGGACTCGAACCCACACTCTGCTGGTCAGAAACACCACAGAGCTTGAATCATGTGCTCTTAACTGCTCGGCCATGACACTCCCTTGTTTTTTTATCCGGAAACTTGAGCTACTGTTTGCACGTGAGCGTACCATCACTGCTTCAGAGTGTCAAACAAAGCTTTCCCAGCCACTATCTATTGCTTTCAGGAGTAGGATGTGTAAACGTGATCTGGCAATGTATATTCGCAGGGGGGGGGTTTGACTTGTTAAATCGTCAAGCTTTCCCCAAGTCTTCGGCAGTCGACATACATGTATAAATACATGTACACATCAGTGATGCCCGTTGTTTTTGTACCCACTTGTGTGTTGATCTTTAACTTGGCCATTACAAAAGACCTGTCCTCATAGCAGATCTTACACCATGACGGCGCCTCATAGTGTTGTAAGATATGAAGATATGGTGAGAAGTATCACACAAATATGGTACAAATGAGAGTCAGAAACCCCACGGAGCAGTGTTTCTTGTGTGTGACCTTGTTTAAAAAAATTGGCAGATATAGTTTGGATTTTCAAAAATATTGCTTTTTGGCCCAAAATAAGTTGTTAAAGATTCATTTTGATATGAATTCTCAAAGCTATGTAAAACCAATAGAACACTCTTTCAATGTGCAAAACATGAGTAACTTTAGCTTAATCAAGCATTTTTGTGCGCTTGTTACAAAGTTCCTTGCAAAGTTGTTTTTTTTCCCCTTAATTCCCTGAGTTTCCCCCGACAGGAGAAATGAAAAACACTGTCAAGGTTTTCCCTGATTTCAAGAGTGGCTAGGACGGCTGTGTTTGATACTGTGAGGCAATAATGGTACACTCACTTGCAAACAGTAGCACGCCTTTGCACATAAAAACACAACAAATGGCAGTGTCTAGCTATGGCCCTGGCTCCCTGCCCTATTGTTACGAGCAAAGTAATACAATTTGATGCCTACCTCAACTAGTTTGGTCAGATTCTCAAAGTATCTCTCCTCATCGATGGTGAGTTTGTTGTTGCGGTACAGTACGTGATAGTGCTCCACGTGGCCCATCCAGCCCACGCACAGCGTGTAGTCACCAGGGAAGTTGGTACTCTCTCGGACCAGGAACAGACCGTCTGAGCAGGGCTGGAGTAGCTCCTCTGCCTTCTCTCGACTGATTTTGCCGTGGAACCACCTGCAGGTGTCAGACAATTACTCGAGGGTCAATTACAATTACTAGGCTGACAGGTGTCTGACACAAATTTGCATGAAATGTTTGTTTATGCTCCACATAAAGATCCAAACTGTAAGTGGTTTCCAGGATATGGACCCCTATTAACCCTAACCTTACCAACTCCATCAAAATCCATCCCCCCAGTTTGGGGGATTTTGGCAGATAAGCAATGTGTACCAAGTCCATCAAAATCAACCAGCACTAGTGGTGGACAAGTGGTGGATTTCAATGGATTTGGTCCTGAAGCATTATGTGAAGCATAGTGAGTGATGGATTTTGAAGAACAAGGTCCCTACCAAGTCCATCAAAATCCACCAGCACTAGTGGTGGATTTCAGTGGATTTGGTCCTGAAGCATTATGTGAAACATAGTGAGTGATTGATTTTGACGGACAAGGTCCTTACCAAGTCCATCAAAATCCACCAGCACTAGTGGTGGATTTCAGTGGATTTGGTCCTGAAGCATTATGTGAAACAGAGCGAGTGATGGATTTTGACGGCCATGGTCCTCTGCTTAGGGTTAATACAGCCCCACCTCCCTTTTCCAATTCGCTGTTGTGCTGGTGAAGTTTTTGTGCATTAACCCTAACTTCCTACTGAGTTTTACTAAGTAGAGTACCAAGTCCGTCAAAATCCATCACTGACTCTGCTTCACATAATGTCTCAGGACCAAATCCATTGAACTCCACCACAAATCCATCACTGCTATAGGCGGATTTCGATGGACTTGGTACTCATGGCTTATCTACCCAAATCCCCCAAAATGGGGGATGGATTTTGATGGAGTTGGGAACGTTAGGGTTAACTTACAGGTCCGTGCCCCAAATTAGATTCTTTCAATTCATACTGGGAACTTGTTATCTAGCTAAGATTCTGAAGTCAAACGTAATTATGCTACTAAATTTCCTCTCCATGATATAGGGCTCCACATATTATTTTTTTGTTAATTTTACAAGCCCTACCCGATGTCATCATGGAAACATAAAGAGCTTCACAAAAAGTTTATCTATGAAGTCCTTTTTTTAATAACCAACTTCTGATTTATGGTATTGTACATTTGTAGTTCCTTGAATCAGCAAAGACACAACACCAAAATCAACCCTGGTTTTTCCTCACTGCTTTTATCTTAAAGATACGAGAATGTCTAAACAATAACCCTCACACTCTGGCTGGCAAATTCAACAAAGCTAACCCAGCAGTCAAAACCAACCGAGTGACGTTTTCAATAGTTGAGTGCTCCCTTCTTACATGTGCGATGTAAAGCAGGATTGACTGTCTGTGATTGTTACTTGATACAGCTATGCATGGACTGTAAGGAGATTGATAAGCCAGCTGTACCTACCAGGTACCTGCTTTTGTCTGTTGATGGAATTTGACTAGTCACAGTGCTTACAAGAAATATGATCCGACTGTTGGTGACCAGCCTGTGTATAAGGCATTGGAGGGGAAGCAGGTTGAATTTCTGACGGTTTTCTGTGCCTGATCAAATAGTAGGAGGGATAAGCAGTTTCCATATGTTGCAGAAAGAAAAACAGGCCTAAACTTACGGCATGATATTGCGTTTGACCCCCTCCCTCTTCTGCACATAGTTGGCTGGTATCATGCCCACCTGGCCCCTCTCGTTCCTTGCTTGATACCAGTTAGGGTCCTGTTAATGGAAGAGACAGCAAGTAACCAATGGTGTTTCATAGCCTAACAACTGGGATTAGGACATGCAAAATCTACATTCAGCTGAAGTCACTTGGTTTATATTTGGGAAATCATTGCAAACACTTAAACAGGGAAAGTGGTGGAGTACCACAAGTTTGGATGCTGTAAATTTGAAAAACGGTTTCTCGTCCAAACGATGCTATGAAAGCTGTTGCCATTCACAGTCCTCAGGGTGCATATAATAGCGCCCTCACTGCCAGTTAACATTTATTCACTCCATACACATAAGGGTAAATCTGCCTATTTTTCTATTTTTTTTGTAGGGGGGGGGGTGGGGGGGGGGGAGATTTTGAGGTAGTCTATGGAATATGCCCTAGCATCTGCACAGCAAAGGTCTATGGTATTCGAGTAGATTCGGCGATTAATTATGCAAAACAAGACTACATTTTGTCTTGACCTTCTAATGGGTCTCCCTGAAACATTGTATTCCAAAAAATATCACAGCCAAATTGACCAATCAACAGCTTAGTCCACATTTCTGATCAAAATTACGTCACAGTTTCTAAAGTCGACTCCAAACGGCTAGCGAGCTCGGTTGCATAAAATTTGTACTGCTGACATAAATCAGGCGTTGGTTACGGAGAGTGCTCCATTGGACAACGGGTGAGATTGAGACTATTTGGGGGGGGGGGGGGATTGAAATAATTTTTTGTATTACTTGTTTTTTCTCTATAGCTGCACTGCACTTTACAAGTTAGGCACTGCACTTTACCATCTAAAATCAGTCCAATTGTGACAAGAAAATATTCAATTTTGTTATATTAATAAAAATAAAAATACCTGAACAGATAAAAAAAAGCTGATTAAATTTACCTTTGTAGCCTTGGTGATGAAGACAATTTCCCCCTTCTTGAAAGACAGGTCGTCTGCCGTGGCTCCCACGAAGTTGAACTTGGCCATACATTCTGTGCCTGGTAACCACTTCTCCTGCTGTTTCATGCAAACATCAAAGTTGGAATATAAAACGTACCATCAAACTCTCATAAAAAAAAGAAGAATTCTTTTGGAAAGGGGAAAGACAAAATGTTTGATGGTGTAGAAATTGTTACATTTCGAAAAGTCAACACATTTTATATATTATTCACAAGCTCTGTTATGAACTACTTTTTTTAAAATCAACTGCAATGATATTCTACATATATGTACGTTTGATTTAATTCAAGGCAAAATAAAAAACAAAACATGTTAAGCGTCCTGCCTTTTTGAAAAAAAGGAAGGAGGCCCTTTTTTTCTTCTCCAAACCCATTTTCCAAAACGACTGGCCGGGCCATTTTTCAAGATGGCCGCCAACTTTTTCTTAAAATGGCCGCCACTTGGACTCAGGAAATGACATACCAGCTGGGCTAGATGCAACAGACAAAGAGGCCAAAATGATGTCACTGTTTAAAATTTCAAGTTTTTTTTCAAAAAAAAGAAGAAAAAAGGAGGGGGCCTCCAAAAAGCAAGCGGGCGGGGACGCTTAACATGTTTCTTTTTTTATTTGGCCCAACATTTGGCTGAACAAAAAAATAAAAGCTAGATTTCTGAACATCTGGGTGACACTTTTGAACTTGAATATATGGCTATGCAGACACTGATGATAAATGTCACAACTTTATAATCAGTGAATAACCCACCCCCACCCCCTGTACTCCCATCTAGATTTTTTTGTCTATTTATCATCTCCATTATTCCTTTTTGAGTTGAGGCTACTGCTACTGAAATATGTATTACTGATTCAACAGATCTGTACATTAATCAATCTACCATGTATGTAAATTGTACTTGTGACGTTTACTTAGACTTGTGGTTGGAATATTTGGCTTTTCTTCGCTGAAAGTCCCAAATACCAGTGGACAATGTACACGTACTGCGAAATCTGTACACATACACGTACAATGTAGTGGCACGTGAATACATCAGTACATAAAATAAATGCCATAACAGTAACACACAACGCTCATCCTGAAAACTAGATCTTTATGTACATTCACATTGGGCATGTACTTTCACTTCCTGCCTAGTATTTGTACAACCGACATAAATTATTTACATGTACAGTGCATGCTGAAACATTTATGCATGCTGAAACAGTAATATCTCTTGTCTCACTCTCACAATAGTCTTGCTGCATAAACCAGGCACCTGGTTTCACGCACAAAAGCAAACGTTTTTGATTCTCCCCCAAAAAAGATAGAATTCAGCAAGTAAGATTTGAGGCTTTGCATGGTGGAGATACTGATGAATGAAAAGTGGGAATAATTCTCAACTCGACGTTCTGGTCAGTACATGCTCTTAAGCCTCTGATCGTCTTCAGTATGCTCTGACCATCTTCAGTATGCTCTGACCATCTTCAGGAGAGAATTCAGTAAACGGTTTAACCTCAATGAACACATGCCACATATAATAGTACTCAATTACTTTTCACAGTGTTTCGGTGTTTACTTTGCATTTTGTTTCTCTTTCAAAGTTTACATGTCCACATGTATTCACACTTTTGAAATGTAAATTAAAGAAAATGCAACAAAACAGAGAGAGCAATCTTTCCTTTTCAAAAATGTTGAAATGCATTCCAAATGGTGCAAAAGTCTACTATTAGCCCCGAGAATTGGGCCAGGGCAGAATCACAGTCAAGCTCTTGGATTGTAGAGACATTCCCTCGGGCAAATGCATATCAATTTCAGGTAAACATGCTCCTTCAACCAATTTGACTCGCTCCATCCGAACTGTTTGGCTAGGGTTATTTTTAGCCTTGAGGGAGATCATTGCAAAAATGATTAATCACGTTCAGCCTGATCATGTCAAGGATGCACTGCAGTGAAGTGAGTTATTTTTCGTGGTATTTTGTGTGGTCAGAGCTCAGAAGCCAATAATAATAATAATACCGGAGTCTTACATGTATATAGCGCACGTACATTGTATCTACCAACAATTAGGTACTCAAGGCGCTGGAAATTATGTCTATTATTAAAGACAGGTAAATGAAGTTAATGAGAAATGTGAGACCCACTATGCAGCCCTTCTGATTTGAAAATCACAGGTGTGTGGAAAAACGCACACCTGGATTTTTCTAGGCGTGTGATTTTTCTAGGTGTGTGATTCTGTGGTCCAAGCTGGGACTGAACAATCTTTTCTTTTCTTTTCATAATATTCATCTTGGTTTACAATCAAGCCGTTTTCTTTTCACCGACATACTTTATTTTTCACAAATTATGAAGTATAATTATGCCGTAAATGTATGCCGAGGTGTGCGGTACTGAGGGATTCAGGCGTGCGATTATTTGCACTTCTCAGGAAGCATTTAGGCGCGTGATGGCGTGGGGGTGTGATCGCACGCCTCAAAACAGAAGGGCTTACTATGTAGCACCTTATAGGGGTTTACAAGGTGCTGCTGCGGCGCAAACACCAGGGCAAACCCCTTTTCTTAGCGATAAGTGTTACTGGGTTCTTTAACGTGCATCACACAACACACGGGACCTACGGCTTTACGTCCCATCCGAAGGACGAAGCAATAATGGTAAAGTGCCTTGCTCAAGAGCACAAGCACCATGTTCCCACGGTCAGGTTTCGAACCCACGAGTCGAACACCGTAACCATTGGACCACAGCACCCCAGCTGCTGCCATGTTGTGCTGAGACGCTGAATCATGCCAAACACGTTGGTCACACCAAGGATTGTCATGACTGGTGTGATTCGCCTATGTCGGCAATTTCACACAGGATGTACGTTGGCAGGATACAGATTTTGGTGTTACTTCACTGATTTTGAGTTCAAGTCATTTTTTGTTTAATGAGATAAAATTTGTGCAGATGTGAATCCTCGGACAACACCGAGTATGTGTTTATAAATAAGTCGGCGAAAGGGCAAAACCATAATATTATTATTATTTTTTTGGGGGTTCTTTCAGCAAATGTTTTCCCATTACAGCAAATCTGGGTATCCTATTTCCAATGTCTCACCTGTTCCAATTTCCAATCATCACCTGTTAGGGAAATGCATCAGTGAACACTAAAAAATGAATTAGTCTTTGTCAATTTGGCAAAGCGGAATGTAAGAAGAGAGTAACAAGATTTCTGGCTTTTGACTTTTTTTTATGAACATTCAGATACAAGTACCGGTATGACACAGGTAAAGAAACTTCACTGGAACCGGTCCCTGTCATCGTTTTTGTAAATGCATAACAAATAACTTGATCCTTCAAACTTTTCTTTTGTGACTTTTTCTGTGAATGTTGTACTTGAAATCAAGTGTTGTTTTGAAGTATACATACATGTACATGCAGTAGTATGCAGGATTTTACTGGGGGGGGGGAGTGTCAAGCAGACACTCAACGCTGGAAGGTTGCTTTGGTTTTTGTTCTTTTCAGTCAACCGGCCGTTACAAAATCAAAAAGTGGCGGCTGGGGGTGTGGGGGGGGGGGAGGGGCAGGATTCACATATGTAATATGAACCTTAATGGCTTTCCAGCTTACCTGAGCCATACTGCAGGCTTACTCTCTATCTGCAACTTCAACGGATGAGTATATAGTCTGTGTTTCACGGTTCACACGAGAGAAACCTGTATACAAAGAAATTCGAAGGGAGAATATCAGACACATACACTGTGCATGTATCATCAGGTGAGTTATTTCTCATCATCATTATGTTAGGGTTACATGGTTACAAGTCTCCGAGTATGAGTACTTGTACTTCCGAGTACGAGTACTTTGACATTCGAATATGAGTACGAGTACTAAAAAAAAAGTACTCGAGTAGTACTCGAGTACAAGTATGAGTGCTACAACACTGCTGAGAAAGTGCAGATACTTCCTTTCCATTGCTACTAACAGGGTAAGTATGCTTCAAAAGCATAAATAAACTACAAATAAAGTCTGAATGTGAAAATCCAATTATTACGAAGTCCAACATTTATAAGTAATTATGCGAGTGTGGCATATTTACAGAGGTAAATTGGCAACATTTGTGGGGCTCTGTTTCCTTCTGTTGTTGAGTCTCACTCCCTATCCATATCACGCTTTTTTGGGAAAAAAATGCTGCAACCCCACTTAGAATTTTTCAGTCCAATCTCATAGGGTTTGTACACAGGGTGTAGAGTGAACTTTGTATTATATGGAAATCTTTCCCATCATTTTTGCAATGAATGACCTTCATTGAGATGATATGTGAAGAAAAAAGTTGCGTCAGCTTGCAACTTTTTTTTCTGTTTTTTTTTCCGAAGGAAAAAAAGGGGTGTGTGCACCCCCCCCCCCCCCCCCCCCCCCCCCCCCCCCCCCCCCCCCCCCCCGAATCTGAGCGCTGAATTAAGTACCTGGGGGCTCCGCGCAAGTTTAACCAATATGGCATCAGATTACGACATCATTTTTAACTTAAGTCTTAGAATAAGAGGATATTTTTCACAAGGATACCCCTTTTTCAAAAAAAGTTGCATTCTGACGCCACTTCAGCGGTTGTGTACAAAGTCTATGGAGAGTCAAGAAAATTTTCTCAGTATTTTCCAACAAAATTGGAAATGTTTCTCAGAATCATGTCTTATCATCTTTTTGCAAATGAATGACCTTCATTGAGATGATTACTCCTAGAACTATGAGGCTCCACGTAGTGGAGCCTCATAGGTTCAGAACCCCGCAAAATTGTTGTCGGCACAAAACACTAATTAAGTACAAAAACGTCCATCCCAACCAAGCCGTTTCCCACAGAACCGCTGCACAGTTTGCCCCTAAACTCCGTACAATACCTCATGACATACTCACGTTATGTGCACCCAACAAACATCGGTGGATTCTGTCGGTTTTTTTGGCAAAATGATGAAAAATATGCCTTTTCCGCACTGAGCCAACCTGACACTTGAAATTTGCACGCGCGCAGAATGATCGCAGTCATTTTCGGGTTCGATAGCTCGTAGCGCGCCGCGGGGGGTACGTACTCGCACTTGTACGCATGCGCATACTATCGTTCCGCTCCTACACCATACCCCCCACGGCGCGCTCCGAGCGATCGGACCGAAAATGACTGCGATCATTCTGCGCGCGTGCAAATTTCAAGTGTTAGGTTGGCTCAGTGCGGAAAGGGCATATTTTCCATCATTTTTGCAAAAAACCGACAGAATCCACCGATATTTGTTGGGTGCACATAGCGTGAGTATGTCATGAGGTATTGTACGGAGTTTAAGGGCAAACTGTGCAGCGGTTCTGTGGGAAACGGCTTGGTTGGGATGGACGTTTTTGTACTTAATTAGTGTTTTGTGCTGACAACAATTTTGCGGGGTTCTGAACCTATGAGGCTCCACTACGTGGAGCCTCATAGTTCTAGGAGTATGAGATGATATATTATGAAGGAAAAAGTGGCATCAGGTTGCAACATATTTTCCCCCTTTTTCGCCCGCCGGCCTGCCCCCCATCAATCAAATTATAAATGCCATAATTCACAAAAATGTCATTAAAATGTGTTACAACCATGACAACCAAAACAATATTGGCTCTACTGCACTGCCACAAATTGGGCCAAAAAATGTGGACAAAAGTTATCAACCGATCAATCACGTGGCATAAGAACAAGTGCCATTGCGTTTATAACTTTACCTGAAAAAATCCCACATCATATTTACCGCCGTGAGAGTGAGACGGCCTTTTTTTAGTGAGACAAGCAGCAGAAGTTGAACTTGACTTGAAGTTAAGAAAAGAGTTATGACAAACCTTGCTGCTGCTTGAAGATATCCTAGTTCCTACGATGCCACAGTGATTTACATTGAGCTAGCCAACTCCTACTTGATGTTCCTCCCACCGCTTTGAATTCCAATCCTATATGAATGATCAAGAATACATGTTTAGCGCAGAGTTTCACACATTCAAGAGAAAATCATTCTCCGCCATTTTTTTTGGCATGGACTTCCGCTTATAGCATAGACTTTTTCGAAATGTTGGCTTCGTCTCAACTGAGGATTCTTCCTTGGCGCTTCAGCAAATCGATTAATGGGGGACACTCTGAACTTTAGCCTCATAAATTGTATGGGAGATATTTTAAAAGCCGAACACAGTGCACATTGTGCCAGCATTTAGTCCATCACATCACACCAGCAGGGCTAGCATGGCTAGGCTGTCATGGACGTCGCGCGTTAACTATCCTGCAGCCGAAGCGAAGACAAAACCGACGTTTTTGAAACCTTTAGGCTTTACACATCGAACATGGCGGTGCTGAATTGCATGCATTTGACTGAGCTCGCATCTGTGCACACCGAGCTTCAAAGCTATCCTGAACTATCGGTAAGACGAATGTCGGACACTTCGCCCCATTTCCACGTCGCCCCATGTCACTTCGCCCCTAACCACTTCGCCCCATCCCCACTTCGCCCCATCCCCACATCGCCCCATCCCCACTTCGCCCCATCCCCACTTCGCCCCATCCCCACTTCGCCCCATCCCCACTTCGCCCCATCCCCACTTCGCCCCAGCCGTTACATGTAAAAAAAAAAATCTCATCTATTTTTTTGGCTTAAAAAAAAAACTATTTCAATAGATTCACTAATTGCTAACCAACGGAAAGAATTAGCCCATCACCAAATGAACAATTCATAACCAACCTCTCAAGCTAGGCTCTCCCCTACCGAGAAAAAAGCTTGAAGTAAAAGATCCAACTTTGTTCCCAACCCGGCTATACCAACCCGTCTCCCACTTATCTGAGAACGACAATACCTTTGACATCCTAATTTCACTCTTGGAGGAACCAATCTCATCAATGAAGTTGTAAGTCTCACATATCAGACAAATTTTGACGGAACATTTTCCTCAAGGCAGTGAGTTCCTTTGAACTCAGTGACCCATACCTACGGGATTCTTTTGAATCCAGCGGCTGATGATTTTATTTAAGCCATCATTTCTCTCATCTGTGTCTCGAGCACCTCATCAGAGAGTTTGTATTTTTCCTGAGTTTCTAGAATTGGGAGCATTTATTATCTGGGGTCTTTGGCAGTTTATTTGGTCTGCACCCCTAGCCTTCCCTTTTTTATACTACATGGGGCGAAGTGGGGATGGGGCGAAGTGGGGATGGGGCGAAGCGGGGATGGGGCGAAGTGGGGATGGGGCGAAGCGGAGATGGGGCGATGTGGGGATGGGGCGAAGTGGGGATGGGGCGAAGTGGTTAGGGGCGGAGTGACATGGGGCGACGTGGAAATGGGGCGAAGCGTCCGACACCCGGTAAGACATATGATTCATTGATTGTGACCATCTTGCAGTTAAGAGAATCGGCGTTTATATATGACAATTAGGTATTTGATTTAACTATTGGGTGTCTGTGCAAAGACATATCGTCGGACCCACGAGATCCTATTTTGACGCACTCGCATTCAATTTGCGTTTGAAAACGTGCGCGCATTGTAAGCGTTTAATACCTGCGCCAATTATGATGAACCCTGGAGGATACATTGTCTTTCAAATTTGTGCGCGCGTGTGACTAGTTGAGTTCACTCCATCCAGCTATGAAGTAAACATGTGCGCGCAGGACAAAAAAAAAAAAAAATCTCCGCAAGCAGTGCAGCCTGCACTCTGCAGCCAGTGCAGGGTCAGTGTGCGCACATCCACTGCATGCAGCTCTAATTTATTAGCCCACTGCTGGGAAATTCAAAGGTTGATTATTAATGGGTAGAATACATGTGAATCGCGAATGTATTTTTTTCAGTGAGATGTAAATAATCAGAGTTAAAAAACAAAGTTTCAAAATGTAGTTAGTCTACTCTTACTCTTAGCATGCTTAGGAAGCTAGTTGCTCTCAGGGATATTATAATAAAATTTATTAAATTTACATTCAATCATTAAACTTTGGTAAATATGGATTTAGTGGGTCGGATGGTTTTCTGTGGTTAATTAGTGATTGGATTGTTGTCAATTTTGTTTATTTTGATTATCTTCTTTTTGTTTGATCATGTACATTTGTTTAAATCCATTCTACAGAGCACCCTCCCAGATGGGTACGAATATCACCTGTGTTCCTTCAGCCCCCTGGAAGGAGGCTTTGATGCAACTGTTCGGGTTGCCTTACAAGACGAGGAGGGAGCAACTGAGTGGCTTGCAGACTACCAAGAACACAGTCGTGTGACATTGCGGGTGAAAGCAACAAAGCCAGAGAGTGGGCGAGTCAACCTCTTCAAGGTGTACTACAGGTGTCACCACAACACCATACCCAGATCTGAAAAGGCAGATTTGCGGCCAAAATCAAAGAACACAAATTGTCCAGCCCAACTCACCATCACAGTCAAAAGGAACCCTGGAAAACGTAGCCAGTAAGTTTGTAAATGCATTTGTTATTATTATTATTATTAATCATTTCTGGTAATGAAACCAAGGATTCCTCAAAAGCGCCCTAGGCACTGTAGCTTGCAAGCCTGAAGAAACCTGTGGAGAGAAGACAATGAGAAGAAGTTACAGTTTTAGAGGTGGGAGGAAAACCCTAGAAGAATATTCTGGGGAAAACCCACGGAATCAGGCAGGGGCTGAAAACCCAATCCACATATTGGCCCAGGTGGGATTCGAACCCGGGTCACAGCGGTGGAAGGCGAGGAAAGTACCGCTACGCCAACCTGACTCCCAAAAGACAAATCCACTGATTTAAATCATGCAGAAATAACCCATTTTTGGCACATGTTTATCTTTGTTAACAATTTGAGGTACCCTTTTTAAAAATGTTTCAGGGCCAAAGTCAGAGATCCTCATCTGCCACTGTTTGCTACTATAGTACATATTAAGCACATTCACAATCACCAAATAGCCTGCCCCGATGCCTTCAAGTTCCGTGATGTTTCAAAGGATGTGATTGCCAAGTTCACTGAGCTGTACTCCAAGGGATATTCGCCCTCATCGGCCCTGAACACCCACAAGTTGGATTTGCAGTTGGAACATGAAAATGACTACCTCTATGTATCTGCTGACCGAGCACAGTGCCCCGATCTGCAGTTTTGCCATAGGTATGAAATTAAATGTTGTGTAGTATTTGAAGTCTTTTCTGCTTTTGTATCCAGAGCAAAAAAGTCTTTGATTGGTTGATTACAAATTATATCATCTTCGGGTTGTAATAGGGAATGAAACAAAATCAGACCATAACACAGTTTGCATCAGTGTTGTAGTACTCGTACAAATTATATATTTTTTTCCAAAGCAGTATACAAAAAGGTCAAATTAATGATGTGTCCATTGTTTGTGCTCATGCTTTAAGGGAAACAATAGAAAAATTACCCACATCTTTTGGCTTTTTTCTACCTAAGTATTAAATCTCTTGTGATTATTTGTTAGGAATTCAATGCCATTAGTGCTGTGTACCTTTTTTTCCCTCCCATTTCTTTCATCCTTCAGATTGTACAAGAAAATGTTTGACAAGGCGTATGGGGCAGCTTCAGGTGAGAAGATGATACAGGACCTTGGAGCTTCTATCGAGTCATACAATGAAGAGCAGGGTCTAGAGTGCTGCAAAATGGATCAGGTGAATGGCAAGATGGTGATTGCTGTATGCACACCCCTTATGCGAAGGATCCACTCAAACCATCGGTGTAGTGGTGAGCTGGTATTCGTTGATGCGTCAGCTGGAATTGAAAAATATGACTGTAGACTGTTCATGATTCTGACACACAGTGTGGCTGGAGGATTGCCTCTTGGATGTTTGATAACAACATCCGAGTCTAGAGAGGCTATTGTTGCAGCACTCAAGTTGTACAAGCAGCTGATTCCAGATGATGGTTTCTATGGAAGAGGAGACCAAGGCCCAGTTGTTTTCCTCACCGATGACAGTGACGGCGAGCGCCAGGGTCTTCAAGAAGTGTTCCCCAATTCAAGCACCATCTTATGCGTCTTCCATCTACTTCAGGCTACTTGGCGGTTTCTGTGGGAAGGGAAAAACAGCATCTGTGAAGAAGACCGACCCCATTTGTTGGACTTAGTTAAGGGCATGGTGTATGCTGACACAGCTGAACATCTTGAGGAGAACTATGACAGAATGAACAGAGATGCCATAGTCAAGAAATACAGCTGTTTCCTCAAATACGCGAAACACCTGTACAATCGGAGACAGCTGTGGGCAGTCTGCTTCAGACGTGACCTACCCCTCGGCGAGAACAACGTGACTAACTACATGTATGTGGAGGCCGCGATGCGAATCCTCAAGGATCAAATCTTTCGGCGTGTGAGGGCTTACAATCCTGTTCAGCTTTTGGATTTCGTGTTGACAAGACTGGTCAGTTACTACGAAAGAAGTTTATGTGATCTAGCCAATGGACGAATTGATGTGACCATATCGAAGAGATACCTTCCCGGGAAGGGTAGGATCACTGCGGAGATGGTGAATGAGTTGCAGTTCCCTCTCTTTGAGGTTCAAAGCGAGTCCGAACCAGAGAAAAAGTATCAGGTCGACATGTCAGTGGCAATGTGCACATGCACTGCGGGCCTCAATGGTGCACCTTGTAAGCATCAGTATGCAGTTGTTGAGTTCCGTAAGGTGCAGTCTTTCACTTTTCCTCCCATCCATGACGAGATCATGCGTCGGAGGTTACTCTTCTTAGCTACTGGGCAGGAAACTGGAGATATAAGAAGGCATGAAGACCGTGGAAATTCTACACAGGAGTTCAGACTAGAAGATTTGGAAGCAGGGTTGCACTCCATGGCAGCAACTCTCACCGACCAAATGAGGGAATATCCAGAGGAACTAGCACCAGCTGTACGCGCCTTCATCACACAGTTCAAGAACTTAAAAACTCACTCTGCAACAGTTTCAGCCTTGATGGCATTTGGAAAGCAACATGAAGTTGCCCAATCATTCAGGTCATCGACAGCAAGACGTTCTCAGAAAAGGGGTTCCGATCAGGGTGCAACAAACCACTGTCGCTCAAAGAAGCAGGCGATGTCTTCATACTGGTAGAAAATGTAAATGAACAGTGCAAGACCAGGGCCAACTTGTCCCCAGAAGGAGACCAAGATAAGGGCACCACATACAAGTTATCTAGCAAAATGTGTTCAAACAAATGAAAATACATCTATTCGGGAAAACCATACGTCTATATGGTAATTTTGCCATTTTCCTGTGCAGCAAAGTACTATAGAAGCACTCTACATGTATATGATCAATAGCGGTAGTCCTTTTTGATGCTTGGATTAATTTCAACCAATTTACCACTTCAAGACGCCATTGCCAGTGTTAAAATAAATGATGTAGTTGTTTTGTTTAATAACGAAGTATACAAATGTAGTTAAAAAAACAACAGGACAATATGGTCACATTATTAACTTGTGCAAGTGTGGTATTAAACATCACTGTTGTCATGCACTAGTAAATCCTTGTAATTTCTTGTAATTTTTTTATCAAGTTTGCCTAATCTCAGTCAGTCTAGTGGCAGAGCATTTTTGAGAGTTTATCACTTCATGCTCACCACAGGCATTCACTACACTCCTTCCCTCCCTCGCCTGTGAGTTATTGCATCAACATTCATCGTCAGGAAATTTAAATAATAATTTAAATAAAGCTTGGCCATGCCTGTTCTTCAGAATTTGTTCTTATAAAGTTGTGTAATTTGTTTTAGGAACATTGTTTTTCTTCTAATATCTGTAGTCCCTATGATAGCCAATTCGAACTTGGAGTTATTTTGTTCTCCTACATGTATAGCAACATATCTACAACTTCAAACAAAGTGCACAGTGACATTTCTTTACAGTATTTGTTTGTTGTTGTCATGCTTCCGGTAGGTTTTCCAAAGCCCACGTCAGTTCTATTTTTCAGTTAAGGTATTTTTGTTAAGTGGAACAAAATAGTTTCAGGACTAAACCAAATTGAGGTTTATTGAAATAACATGTTTGTGTGTCTTACCTGATGAAGCTTGTATTTTACTGATAATGTATACATGTACTTGTACCTTTGTAAGTAAAATGGAACAAAATATGTGTAGTTTTGTAAAAAACAAAACAAAAAAAACACCAACATGCTTGAAATAAAGCACAATGGAAAGCGAGTAGCTAACAAAGTCTAACCCAGGAGCCCTTTATTTCCAAAAAAATAAAAATGTTCACTGTTCACATTATACAAATTGCCCAACAGTGAGCAATAGTTGCCTGTGCATATAAACTTATATAGACGGGCGGAAATCGTTGGAAGTACACGTACTCACAAGTAACCGTGCTCTTCTTTCCCTTCATTTTTTACTTCTTGAAACAAAGCGTATTTGTTTTTTCATTGGTCCGTATTTTTTTAATGTACTGTAACTACATGTATTTCAAAATGGCGACTATTTCACGACGCATGGGATTCAGCTGACCCCGACTGAAAACTGTGGATGTTTGAGAAATGGCGATCGTCTATGACGTTTGTTTTTTTTCATGAATGCATTGTGCTTTCAATGATGTAATGGTGAACAGCCAATCAGGCGCTGTGAAAGTACGCTCCATTCGGATGTCGTTTGGGAGAAAAGAATTGTGGGCGGGCAGGGGTAGGCGCAGATAGACATCAACGTACCAATGCATGACCTACACCCAAGACCTGCAGCTCCAGGCTTTAAGGTCATTGGGGGAGTGTGTAGTGTCACACAAGAAAAAAACACTTTTAGATCATTTCTATGCCTATGGTTTTTGCTGAGGGGAGGGGGTGGGGCCTAGATTCACGCCAGGGTAGAAGTCAATACACACAAAAACCACACACGGAGACATTTAAGTAAAACAGTTTCAAAATATATTCCTGATTTAATGGGACTAATTCAATTATATACACAAAGTACTTCCCAGTAAAAATAGAATGAAACTTAAAATAATTAATTTTAATATAGAAAAATAGCTACAACTGCTCCAAAAAATCAATGAAAAAAGGAATACATGTTCAATTTGTTTCAATTATCTATTGCCATAAGAATGTTATATAATTGTGAAAGACTTTGCGTTTATAAAATACAATTTTGATTGGTTGGAATTTGAATACAGTACCTGCAATAAATTGTGTAAATATAAAATAAATGTATCATATGCAATTGCAAGCATAAACCCATACAATTCACAATACTATTATTAATTTAAAACCATTGTGCCCAATGACAATCAAAACAGTACTGACATCATCTCGATTCATTTACTAATATGGCATACAAAAACATGTACAGCAATGTCAATTAACAAAACTGAAAAAAAAAACCATGGAATACTTGATGAAAATTGTCAAAGGTCCCCAAAAGAACATTTGGAGAGCACTTAAATTTGACAAAAATTAAAAAAAAAACTAAAAGAAAACCGACATCTCAATGAAAACAAGCTGGTATTCAGAACAGCTGTAGGCATGCATGCAAAGAGTGTTCCATCAACAGGGATGAGATTGTCAATTTTAAAACAAGTCTGAAAATTAAATGAAAGGTCCGAAAGATGCATTTCTTTCCGTGCTGATGTCCTTCTCTCTGGTTCAAAAGGTTTGAATTCAGACAAAATTCTGAAAACTCTCATGCCTGTATAAAATGTCGTGTTCCAGGGTGCTTCACAGAGAATGGGTGTTATACAAATTTCGTACGAGTTTCTAACTTTGATATTTATTAAAAAAAATAATAACTGCACTCTATAATAGGCCTTTCATGACTAAAGCTGAACTATCTGACTTTGCTAGAAAGATTTTTAAATTATTAATGGCATAAGGAAGAACAAACTTCAAGTGAAAATCAAATTTTAAAAGGGGACTGATAAAAAAAAATTGAAAACCTTAAAAAAAAATTGAAAACCTTAAAACCAATTGAATGAAGCTGCTGCAAACTAAGATACCTAACACCACGTACATACAGGCATGTGTACAATGTCTAGTTCAAAACAAAGCTCTATAAGGCCAAAAAAGTCTCCGGTTTCTGGTATGCGCGCGCGTCGCCATAGCCATGCGTGTTGGCAAAATGAAAAAGGTTTTTTTTTCAATGAAAGATGATGTCTCAAAACCGCCAAACTCACTGGTTTGACTGGAATCCTGCTGCTGCACAATTTTAACGTGTTTGTGGATGGGGTTATGATCGAGAATAAGCTTTATGTGGCCTCTCTGGATTCCCATATATTTGCACTAAGTTTAGTCGGGCACCATTTGCAGTCATCAGCTGACATTTGAGGCAAAAAAAATCAGGTAAAAAAAGCCGCGTTGCCGCACCACTTTTTGGGCAAGCTCCATACCAGAAACCGGAGACTTTTTTTTTTGGCCTAATGCAACTCTTTTTGCCACCAATGGAACATTACCCGTCACCCAAATATTCTTCTTTTTTTTCCCCTTAAAATCCTGCTGTACGGACTGCAGAAACAGTTTTTGGTTTATATTCCGTCAATTACCAATGAGTCTAATGTTAAAATGATAATCAAAATAACTTTAAAATATAGATTTCTCTACAAAACCTTTGTTTTTTCTGAAAAAAAAGTAGGACTATATACAACAAAAATTATGAAAATAAAAAAGTAGTGCCAGCTAGGCTTATGAAATTTCATTCTACCCAGGTAATAAACCCACTATAAGTTAATGCAAATGCAAATGCAATTGAGAAAATTACAGAATAATCGACTGATATTTTCCAGAAAAGTTTTCTGAACGTTGACCACTTTGGCACATTTTCTTTTAAGATGTCCACTTCACATCTGCATCCACTTGAAACATGATAAAAATGGACTCGTCAAGAACACAAACTATGCTATTCATGCTGCTGCTATGTTCACTTAAAACAATACAATTCTGATAAAAATGTCAACCAAGGTGCATAAGAGAAATGTTGTTCACAGTTAAACTTGTGAGGGTCAATTTGTTCGTCATTCACCACAACTTTTAGATGTGATGATGCTGTCCACCAGATATCTTTTAAAACTACCAAGCTAAATTGGTCGGGTAATAATCAATCTCTTATTAAAACTTCAAATCACTACCTATTTCTATCAAATCCACAGTTGCTTGAGGTGACCTGTGTAGTAATTGAAAAGTTTGCGCCGTATAATACAGAAGAATTATGCTAATAAATGCTAAAACCATGTACAGACATAAACACCCAAGCTTATTGAGTAACAACCCAGCAATTTTCTGAATACTTTGACAATTAAAATACAAATCTGATCAATCCATGTATGCATGAAAGCTCATTTATCCATGCTCCCCCGACGAATGCCCGACTTGTTTTCCCTCACAGCTGAACGTCTTGCACTGTTACGAGACATTTTGCTGATCTGAGGCCCCTGTTCCAGAAAGAGAATGATAAAAAAGTGGGGGAAAAACACGTTGACTATCAAATTTAGTATCGGGTTTTGCCCTTCACCGACGTATTTCATAAACATGGTAAAGTCAGTATTGTACAAGTGGTGGTGCGAAGAAAAAAAACACACAAAATTAAAAATTGGGCACAACCCAATACATTACCCCGACTCGAATTCCATCGCACATTATTTGCTGAAAAAGTAAATTATACACTTCATTGATACAAAATAAGGCAATGAAATTTACACAATATTCAAAACTTAGTTGTTTTGATAAGTATACATTTGCAGTTAAAACTACCTTCTCACATTCTCACAATCTCACCAACATCTGAATCATTTCCTTTTAAGGATTTGACTGGCGCCCCTTACAAGCACCACGTATATGTTAAGAAAATGCGTTCATTGTAAAGAAAAAAAAATGCATGTGCAAATGTTTAGCGTTGCCTGTTAAAGTGGGTACATATTTTCCATCAACTGGGTATATTGTGATCAGATACAGCACTGCTTCACCACACACAGCATACTACACTGTTGAAAAGTATTGGCGTTAGTGGTGTGATTCATATCCAGATTTGTTAAAATTGGGTTTGAATTCCACTATTCAGTTTTGATTTTGAAAACCAGATATTCAAAACCTTCTTAACAAAAATAAACCCTTCCATTTTTGTGACACAGGTTAAAGAAAACAATTGCAACATCTCCCAGTTTGCTCCATGGTCTGTGACCGCATTCACTCGCTAGTGGTCTTCATGCATGGATCATGAATAGCCTGCCCATTTGACTGATCCCGCCCATTTTTTCACCATTACAAATCTGGAGTGCATTGCAAGTGGCCACTTATGCTCACTCTTTTTGTGAGCTGGCTGGAAACTTTTGGTGAAATCGGATAATCATTATTCGGTTTGAAAAAATTGAAATGCGGATTTTGAAATCTCTGATTTCTCACACCACTAATTGCTTTTGTAGTGATCAAATAATATGCCAACATTGAAGTGATTGTGCGTTGTCCTAGTGCATTTGTTTTAATCAGAGTTGTAATAGAGTCAGTTACAAGCCAATCACAAGTCAGGTACGGTAACAATTATCATCATGAACAATGAAACAGGAATATTGCCTCAATTGTCACATGTATTTACTTAGCATGTGACTTCACTTGAGACCAGGGCCCATTTGAAAATGTTGCTAAGCACACGATTATCTGCTTACAGAGCCTCCATCTATTTCATGGAGACCGTAAGCAGCAAGCACAGCAAAAGGCACGCTTACTTAAGAGGACAAATTTGCTTAGCTTTAACGTAACAATAGAAATCTCCATGCACGCGCGACCGTTAGCACGTCCACGCCGTGAAATAGTGCTAAGGGTTAGCAAATTTTTCTGCTATGCTAAGCAAAACTTTTCTGCTAACTGTTAAGCAGCGCCGTGAAATTGGGCCCAGATGACTTGTGACTAACTTGTGATGCCTCGATTAGTCTAGTTTTTAATTAGTGTCCAACATAAACAATTCAAGTTAACATCCAGCATACCTTTGCTCCTTCTTAGCGCTTCTTTGGGGTATAGGGTTTAGCGGGTGGGGCACGGGCAGCCGGAAAAGACTTCCTATCGCCCCCTTGGGGTGGGGGTGGGGCTGGGGGTCGGGATTGGCGGAGAGCTCCGGAATATAGGCGCTCGGGTAGAGGCGGAGGCACTCCGTCAATGCTGTTAGTGCGACCAGGCTGTAGATGACAAGCAGATAGACAGACAGACAGACGGACAGAGAGACAGGTGGAGTGTGAACAGACATATCCGCAAGAAGACACAGTGACACAGACACGGTGAGAAAAAAAGAAAAATTGTAAAAGAAAAGGTTAGAATGGAATCCAGCCAACTGAAAAATTAAAAATACTTGGTATTTTAGTTTACGTTTCACTTGTGATTAACAGCTGTATTTCACATTTATTATGACATATATAAGAAAGTTTTTCGAAAATCCATATTTGATCTTTGTAGACTGCTGCATTTTAAACTTCAAATGCTGGCAGGTTGTAGGACCTGCATACAATTAAGTTGCACTACAGTTGTTGACTTTTTAATTTTTTGTTGCCATAAAGATGAGTAACACCAACATTGTGGAATTTTGTTTTTGTTCCTGATGGTTGTCTTCTCTTGTTAATTGTTAGAAGGTGAAGAAAAGGTGTCAGGATTAGGCCTACAGTGTGAAACAAAGGAGCAAGATGTGAGCATGATCATGCAGAAAAGTTACTGTTAGCAAAAGGATAAAAAGTATGTAAACTCCGCCACTCGGTACACATGTACCCCTTCAACAGGTGTAAGTAGGAGAGTTGGGGGAGACCACTAGAAGGGACTCTTGTATGTATTGCTGATGACGCCTAGCATTCATGTGAAGATGCCACAGGTGTGCGCAAATTTGCAATACAACAAGTTGTGCATACTTGGTGCCATACGCAAGCAACCCAGAGCACACAGGCAAATTAATTGTCCCTCCCACCTTCCGGTTGAGGGGGTACTTGTGTAGGAGCCCATTGGTATAATTGTCGTTTGTTAACTATTAGATGGCTTAGTTTGTTAGTGTTCAGCCTGACCAACAGAGAAAAAAGGGAAAAAGATTGGTGCATAAGAGGTGCCTCACCCAAAAATCGCAATTTCACTAATGTTCATCACCTCTCCTGTGTTAAGTTCTTACAGTTCAAATCTCACATTCTCTTCATCAAGTTCCCATGCATTTATAATCTCTCGCATTATCTCAGCTTTGTCAAATATATTCTCTCTTTATTCACATCATATTCTCTTGCTACCAATATTCATGTTGCATTGGTAATATTCTTCTTACATTAAACCGCTCACTGCCTATACATTTTCTAAGAGAAAGTGTTTCAGTTATTAATATAGTGTCCTATACAATCCTAAAAACAAACCAGAAAATACATCTGAAAACATGTACCGGGTAGTTCTTTAAGACTTAAAAAATTTGTTGTAGTATAGATTTTGCCAGTACACAAGGAGCAAGTTCGGCTAAGGACCATTCGTTGACTAGTGGTTTATTTGTGACGTACCTTACGCCTGCGCACTAATAGCAACGTGCGAATGTCTCTTGTCAAACGCTGGTCAAAATGTCATCGCAAAACTTCTGGGTCCTGGCTCCCTGCTGCTCATTTTAAATGCGTGCAGCTACTGGTTACCAGCGATGCAACCAGACCCAGTAGGCTGGTTCCAAATAGTCGACTAGCGAAGTCAGCCATCGTCGACTAGACAGAGTTCGGGCTAACTTTAGTCGAATTATGGTTAACATTGGTCAACAATAGTTCCTGCGCGAACTTGCCCAAGAATGTTCCATAGGTTTATAAAGTGTGCTTTCAGTTTTGCGTTTTGTTTTCTGAATGTGAAAAGATAAGAATTTCATTCATTATACAGGAATGTACTATTGTAGACAGGTTATGAAAAGTTACAAGATACTGTAAAGGAATTGATGAGAAGATACATATTCAGGAAGAATTAAATTGCATGTCAGAAATGTGGAATAATTCTTGAATGTACACTTTTGTTGAGTGAAAAGTAAACTTTTTCAAACAAATTTAAATGTAATGTATTTTTGATATTCCAAATTTAAGTATGTAGATATCAAAAAGTTTCTCGTGGGAAATGTGTGATGTGCATGTACAGATGTCATAAAATTGTATCAATGTTCCTGTAACTGTAAGTTTCATCAAATCTACATGTGAAATAGAATGTGCTCCTTCAAAGACGTGTGGACTTGGCATGCGTTCCAATAATAAGAAGAAATATGGAAGTCTGAAGGACGACAGCTGCCACCAATCCCTCTATGAATAGCATCAATAATTGATATCAGAAAATATTAACACAGCAAGCATCAATTTAACTTTGATAATTTAGCCTACCCAAGACTCTCCTACTTTTACGAGGAGCCTGAGGGCTGACTTGGAAACCTATGATTCTGTTCACTATCCCGTTTAAGATTACCTCATTTCCATTGGAAGGGTCCACATAGAGGTAAGATGCCTCACTGACTGGTCTGGGAGGCTTTCCCTGGCGGGAGTCTTGAGGTGACCCTAGGCTGTAGCCATCAGGCGAATAAAAACCCTGCAGATAAAACAGCAGCGAAACTCATTGACGTAACTGCACATTACTTCATCATGAAAATAAAAATATAGACACATAATATATGTGATGCGATCAAGGTACATGAGTCGTTTGTAGACCCTGGTCAAATTTGTTATAATAGATTTAAAAAGAGCACAATCTCAGCACTACTGCTGTGAAAACCACATGCTGATACCATCTTTAGTTCAAAATTATGGAAGTTGGAACACCATGAGATGTGATGAAGTGATGTGATGAAGTGGCCCTTTTTTGGCCTGTATGTCTAAATAAAATTTCCCGACAAACGACTCATTTAGCTTGATCACATCACATATTGTCATAGACCAATCAAGGCACATGATCACGAGTACTGCACAGTGGCCCCCAGTGATGGCGTATGCACTGTGCAAGCCGTTCTGCTTATTATCGGACAGCAGCTGGCACAATGCTCTGCCAGATTTGGGGGCCATCATGAGTGAACAATGACCCAAGTGCAGACTAGTCTATGACTTATTATAGGATCTAATATTATACAGATAAAACATGGTCTGAGGGTCGATAGTCGATATTAGCTCCCTGGGCCTCAGGAACTAGTCGGTCAACTTCCAATACCAAGAGGAGCTAATATCAACTATCCACCTGAACGAAACCATTTATTATTTGTTTCACTATGTCGGTAGAGTCAGCGAGGGCAACTGCAGCAGAGGCACGAAGTCAATGGCAGCATGAAGCATTAGCCTCCCAACTGAATAATCCCAATCGTAACCAACAGGACTCACTTGTGTGTACAATCTGTGGCCGTCTCTGTTGCGCCCCGATCGGGCTGATTTCACACATGAGATCTCACCAACGACGTGACAAACTGGTCTTTGGAAATTAGTCTTCCTCGACATCGAGGGACAGCCAATGACACATATTCACAAAACTTTCATGAAGTTATGCATAAGTTTTCTCAGCAACACGTTGTTGTGCGCGTGCCGCATCTTTTCATCCTGCATGTTGCTAGGGCGATATCAATGTTCACGCATGCGCACTATCCCCTTGCACTGATTCCATGATTTGTTGTTTTCTCAACACAGAACGTGGGCCAGAGTCCTTCAAGTCAGGGGCACAAAATGTCCCGAGGCCACAGGATTGAAATGAAACTGAGGCTTCATTAGCCTCTCGTCTGAAACCGCTCTGCCTGTGTCATATTACCTCTTCGTTATCCTCCATTCCCTTGTCTTTCATCTTCTTGATGAGCGACGAGGGTACGCCAGACCCACGCTTGTCTTTCCTGTCAGCCAGCAGCTCAGCGTAATCTAGCTCATTCTCAGCCTGCAAGCGGATAATAATAATAATAATACCGGAGTCTTATATAGCGCACGTATCTACCAACAATTAGGTACTCGAGGTGCTGAAACTTATGTCTATTATTAAAGAAAGGTAAATAAAGTTGATGAGAAATATGAGACCCATTATGCAACACCTTATAAGGGTTTACAAGGTGCTGCGTCGCATATTGCAGCCACTACCCGAAACACCGGGGCAAACCCTTCTCTTAGTGATACTGGGTTCTTTAACGTGCATTACACAACACACGGAACCTATGGCTTTACGTCCCATCCGAAGAACGGAGCAATAATGGTAAAGTGCCTTGCTCAAGAGCACAAGCACCGTGTTCCCAAGGTCAGGATTCGAACCTATGTACCATGACACACTGATACCCAAAACATAAAAATCCACTAATCCCTTTTTTTTAAATGAAAATGTTTCAGGGTGCATTTCGTTTTGGGTCCCCCTTTATTTCACTTGAGGTGACTGAAATAATTGCCCCTCAAGACTGCATGAAGATAAAAACAAGATTAAATACACTTGGCTGAAATTAATATTTTGAAATGATTATTGGTTCTTATTCGTTGTCAAGACTACAATGGAACTGTCATTCTTACTTGTCCACAAGGCTGTTTCAGAACATCTCCAAATGCTGATATAGGCTTCTGTAAAAAAGAAGCATTTTAAAATAAAGAACTGATTATCAAATGGAATTCACTACTTAAACATTCATTGGGCATCAGCAATAAGGCTGAAAATCAAAAAAAAATACAAACTGTGAGTAAAATCAAGACGGAAGTTCACACTAAAAAATATGTTCATTCTGACAGACTCTTTCAAGTAGAGTGCTGTGCTAAACACACTACATATCTATGGACTGCTGAACGCGGTTTCTTTTTAGTTAACTTTTCTGGCTGAAATTAACTCCATACCATCTGGTAGAATTTCACAAGCCCTTGCAGATCCTTGAAGACTGGCATCTCACCAACAACGATGTACTTTCCAGTCGGAGTGAGGTCAATCATGAAATGCTTGCAGCGACCTTCCGATCTGTGAAGTACGACAAACAAATTTTACTTCAATGGTCGAACAACTTAAAGGGAATGTACATCATTGGCTTTTGCCGTAATTTTCAGAAATGAACTATTTGAGGGTTTAGTATAATAGATCAAATATTGTTACACTGACATGTTTTAAGTTTTGTGTTCGGAAATGCTGGAAAAACCAAGCAAAACTAAAATGTTCAAGGAGTCTGGTTCCCAGACTCCACTAAAGATGAAATTGATCAATTTATAGATGCCGGAAAATTGTAAGGTAAGGGAACCAGTCTAGCTGGCCTGCACCCGTTCATGAACATGTAACCAATAGCAAACAAAATTTAGACTGAAAAAATGGTAAATATGGAGTAGTAGTTGAAAAATAGTAAGGTTTTTCAAATGGTGGTCGGCCGACCACCGTTGGAAATTTATTCAAAATATCACTTTCCTTGAAAATGACTTCACAGCAGGTGCCATAATTTTACAAGATGCTTTAGACTGTCATTTACCAACGTCCTAATAAGGTATTTCATAACAATTTGGTAATTTTGTTTTTCGATGTTTCCAAATAATGTATATTTCTTTTAAGTTGCTTTTGTCAGTTTTTTTTAGCAGTGTAAAAAGCTTGAGATTCCAGAGAATACAAGCCCAATTCTTTTTTCAAAGTGAAAATTGATTCTAATTGTGACAGCACACACCAGCCACACTTTTTTATTTTTTATGTGACTATTTATTCCTTGTCATTGATGATTGTTATGACACCCATCAGAAGAAATGATCGGATATTATTTTACAATCTTGTACTGTGGTCAGCTGCCTTGTTTTGTAGTACATCCACGCATGGTGTAACTTCTTGTATCCCAATACTCTTGCGAGCTAGGATACATTTATTGGAACCTACTCCTACTGAAGCTTCAGTTTATAAGATTTGAGGCTTTGCATGATGGAGTATCGGTATCGTTTCGGTTTGCGGTAACACCATGTAGTAATAACTACTGCTTAGAAGATATTTAGTTCTGAAAAGAACTTGTCCTGCTTATTATCAACTTTCGCTAAGTAGTTTTTGTTCTGATAACAACAGTCCTGCTTTAAGTTCTAAAAGAACTTGTCTTTGGTCTCAACGTTTCGACTAGCCTGCTCTAGTCATCGTCAGGTCTCCTGACGATGACTAGAGCAGGCTAGTCGAAACGTTGAGTGACGATGACTAGAGCAGGCTAGTCGAAACGTTGAGTGACGATGACTAGAGCAGGCTAGTCGAAACGTTGAGACCAAAGACAAGTTCTTTTAGAACTTAAAGCAGGACTGTTCTTATCAGAACACAAACTACTTAGCGAAAGTTTATAATAAGCAGGACAAGTTCTTTTCAGAACTAAATTTCTTCTAAGCAGTAGTTATTATAACACCTCACCCGCAGATTCTGTGTCTTGATTGGCCGAGAGTGAGTCACATGTTACTTTCTAATTTTGCTATCTTTCTGTGCACGGCCAAAAGTACTATGCGCATAGCAACCAAAGTACTATACCATTAGCAACCAAAGTACTATTTCCACGGCGCAGTATTTGTGTGCAAATGCATGCTGGTGTGCGGGTTGCGCGTTGTGCGTATTATTCCAAAGAGAGCGCGCCGCAGACTTGGGTTCAAACATTTCGTGAAGGGTTAGTTTTTAAGAGAGAAATACATTTTCCACCAATTTTGTATTGAAATTGAAGTTTATTTCAACTGTGTTCAGATTTAAATAATGTAAAATATTAAAATCAAGCAGAATCTGTGGGTGAAGCGTTATAAAACAAATATTGAATGCTTTATCTCGTGGTGAAGTAAAACTAGCCTCCCTCGGTGATCCATGGACCATTCTATTTTCCCTCGGCTTCGCCTCGGGAAAATAGAATGGTGCATGGATCACCTCGGGAGGCTAGTTTTACTACACCACTCGAAGCATTCAATATTTGTATACTACCACATGGTGTTACTGCAAACCGAAACGATAAGCTTCAGTTTGTCATCATGTACCAAGGACCTATGAAGGGTAGGTCATGAAAGAATCAAGGACTCACTTCAGAGACAGGGAATAGCCAAACCGACTCTCACTGACACGAATCAGGAATGAGCCAATCGGCTCATCTGCAAGTAAATCTTCAGCTCTCCTGGGAAGAGAAACAAGTTATCCAGAGAAATTAAAATAAATGCACATTCATGTAAAGCCGGCCTCAGGTCCACCTTGCGATGACACAAATCAGTCAGCGACTAACTTTTCAGGATCAAGCTGCGCCTGAGCTACGACCGTCGGGAACAACTCAGTCGCCGTTTTTTTTTGCGACCTGAGTGTAACTACGACGATATTAAAACGATCGGCATCAGTTGGTGCTAAACAAAATCACCAGTCGCAAGAGGAGAACAATTTCAACTTCTGCAGCCTGTTCCGCGACCATCACACGGTTTCTATGTTTTGTGACCTGAGTATAATTTTGTGCTTGATGCTGACGGTTCCGTCATGGCGCAAAAAAAATCATGGGTCGACCTGAGGCCGACTTAAGGGTCACTAATAACATCTATGATTAGTCCTCCAATGAGTAGTGACTTGACTTGAAATGAAATTGTGATGGACTCAACTACAACACTGCATGGTATCAGCACCCCAGTCATTGTTCTTGTCATGCAGTTACCTATCCCCTTACCACCAACAAATTACCGTCTCCCCACCGCCACCTTGCATTCTCCCTGGGGATGATTTTACCTCCTAGTTATGATTCCATGGAACCATGTAGCAAAGGTTCCCATCTTATCCCTGGCTGCCATGGACTGGGTGGCCTTGAACCAGTGAACTGACGCCTGACGGGTGCCTTCCTTGCCGAACAGGTTCTGCTTGATGCGGACAAACTCGTCTTCGATGATCTCATCATCTTCGTCATCGTCGTCTCCTTCTTCTTCCGAGGATTCCTGCAGCCGACAAGGATGTGAAAATCAACTACATCTGGGTATTGCCTTTCCTTGTTGTCAGTTTCATTTGCCACAGCATTTTTGTTTTGTAAAAAAAGGGGGGGGGGGGGGGACAGCACACATATTCCCTTTGCAACCAATTGATCCCCATGTGTTTTTGAGTTTGGTATGGTCCGCATTGTCCAACTGCTGACAAGGAAAGAAACAAATTCCCATGCTTGCTCCGGTGGGCCTAAAACCCCCTAGTCTCCTGCCTACCAGTGCACAGGTCCGAACCACTTCAGTTTACCGGGATCAGCTGGCCGGTCCAAAATCTTACATGTATATAGCAGCAGGCGGTACTACAATCAACAGCCTGAATGATAGTTAATATATTGTTGGAAATAGTTAAAAAGGTGCACAATTTTACTCCAACATGATGAGCGCCAAGAGCAGCAAGTGGCACATTTTCACACTTTAAAAGTTGAGCAGAACAATGCTGATGAGCAACAGTACAAAGTCGCTGACAAATTGGGAGACGGCCAGCATAGGCCTTTATAGCTGAGTCGGTAGAGGACAGATTTCTTCAGTGCCATAAGTATTTTAGTATTTCGTGAACTTTACGGACCTTGATACATGATACTTTTTTTGCACAGGGGAATAAAGAGTGTAAATATTGAATTAGGTCATGATGATTCCTTTTTAACAGTGGTCGGTTTCCAATTCTTACCTTGTCTCCCTTTTGATTGGCATCCTGCCGAATCTGAACGGCCGGGGCCTCAATCTTGATGACTTTGTCGCCTCTACGAATGGATTCAAAGAAGGCTGCAAAGAACCAGAATGCAGCAAATCATTCCCAAAACAATGCCGTAGCTTAAAAGGTAAACTCTGACAGCCAAGGCATTCTCAGGGAGCATTCCGTCAAATAGTACATAAGAAGTCAGCATTCATCCTATATGGAACTAACCTACATCTGTTTCACTGCAAGACCCTTCGGAAGATGGGGGAGGGAGATGACACAACTTGCCCATGGCAAAATTAAAGTTGGCAATACTGACATTTGCCATCCACCAGAGATTCAAACATAGGTGAGAGCAGTGTTTCCCCTGCCCATTCAAACATGAGGTGGCCCACCTTGCTACTTTCAGTGTCAATATCACCACTTCGCTGTGAAGATTTACAATATCAATTGAAAATTGTTCATTTTGTGTAATTTATGAGCGTTTTTCTTGACCTCCATGTATCAAGAACTCACAATAAGCCATTTGCGAGTAACCTATACCCTTTGGAATTTACATTTGAAAAACGTCTGGTACAATGACTTGCTCAGAATGCTTGGCACATTTTAACTTTGAATTCTCCAGACCAAAGACACTGTTGCTAATCACATGATTCGGGGCAAGCTCTTGCATAGTTACGTAAGAGACGCTCAGCACCAATACATCGTTCACAATGGGTGAGAATGGCACAAAGACACCAGACCATGCCGGAGCTGGGGGTTGCTAGCATAAGGCTTGCCCCGAATCACGTGATATAGTAACAGTCTCTTTGGTCGAGAGAATGCTAGGTTAAAACGTGCAAAGCATTGTATTAAGTCAGCGTTCCAGATTTTATTCAAATTTAACTCGCAAATGGCTTATTTCAATGTGTTTTTGGAATCATCGTGTATTTTTGTGAGCGCTGCATTCTTTTCAGTTTGCAGACTGTAAATTTCATTTCAAATCATCAATTTGAATTGTTACCACCTCGCTCAGTTCATTAGCCAGTAGGAAGAATGGGAGGATGTCCCACCCCTAGTTACTTCCCTGGATGAAGAGTGTGTGGAAGGAATGGGATGTATGTCTTACACTTTGGAATCTTCTTGTCTCCCTGCATGACCTTGGAGAGTTTATGCTGCTGATCCAGACTCATTTTGGCCAGTTGCAGCAGGAAGGCGTTCATCTCGTCTTTCTGCTGCTGGGCCTTCTTGACTCTTGCCTTGTACCGACAGCGAGCCAGGAAACCACGCACAACTGTACCAAAAACAAAATAGCAAATGAATGCTTGGATATTATCAAGTCTGATTAGGGTCAAATTTCAGTTTCTTCTAAGTGGTGTTGCAAGTGGGATGGAAAAAGGACACAAGAGGTTCAAGAGTATCTGTGCCTTATGAACTTCAATAAACACTCTCAAACACTCAGTTCAGGGTCATTTCAAATGTTCTTGTTGGTTTAAAGATATAGTCCATCATTTGCAATTTGTGCATTTGTGACCGGCTCCACAAAAAAGGGTATTAAGTCGCGCTGAGCATTATTGTGTAATGGCCTGCTCAACATTGAGAGGCTGAAAATTTTGTCAAAATGTGATTGTCATTTTTTGTCATGAATGACATCTTTAGTACCTAAAGTTTCAGGTTTCACTAGCAGAAATGTTGATTTTGATGAACAAAGTGGAAAAACAACCATTTTGTGTGCATCGTTCTGTTGTTCTACAACAAAGCCAGCTATTTCAAAGCCTGTTTTCTCAGTTGTGTAATTTGAACTCCAAGGAAGTAATTAATATGCAAATACGTCATATCTCCAGAACGGGAGGGGCTATGGAGCTGTATTATATGCAAAATGAAAGCTTACATTGTGGGCTTTCCAACCATGTATATAACTTAATTTCACTTTTTTGCGACATAATACCCTTTTTTGTGGAGCCGGTCACATTTTGTTCGTTTGAAGCAACAAAAGTGTTCAAATCTAATGAAGGATACTGAACAACTAACCTGATGAAGTTTCAGCTCAGGTTCAACTGTATATCCCGAGAAAAACAGCATTCAAGGATCTCAATTTCAAATCAAAATTTGCTGAATTACGTTTTGAATTGTTTTGAATTGCAGCTATACGCGATGTCGCGCACTGATCCGACGAATTATAGCAACTGCGCACACGTGTGCGTCGTGCAAATGTTTGCGCGCACTTCGCCGAAAAAAAAAACAAACTCCTAATTTAAATTTCCTACAGTGCGTCTTAAGAAGCACCGTTGGAAAGGCCTTCTTTCGTTGATTTCTTCAAAATGACAGCTGGCCAGAAAGAATAATTTCACAGGGAGTTTAGTCCCCTTACTATCTTTCAACCAAGAATGTTTTTCAGCAATAATTACGCCAGTTACTTTTCGGATGGCTGCAAATGATGGACTATAGCTTTAACATTTAACTGTAAAGGTCAGTTTAAATTTCACACACGTGGACGTGAGAAGTACAAATGCAAAAGAAACAGAGGCCACAAAACTTGCCGAGGTTAAAACCTGGTCCGAGTTTGAAATTTTGCCTGCTAATTAGCGTTGGCTTTTATATTGATTACAAAAGTGGCCTCAACCCATTTGCAACTTTGTTTTACTCGGACCTAACTAGTCAAAGTATTTATCAAATTATGCTGAATTTAACAAAATTCAAAGGCTAGGCCTAAGGTCTTCATCCAATGCACCCAGATCAACCACATCCAACAAAAATTACATCTGTTTGGATATTGTATATTTTCAAACTTTATTGTTTAGATGAACCAAATCTGAGACTTTACAAAGAAAAAAAATGTGGAGAACATCCCCGATAGGCCTCCAAAGACAAATATTCATGATGTAAGTTTATTCATTTTGTTCTTAAATCTGTCATGGTTGCAAATATTTCCCAGTAGCAAGTTTGATAAGGTGACGTACTCTTTTGAATGTGCATGGCTGATCGTCCCAGTTTCTGCATGTGTTCCTCCAGCTGATCCTGATGATAGTACTTGAGAAATAACTTGGTTTTCCTGTGAACAAAAAAAAATACCAACCAAGTGGACTATGATTACAAAATTCGTAATTTAGCATTTTTACTTTTAGAAAACCTGTTGCCTTGTGTCCAGTTCACTTTTTGTTTGTAGTCACTCTCAACTGTCTAACACATCAGAATTATTTCTTAAAGGCATTTACGATAATTAACTTCTTATGCATTTTGTTCATTCCACCACTCAATATCCAAAGATAAAGTTACAAAACCTGACCTCTTGAAGTTTCAGCTCAGTGGATATCGTATTTTTGGAGAAAACAGTGAAAAACCATGGTCACATTTTTGGTCACGTAAACACCATTTTGTCAAGTAGGCCTAGCACTCCTTTCTTTCCAAATATCAGTAACTAGACCGATCATTGGAAATCACCTACATTTTCTTGATTTCTTCTAAATGACGGCAAGCCAGAGGGAATAAATCAGGGGTGTTTAGAACCAGTCATCCGAGGAAAATCCGCTCAGCACAAACACTTCAAGGGTTCAAGAACTGTCTCAAGACTTTTCTGTTCAATCGTTAACTGCTTTCACGTTTTCACTAATTTTGAGTCTTAGTTTCTGTAACTTACTTTGCTGTTAAGCGCTGTGATACCTTATGCGTAAGAGCGCTCTATAAATGCTTGTTATTCTAGTATGATCTTCAATTCAGTTTGGGATAAATGCAAATGATCCTATATGCCTTCAGAATTGTCATACTTTAGTTCGTTACAACAATGGATCACCAGTCTGAAATGGGTGTGGGTGGTAGGGTTTACAAGGTGAGCTAAGCTTACCCAACATGCCAGTCTGTCAGACCGACAGTCTTCAGGATCTTGACACATCCGTGCTTGTCCTCTGACAACTTGGCACTCCTGGCCAACACTTTGTATCTGGAGAGAATTTCAACACACAACAGCAGTTACAGGTACATGTATGTCACCTAGGCAATTTCTGAAACCTGGCTTCATCTCAGTATTGACTTCAGGTGCTGAACTTTTTGATTTAATAGATGGGTCTGTTTTAGTTCTGTGACAAAATCAAATGCTTTGCGTATGATGTCATCAGTCCTATAGTGAAATGCACAACATGACCTCACGGAGGTCAAATCTCGCATATAACTTTACTGTGGAAAAATGGCTGTCCTCTATAATATAAAATGCCATACTTTGGAATCTTTTAAGTTTGATTGGACGGTTTCAAGGACAGATAAAACTAACATTTATGGGTTCCTTAGTTAGTCTAGAGGGATAGCATATTGCCACTGAAATTTGTTGGAAAAGGAAAACTATTACCTCCTGACAAAGTCAGCAAACTGCGGCCTCAGCGCATATCCCAAACGCCTGATCCTGGTGGTCTCAAGCATACCAGTGTATCGCAACTGAAAAATCAAACACAATTACATTAAACTCTGATCAAGACCCCAGCATATTTTTTGTTTCAGTTTTATCTAACCTGGGTTCCGCTTCAGAAACTTTGAAGTCATGGATGAAACAGTCTCACATCAATACTGTAAAAAGTGGTCAGAGTATTTGACCAAGTCAGTTACAAAAGAATTTTAGTAAATTGCAGTAAAGGCACAAAGTCTGTAATTGCAGTTAGAACACAAACCAATGGCTGACAACAAAACTTTTGGTTAAGCTGTAAGAGTCTTTTGGGCTAAAAAGTCTTTGCAAGTTCAGTTGCTGTTGGAAATTATTTGATCCAGCAGGCTTCTAAGTGAAATAGTATACCCTGGTTTGTTAATTTGTTCCTTTAAACAACGAAAGCTGCTGTGAAGGATAGTTTGCCATGTTTGCTGACTCAATTGTGGTGTTCACTAGGATATAAATCTATGCTACCAGACCGCACTAGGCAAGATGGCACCCAAATGGTCCTTAAATATAAATTATGATTCACACTTTTACTGTTGAGGTGGTTACTTGTACACAGAGTAAGAGACACACGCATGTATGAACATTTGAAGCATGATATGCCACACAGAGGACCCTTCCTCTATTGTGTTGGTCACTGTGTTCCCGGAATATCAGGAATTCTTTTGAGATATTAAGGGAGGCGTGTTAAGTAACACATATGAACGCATTCTCACCTGGGCTGTGACAAACTTGTCTTCAAACAGCTTGGCAGCCTTGCTGGTGTTGGGCTTGATGCAGCGGACGAAGTGTGGGTTTGACAGGTTCAGTAATTCCATCAGAACAGACAGGGAATTCTAAACGTGGTAAAGTGGAAAGAGGATTAGAGAATATCTGGCCAAACTGAATGCAAAAGTTCATTGATATCTTGCCCTTTAAAGAGGCAAAATTATTCACTACTACTAGTGATTATAATTCAATTAACCCCTTGATTGTCATGAAATAACGATAAGACAAATGCTCTACTACAGCACCAACATTTTGGCTAACTCTCAAGCAGCTTTGTGAAAGTAACATTTTCCCAAAATTATCATTAAATCATTTTGTTTTCACCGAAAAATATCTTCTTGCAACAATATTACAGTCTCTGAGCTTGGATATCAAGTCAACATCAACTAACCTTGAACTGTGCACCAACAGTCATCTTCTTGACAGTTGCCCGGGTTCCAAGCTAACAATATAAAAATTGTATTCTAATTATTGTTTTACGTATTTCCATGCAACACAAAAATAATGAAATGAAGTTTTTTTACGCACTTTAACTAAACATGTCTTATAATCCACCCATTTTTGAAAATAAATTATACTCACAGTGCATAATAGAAGAACTTGAATAATTTGAAAGTCAGCACCACATGGCCAAAACATCCACTTTTGAGAACAAGCGTGAAATAATTTGTAAGAAATGCATGGGAGTGATGTCTTCAGGATGCAATTAAGCCTCACCTTTGGTCTGGCTGACTTGCGAGTTCTCCTGCGCCGGCTCTGCAAGGCTAGAGTTCCTGTTCTGGTGACAGTTCCTGAACAGACGACATAACGGGAAAAAAACAGAGGCGTCATGACCATATGGCAATCTCGGCAGCATTCATGAATGCGTTATGTATTTCACAATAGCGGGGCTCAGCTTGTGAAGTTTGACATCTTTGGTGTCATGCACCTGATTTCATGGAAATTACTTTCTGCGACTCTTCTGTGTACTATTTAAATCAACATTTTCTTCAGGTGACAAAATGTTAAATGCCAAATCATTGTTCACTTGTTAACCCCAACCAAGTGAAACCAACAAAATTTGACGATATCTGATAGTTGACACATTCTGCTATTTTGTTATAGAAACAAGTGTCCTTTTTGTTATGGTTGTTTCATTCTGTTGGTTGTAGATGGCTTCACATTTTGCTGAATATTTGATCTACAGACCTCTCTCATAGGACGTCATCTTCATAGGAAAATTACAACTGTGTGTTCAACGCTATCAGGTGTGTGTGCGCGCAGTGTGCAAAAAGTTCTAAAAAGGCACGTGTGTTGCTGGAAATTTCTTCGCAATACGATGCAGCATACGCGTCACTTAAATGCCTTAAATGCAGATGCACGTGGCAATCTGTATGAAGTGACGTCATTTGAGAGAGAAAATTGGACTCAGCAGAGTGGACACAGAAAACACAAAAGGGATGGATAGCAACCTTTTTTGACGGCTTTATAAAAGACCGAATACATTAAAAGAAGTTTTTCCCAACCTCTGAATATCTGGCTGACCAGATCGTTGGTGCTAGTTCGTAGCATCTGCATGACCTTAGATGGTAGTGTGTCGCGGTTCTTCTCCAAGAAGAGATTGGCAGTGTACTCCACCTGGCAAAAGACGAGACAAAAAATGATGGAGCCAATGTTTTGAACTAAGAAATGTTCTATTCTCTGAAAAAAACACCATCGGCATTGTTTTAATCACTGAAGACCCACTGGGCAGGAAATGATATGAGGCCCAATTGAACTTCAGGCAATAATGATGCCCTAACAAATTCACAATATACTGATACTACACCTCAAATTTAAGGATCATGTAATGTGCACACGAGCGTGGAAACATTGAAAATGTCAGAGTATAATGGTGAACTTGGACAACTGCACGGACCTTGCACACATTTAATTCCTCAATGATGAGAAGAAAAATAGACTACCTCTTGACAGTTGTGTATGCGGTACCCACATGAAGATATTACAGGTTTGTGCACACGAAGATGAAAATCAGTTGTGCATACTTTGCTCAATATGCATACAAATCAATGTGGGCATACAAAGTGCTAAACACATTGAGCTTTAAATGAGTGGTCACTCAGCATAATCTCCTGTTCGTAATATGACTTACCCTGCCTGCATAGTGGTCAATGCTGAAGTTGTTACTGGTGGCATTCTTGGCCTTGATGAAGTGGTGATTGCGGGCAAAGTTCTGGTTGAGCTTCTCGACAAAGGTGTGATCGGTGGCCTTGGGGAAGAGACATTCCTCATCCAGGAGACCCAAGACACCAATGGGCTTGGCAAGGAACAGATCCTGGTGTAGATAACGACAGAACCGTGGTCATCACGCATTTAATATTCTAATTGAGGGTGAAGAAAGGCTGACTACTGATAGAGGTTTTTGTCAGGGAAGAAGCAAACTTTAAATACTGGACTATATACTTCACCAATACAACAACTGCAGCATGGTTGGAAATAAATGTAACTTATTAAGTTGAGATTGAAACCCACAATCTCCTGCTTAGTGCAGATGTCTGAATGGCTTGACCATCAAGCTTGCCAGGGTCGACAGGCCAGTTCATTTCTCATATAGCAAAGATAGCACAAACTAGATCTTATATTATGGAATTTTGCATTGCGAGATCTGCATTTTAATAATAGGCTTCAAACTTCAGCAATGCTGTTTTATAAAATACAGTTTTTCAAAACAAGATATCTTAACCACTTAAACTTCTCTTTGCCAGAGATGACTGCCAGTTTGAATCCAATGTACCAACGGAAACTTAAATCAATGGAAACAACAAAGTCAATTTGTATGGCGAAAATATGTAAATAAGATTCTGTCCTCAACCGACAAAGAATTGTAGAAGTCAAAGACCTTTTAAAAAAGCATTGCAAGATAAGGAAGAGATACCCTACCAGAAGCGATTGATTGTTGACAAAGGGAACATAGGTCCAGTCAATTCCTTCATTCTTGTATTCTTCCTGTTCCAGCAGGAAGATGTGCTGTGGGGGAAATATATAACATCCGATAAAGTCATGTCTGAAAAGGGTTTCCAGAACTATGGGTATGTCTACATGTTCGTATGTAGGTGAAATCATTAAAGACCTAGACAATATCTCTAGTTGCGAGATTCGGATGCAGCTTAGCCCTAAACCTTGCCCAAAAATAGATATTTCTCAGAAGCCCTACATCTAGCTCTAGTTGCATAAAGTAAGTTAACTTCACAATTTGGATCATTTGAAACCCCAAAAAAATACTTTAATGCGGGAAATAAACTTCCTTTATTAGTTGGAATTAAAGTAACCTGCAAATCTTGTCACATCCAAAGCACCATTTTAAGTCTATATATCAGCTCACTGAAAGAAGATTTTACAAAGCTGCAGATAAGAACTGTCCACCAAGCTAGTGGAACAAAATTCATACCCTTATGTATAATGTAACTGGGACAACAAATACAGAGGCAACCTGCAAACTGAGGTTTAAGTCCACAGACCTGATTGAAGAAGTACTGCAGTTGTTCATTGGCTAGATTAATGCACATCTGCTCAAAGCTGTTGGTCTGAAACTGCTCAAAGCCAAATATATCCAGAATACCTATAAGGAAATGTTTCAAAAGAGTTGTCAATTTTGAGTGAGGGATAACCAAACCCCCCCCCCCCCCAAAAAATACCTCATCCGTTGGAAAAATAAAAGAATTCTTAAGTACAGATGAGCCAAAGTACAACACAAATGCTCGCACGGAATGTCTCAATTGGAATTTAAATAACGGTTCAACTTTTATTACTCCCCACAGAATTTCGCTAAAATCCTCCCTAAATCCTCAAAACTCAACAATTTTGCAGAAACTTACAACACATTCTTTAAATTCGAACTTTTAAATAAAAGTGTATTAGCCCCATGCAAAACAAAATAATCTTTTTACTATCCTGCTAAATTTGGCAAATTTTGTACTTTTTTTCAAGTGACTACTCATGATTCGCTTGCTAGTTTTTAAAGTTCCCTATTGTGGTTTTGACTTCCTTATTTCTTGTGGAGGAGGGTGGGGGATGCACTTCCAATAATTTTGTATTTCTCACCAATTTCAGTCGTATCCGATACGTGCAGTGATAATTCCGGAGCTAAGAGCTGATTGACTTTATTGACGATCCAACTGAAGAGACGTCCATACAGTGTCTTGGTCATGGCATCACGTGCATCTAGAAGGAAAAATCAATGAATAAAAGTCAATCATGTTTAATTTCATTACTCTATTCACAATTCCCATGCATGGCTAGAATGCACTGTGCATGCCTGATTACACCCTTTTAGATTGAACATGTTTTCCTTCTCGATGTATAGCTCTGCACTCTGGTGATTGAGGATGAAGTGGATTTTTCATCTGCATAAATGCAGCATGCTTCACTGCATGCGCCTGATGAAGTAAACTAAATAAACTCTATGAAATTGATAAGCTGTATGATAATTCCTAATCAAGTTCAACGAAGGACTTGGTAAATTTGTTGTGAAGCATGCAGCTAGTTGCTTCATCTTCTATTTGAATCAGAAATTGCAGAGGCATTTTTTTGTGCAAAAGTCATTCCTGAGTATTCCAAACTCCAAAACATGGAAATATCAATGACGGTTCACGCATGGCATATTTTTTTTCTACTGTGCATCAAAAGCAAGCAATATCTGTAATTTCATTTCCTCTCAAATTTCTCAATTTTCACCAATCAGAAACAACCGGTGTCAAACACATCTTGAAGATTTGTCATAACCAAACACGAATTACCGTTACAAAAAAAATAATCAAAATGCAAAATTGAACAAAATCAAAGAGGTATGAATGCTTGTCAATCGTTGTTAAAACTTCAAAAGAATCTGCACAAAACAACAGCATGCTTTGATGATAACCCCGCTTAATGTTCCCCGGGGCTAAGTTAATAAGGTTTTAACTGGAGCAGAAAAACAAAATAACATGCCCCTAGGCACTATCTGCTAGATCGGAAGTATTTCATTAGCCCATGCCGTGATGGCCAAAGTGAATGCCGTAAGCCGCAATCCACCAGCCAAAGTTCTTGTCATCAAATAATCCAGGCAGAAAGACGTCAATAAAATGGATTGTATTTCGTCGGAGATGATTTTTTTTCTCTTTTTCCGCTGTATCGCCTTCGTTCTTTAGCCCGGGGCAGGACAGTCGATTATTTCCCACCGTCAAGATAGAAATGTGGACAGGCTGAGAGATGGTGTTATGATCGTGAGGTACAATCAAGGCATACTTGAGTAAACTCTTTCAATAATTGAGAGTGGATTGACCGCTTGACAGCACATTGCCCAAGGCAAACGATCCAATATGTTCCCATGAATTCTTTAACAGCTATGCATCTTCCATTTCACATGTTTAAATGTGCTTGAAAGCAGAACATGTAAATTGCATATCTAATAACAGTGGGTTGAATTATATACCAATTGTGATAGAACTAGCGATGATGTGCATTTTGCCAAGAGACACATATCACCTGAAGTAATTTATTACTAAATGGTAGGTAACAGGTCAAAGGATTCTTCTTTAAAGGTGATTTCCTGTGCTATTTTCAAGTTTCACCTTGAAAAATAGTTTTGTTTTTTTACCAATTGCTATAGAAATATAAACTTTATTCATTTTGAATGAGATATCGAGCAAAAAAATCCACCAACATTTAGTTATTGAATTCTTTCTTCACAAAAATTGAATAACTGGCTGCCAGACAATAATTCGGCTTTTGCACTTGAGGCGGGTTCATTTGAGTGCAAAATAAAGTTCCTTTTCAAGAGGGTTGCAGACTCCCAAAAGAGAAATAGAGTAGTTTTTTTTCTTTCGTTGAAACAAAAATGCACCAATTGGAAATTTGTAAGGAGAAAAAAGAAATCCACTTTTTGAAGAGCACGAGGTATCAACTTAATCAGCAAGCAAATCAGAGGAGCTCAACAGTTGAAAAAGACAAAAACTGACAAATCTCCTGGTGTTAATTAATTATATATGTATTTTTACATTTGGAATTTAGAAATTGTAAACAAATTCCAACTCACCTAGAGCCTGATGTTTGGTGTAGTTCCTCTGAAACACATCCCCTCTTGCCGAGCTGAGGTTAAAGGTCAACACTTGCTTCAGCTCCTCGTCATTTATCCCAATCAGTTCCTTTAAGAACAAACAGTACACATATATATATATTGCAGATGAAAATATAAACCATTTGCAAAAACGATTCAATCAATCAATCCAGGAGCAAGTTAAATGATATGGGCGTCCTGCCCATACTTTCTCCACAACTTGATACTCTTCGACCAAACTCTTTGGCCTTGATTATCTGGAATGATTGGACTAAGTATGACCATTTTTCTGTTAATCCCACTTCCTTCGGAAGAGTTTTGTAAGAGTTTCTTTCTTTATGTTTTTTTTAAAGGATTTTGGCTCCAGAATACTTTAGTGCTCTAAACTGTTGTATCATCTGAAAGGAAGCCATCATTTCCACAAAGTGTGTTTGATTGACTACTGAACGAACTGCAGTCCAAGTCCACGGAAAACGCGTATCGGATTTGTCAAAGAGGTAACGCCTCCTGGGTTTGGATTACTCGTCCCCGGTCAGGTTGGTGCAGGGGTACTTTCATCGCCTTCCACCGCTGTGACCCGGGTTCGATTGTCCCTGGGCCAATATGTGGATTGGGTTTTCAGTCCCTACTTGATTCCGTGGGTTTCCCTCAGAACATTCTTCTGGGGTTTTCCTCCCACATCTAAAAGTGTAATTTCTTCACATTGTTTTCTCTTTACTGGGCCCCATGAGAGACAAGTGGATTCCATTGAATGGGCTATACCCAGTTACAATAAGAATTACCAAAACAACTAAAAAACGTAAACAATTCAAATAACCAACAATTCATTGATTAACAGAATAATCGTTGTGGGCCTACCAAAAATGCTAATGAGTCTTCCTACAAACTTGGTGTCCTTTCCTGTCCTTTACATCTGACGTCTTTGATTTTATAATTCTAATGCTAGCCAAGTTGTCCTCCAAGTGTGATTATGAATATCAGACTATCTACCCAACAAATTGTTTGAAGTCGTTTTTAATTAATGAGACTTGAATGGCAAACTACAAAATACCAAGATAACACGGACAGGAAGAATGTCAAACTTTGGACCCTGAATTTCCAGAATAACCTAACTACTTACTGCGACTGCGGACACAGCTTGATCCGATCCTTTGATGAATGCGGCATCATCTTCGTTTGCATCCAACTGGATTTGTCCCATCATCAACGTAGCAGCCAAGACAGAGTACATCTCGTCTTGCTCCTAGATAATATAAGAGTATATACCCCAACTCCATCAATAGACCCTCTCAAAAGAAATGTAATGAGCGTTTTCATCCCCTTGTACGTAATTTTTAGCAGATCTGGACAGAATGATCTTACAGAAAGGTTTCACTTATCAATGTGAAGTTTGCTCACCCTGTGAACATACAGAACTTTGATGACACTGTTACATGCTATATTAGAAATACATGTATTTCTTTCATCTCCTGATACATGTATGTGTACATCATGTTCATAGAAATTCTAACTTACGCTTTCAATCTGTTATTATGAGAACAAATCTTTGATAAATGTAACGATATTCATCCCTTTTTTCCTATAAGCAATTTTTATGCCATTCCCATTGGCACTGACATTAACATAAAATTTAAAACAACGGAGTGTTGACAACAACCTTTTTACTGTCAAAGTGAACTAAAGGTACGGTAAAATACTCCGTGGGCCCTTTAATGCATCGCAGAATGAATTAACCTATTTAAGAAACAGATCTTTATCATGAACACCGCGTGTCTCGAGACAACATTCACTAAGTTACATGTTCCCATGCGAATAGTAATAGGAAACTGAGGATTGATGTCAACCAAATGGGCCAACAAGCCGACCGTGCAAGATTAAGAAACAGTATCCTAAAAAACGGCACAAACATAAAAGTGAAATATTGGAATAATATACACAAACAAGTGAAGCGAAAATCTTGAGACCTAGAAATTCCTGAACTGTATAATCATTTGCATGCAACGTTCATGTGTTCATTATGACAATCATGACATGAGCATCGGATGACGGCAAACACATGTAACTAATACAGACCGAGTGCGGTGGAAGTACGCTAGAATTTCACGACTCGGGCGCCACAACTGCAAAGGTTTACGATTCGAGGATGCAGCATGCCGCTGAAGAGGCATCGAGGGGGCTTCAGAGGGGCCTAAGGTGGCACCTAGGGGTCCTACAGGATCTGGTCTATACATTTGGGAGGTTTGCCCTCCGGGTTTTCCTGAAGTTAGCGTCAGGAATGTTGTTTACAGGTTTAAAGTTTCAATGGAGACAAGACTTTCATATTGGGCGGTATTGAAGATTCTATAGTTGCAATTCAAAAATAGCTGTGTTTTCATCATTTGCATTTCCCCAGAAAACCATATCAGAGGGGCGCATGTTTGTTTCCATAATATCAAATGGTAAAATTTGACCAACCGACAATTTCTTGCATGAACTCCTTAACCCTAACCCCCTAGAGTAGTTTACTAGGAACCTTCCTCACTCCTGCAAATTCCAACACCATATGGTAAACTCTACAAAAAAAACATTCTTGGTGGTAGGCTTAACTCCATATTAAGCATAAATTATCAGTTAACTAGTGCAGTACTCACTCTAACAGATTCCAACAAACCCTGGTGTGGGAGTTTGACTGGATGGGGATTTTTAGGGTAAAGTACGTTTGCTAGGAATTGTACTGGATCCTACAACATCCAACACTCTCCAGTAACACAACCATACATTCTTGTCCATGTCCATTTGTACATCATGTTTCATAAAAAATAATGGTGTCATATCTATAGCTCTACCTTCCTGAACCAAATCCAGCAAAATCCAGCATTGGACTTTTGGTGGATTTGATATGGTAAGAGCTTATCAGCTGTAACATCCAGAAAGCCAACAAAATCCACGACATTGTTCATTCTAGTCAGCAATCCCAATCCATCAAATCCCATCAGTACTTGTTGGATTCTGATGGAATTTGCATGGGAGGGTTAAGGTAAATTGATTTTTACCTTATCAAGAAACCCCACAAAATCTAAAGCATCGCTCGGTCTAGCCAACAATCCCAAATCCATCAAATCCCATCTGCACATGTTGGATTTTGATGGAATTGGGAATGCAAGAGTAAGCTGACCACACCCTCATCCAGAAAGGCAACCAAATGAATATCCATCAAATCCCATCTACACATGTTGGGTTTCTGATGGAATTGGTATGGGAGGGCGAGAGCAAATTGATTCTTACCTCGTCCAGAAAGCCAACCAAATCCATGGCATTGCTCAATTCAGCCAGCATGTCCTTCATTTTTGTTTGCTTTGTTTTGGCGCTGCTTGGCCCATTTGTCAAGTAACTATACACAAAACAAAACAAAACCATTTCCTTATTTACAAAAGTGCATGCGACTCAGTTCGGTTTAATATATGTAAACACAATCACAGCATTGATTCATACCACAAAGGTCCCAAAAAAATCTAATCACTAAGAGGTTTTAAAAAGGTATGTGAGCCTGAAGTTTCAATCCCTGCAGAATTTTTTTCAGCTTCCAAGCGTGTTCTGGATATGACTCTTCCAAGTTGACAGTGACATTTTCAAGACTGCCATGACAATTCTTCCATTTCATTTCAAAACCATGCAACTCCAAGCCGCATGATCAAGAAGACACGCGTCCACCATCGGTTCTTTACGCAAAGTTAACCAACGAACAGTGGTTTCAATGCAGAATTTACGAGTCAAAGAATTTTATTTCATAGAGATGACACCATCATCAATCCCTTCTTCGCAAACTCACTTGTACTTGTCAGCGGCTTGCATCTTGTATTTCTTCTGCTGTTCAGGAGTCAATCCCGCCAGCATGTAGTAGAAGATGTGGAAGTTCTCCTCTCCTTTGTTCTGGAAAACGACTCTGGATTTCTCCAGCAGATACTCGGAAATCTTCGCACCCATTACTGCGGTGACAAAATGGATATTGTTTTTGTGAGTTAAAAATTTATGATTAGTTATAGAAGCTAATTGGCAAATGTCAGCTCAACTCTATTGGCAGCTTTGTTAAGTGTTCCAAAGTCTGTCAAAATTAATCACTTATTTACTATGCAATGATTCCGATCCTTGCACTTTAACAAAACTGGGAAAAAAACCTGATTTTTTTTCCAAAATATCCAGGACTCTGAAGGAGTCAGTCCTTCAAAATCAAGCAAACTGAAGGGTTGAAATGGGGGTATACTTGGTAGATAACTAGGTTTGGGTTCATGATTTCAAATCTTTCGTTTTGAACTTCTTGTGAAGAATGAAGAAAAGTTCAGGAAGACGGACAAGTCCATGACACAACAAAAACACTATTCCTTTGACAATCATATTCAAATTTGCAACAAAGTTTCAATTTGCTTTCCCTAGAAAATAGGCATTACTGATGAAGGCTACAAAGTGTTTGAAATCACCTTTTCCGTCCTTAAACTTGAGCTGGATATATTTGCCGAACCTGCTAGAGTTGTCATTCATGGTGGTCTGTGCATTACCAAAGGCTTCTAGGAGGGGATTCACCTGCACATAAATACCAATCAATTGTCTTTACCACACTTTTTAGTGGCAGGGATGGTCGTAAATTGAGGCCCAAAGAAAGGAAAGTTAACGTACAAATTATTTTCTGGCAAAGAGTTTCTGCCATTGTAAATCCAAGTAAATGAATCTTGTTTAGAGGCCAGCTCATACTTAACACAAATGCAACTCTGAAAGCGAAATTTGAAGTCATGAAATAGTCCTGGTGAATCTTGCTAATTGCTGGCATTGAAAGGAGTTAAACTTTTGCAAATTCACGATGTGAATTCTTCCGTGATGTCACAATTTGGGTCTCCCATGTCAAAGTAGTAGGCTACGCACTCCGTCCACAAGCTGATGCGCACAACAATGTCCCTTATGTCTTCAACAATATGAAGTTGGCGCAGAACTTGAAAGAACATTTGTGTAAGTACAGGTACGAGCTTGGCCTTTACCCAATTAATGTTTCAAATCATTATATTATCTTACTTTGCTTTTTTATTTTTTAATAAGTTGAACAAAGAAATTGATTTGAGCCGGCTTTGAACCTGCGACAACCGGTTTGCCGTTACAACTGAGCTTTCCAGCCCTATGATGGCGGTTCCCCATTTTTGCAATGCCTTTGTCAACGGGACACCGTGTTATTGTCTGACAATCATTATTGTACATTATGAAAGTAAACGTTTGTTTTGCATATTCTTGATGTATTCAAGACACAAATGTAATGTCGGAGGCTTCTGTTAAGAATACTTATATTCATCGCGATCAATAAACCCGCCACATACCTGCAGAATTTGTTGTTCTAGTTGCGACTTCCCTTTGCACAGCTCGATGACTTGCTTGATGATAAATTTGGTGCTCTCTGTTTTGCCAGCTCCACTCTCACCACTGAGTAATTGGGATAGTATGTTAAATCGATGAGCACTTACACTAAATTGTATTACACTGCATTCATAATTACCTGGGACAGTTTACCTGTTCCCATAAGTCACATGAGTGTTTTCAATAGCTGATACAGGACGAGTCAAAAAAAGCGGAACCCAAACCCGAAAAATTATATTTCATATTTACAAAAATATGTATTACCAAAAATAATAGCGATCGGAAAGCCAATTTCATATGATACTTTTAGAAGAAAATATGACTGAAATTGGTCAATCCATTAAGAAAATATCACCATTTAAACACAATGACCCTGAAACATGTCTCGTCCAAACAAAATGCGATTTCAAGAATCGTTGTCGCAATTGTCTTCAAACGTCACCAGCGATAAAATCTCAGTTTAAACGTTAAAAAGATTCAACAGAATCCCTTTGAAGGCCCATCCTTTAAAAAAAGGAGATTTTATAAATCATATTGTTTACCTAACCAGGGTTGTTAATAAAAATATTGTGTACTACAGTTGGTGACAGTTGTTGAAACAAGTATTCTGTGTCATTTTCTTTGTTGCTCCAAACACACAATGAATTGCCTTTTTTGGACGAGATAGGTTTTAGGGTCATTGTATTTAAATGATGATATTCTTTGAACGGATTGAGCAATTTCAGTATTTTTTTTCATCTAAAAGTAGCTTATGAAATTGGCTTTCCATTCATTATTATTTTGGTGCTACATATTTTTTTAAAATGTGAAATGTATTTTATGGGATTTGGGTTCCACTTTTTTTTGACTCACCCTGTAAAACACTGGCTTCTTTAAAACACAATTCCTGTGCCACATCGTGCGGTATGTACCAATTTCCACTAGATATTTAGCACCATTCAAGCAAGGTACATACCATAGACATGAGGGGTGCTTTTCAAGAGATGAAGTAAGTTGTTGAACAAAATCGTTGGAAATTTGTGAATTTTTGACTTGTTTTGACTTATTGACCAAAAGGTATTCATGAATGTGAATAAATATGTCCTTGGCCGGCTACAAACATACGTTAATTCCATTATGAATCCACAAAACGATACAGGGGAGGGAGAGGAAGTAATAAACAGAGATTTTGGTGCAGTACAGGAAATAATAGGTTAGAAACAAATATAAAATATGAGAGTTCTGTATTTTTTGTGACCAATTCCATTTTTCACCTAAAAGTGTGATTGAATTGAGAACAAAAGAATGTCAACATTTTATATATCATGTATATAGTTTCACATGTGATTTTAATCTGGGAACAATAATTGCAAAAATACCCTTTTTTATACTTGGAATACAACTGTTATATCACCCATGCAATATCCCGTGACTATTTTTTTTATCTTTGACATATTAAACAGAGATTGTTTTGTATTACGTTGGGACTTTGTGTAAAATGCACTTTATAAGCACTGTTCATTATTATTACTATTATTATCCATTTTCCGACTTCACTATATGAGGGTCTGATGGATGGTCGTGCCAATAGGCAGAATAAAATGAGGAAAATCAACAAAATATACAAACGATCAACTACACAGTAAAGAAAAGTCTCTTTTTTTCTGTTTGAACTTGATCCGGTCATAAAATTCTTATTTTTCCATGACCATGCATGCAATCCAAGGGGCCATTTTTTTTTCAAAGTGCAAGGGTAAACAACGCGCCATACATATACATGTATTAGATATCTTGTAAATAGTCAAGTCCAAAGGTTGCATGTACATGTACATGCATGTATCTTGCTGACTAATACTTACGTGTATCAGCCTTTGCCAACTTAGAAATAAATGAGAATAGGCACACCCAAAGTGCTTTTCTCTATTAAAAATTTCAAGAAATTACTTGATAACAAATCCTGTATTATTATCCAGATATACATACAACATATATAAAAAATATTGCAATGAATGGTTTTTAGACAAATATTCAGCCTAAATACACCTCATGCGATAAGGCAGAGTAAGTGGGCAATGGTCTTGTATTGCTAGGCTAGGCTAGGCATGGGCAAATCTATTGTGCATTCATTCGTAACAAACAGAATATATCCTCCAAGACACCCATAATGCATAATACCCTCAGAGACACCTGCAACGCACAAGGTCTATATGTATAACCGGCTCAGACAGAATATCAATACTAGAATCAAATTGTAAGTTGTACATCCGGTTGCAGTTTCTCAAGTGAGGTTCATCCAGATCAAATGTTTCTCAGAGTAACAGGTGTATCTCTTCTCCCAATCCAATTTACCCTGGGGCCCCTCTACCTGTAACCCTACCTGATAACGACGCATTGATTCTTCTTGCCACTGACAGCGCTGCCTGTGAGCATCGACTGGTACGCCGCATCCGACACTGCAAAGATGTGCGGTGGGTTGTCCACCCTGATTTTGTTTTTGTACATTTCTGCATGCTACATGTGGGAACAAAATCAATAAATAAATTAAAATTTGGCATGATAAAAACGATTAGGGGAAAGTATCCCATTAATTTTTTGTTATTATTTATTGCAAATCTGAAATGCACGAGTAACTACTTGGGAAAGATTTCCATACTAGGCCATCACTTTTTTCAAGCGTTTTGCATCCTTTATCATGGTTATTTCCTCCACTTTCCCTTCTCTAACCCTCTCCTTTCCCTTAGTCCTGTTTATTAATCAGTCACTTACTTCATCAAGATTGAAACTTCTGACTCTTGTTTGAAACACAACACTTTCATCATCACTAGGCCGCGCACGGTCACTTGTTGCAATGATCAATCTTTGGACATATTTACAGTACCATTGAAATAAACTAAATATTCATGAGAAATTAAATATTTATGATGATGTATTGCACTGTCATTGGTTCAGGCGTTGCCATGGTTGTCGATGTCATGGGTATAACGTACCGCTGTCTTCCAGACACTTCAATCAATATGATCGGCTGCCTCCAACTTAGTTCTGCACGACGTGTGCATCCAAAATGTGCTCTAAAAACACAATTTTTTTCACAAAGCTTCCTGGATTCATCTTGGGTGAAAACAAAAGGTGAGGTGAAATTGATGTGTTTTGGATTTCTCTTTAATTTTCAACCGGTACTCACTTTCTGACCACAGATGCCAAGATCCCTAAATGGATTGATTGCCACAAGGATATCACCAACATATGTCTGGAAAACAATCAAAAGATCATACGTCAAATCATGGAGGTAATTAAATGATCAATAAGTACACACACAATTCTACATGTTTCATGGGGTTTTTTTGACTGCAAAAAACACTTCATTCAATACTGACAAATTGATTTGTCTCTATCCACAATATTTGTGTCTCACTCCGAGTCACTCACTAGTCATGCTAGTAGTAATTGGAAAGGGATCCAATTTGTTCTCCCATTGAATGGGAACTACAGCAGCAAACAGGCAACCTTTTTTCCTACTTCTAGAATTAGAACTAGAAGCCACCTTTCCAGCACCTTTCCGTTACTTCTAGAATTAGAAGGCACCTTTCCGCTAACGGAAAGGTGACTTCTATAATTCTAGAACTTCTTTTCCTGCCTCCATGTTAAAAACAAGTATTAATTCTGTTGAAAAAAATACTCGAATTAAACTAAATAAATAAAAAGTAGTATATGTGCTTTAATTTAATGACAGTAAAAGTCATCTCTGGTTATTTTTGTGCCATATCATGCTCAAAATAAGAAAACTAGCTAATACATGCATTTCTTACTTTTCCTAAGTAAGCACCATTATCATCCGACCGTAACATTCATTTACTTCGGCCAGGGCTACATGAGTACGAGCCCGTGTATGGTGTTATTGTAGCACACAAACTCACATAGATTTTGTCGTGGTTGTATCTGTATTTCAGCTCGCCCAGGAGGATTTTCTCATCCAAGTTCCCAAGAGTAGCAAGGTCGTTCGTCTGCCCGATCGGTACGTCTGGGTTGTCCATGTCGACGAGTCCGAAGGGCCAAGATCACCGGTGGGTCACTGGGAAAAATTAAGCCTCAATCCCACAAAACTTAACTAGTTTTCTTCGGTGCCAATTTATTTTGTACTCTTCCCTAGCTTCGATGTTGCATGTGCGGTGTACTGCACACTGTTCTCAATACAAAGCTTTATAATGCTCGCGGTCGATTGCTGTGTATGACGTTTTTACAGGTGAACAGAAATAGGTGGGCGCGACCTCTCTGAAGTTTGGTGTTCAGTGAACCGTGTCGTGTCGTCTGCTATTTCTAGTTGGATTGTTTTCATGAGTCGGGAAACGTGATTGGTGTAAGGCCTAATGGATTATTGACACGCTGTCTGTGATTGGACAATTCTTCACGTGAAGCTTAAGTTACAGCCGGCGGCAGGTGATATTGCGTCAATGTAAACATGACGTCGCAGAAAACTTGTTTGATTCGCCTAAGTTTTAAATCAATGCAAAGGTTCAGCGGCTCGTGAGTAAATCGTGTTATTCATGGAACAAGTCGCCGTGAGTAATGTCCTAAATCTAGTTTGCATAGACAAATAGTTATCATATGGCTATCAATGTGTCATTACAAAAGGAAAATGATTAAATCCCAGCCGCCTTTCTTTGAATGAAATGAATTCACTGCTAAAAATTAGTCCGAGTAACTAGGACTCTACGGATCGCATTTTTTAAAAATGTTCGGGCGACTAGCTAAAAAAGGTCTTCTGTTATCTTAATATAGGAAAATAAATATTGTTTCAAAATTCAAGAAAATATTTCTTGTCTCAAATATTTCTTAACAGACAAGAAAAGTGGCCTTGAATTTTTGAAATATACGTTTTTCTAATTTTAAGTAAACTTTACTTTTAGCAGTGAAAAGATTACCATATCCAAAACAGACAGTTATCCTGTATATGAAGATGTCTCTCTCTGTTATAAATAAGATATATGGAAACAAGTCATGTTAAGTGAATGCGAATCGCAAGCGTTCCAGAAATTAAACGATAAAGTGCAAGGGAAGAAAATACCAAATTAATTTTAAACGAATTTTTGTCAACAGGAAAAATCAACACAACAGGGCAAAGGCACCATCTGAACATGTAGAGTATTCTCAACTATCTATGGTCTGCTACTGCTTGGCAAATTGACGCACACAAAAAGGAAATCAAAAACCGTTTCTTAGTAATAAATATTTATTTGTTTATTACAGATACATGCCACGAGTGCTGTGTGACAGAAAAGCTCAAGAGTGTCGACAGATTGCATATTATTTACAAGTTGTACTTGACAAGCAGCAGGACTCTGCCGTGATTTACTCTCTGTTCGCGGTTAACAACTGCTACAAAATTCACATAAGTTTTGGACTTACTTTTTCTTAATAACTGTTCCATCATTAACCTAGGACTTAGCTTATACAGCTACATTGCTTATGCAGCTTAGTGAAAACAATCAACAGGGTTTCCATTCTTCATGACACAATATTATAAACATGAAATAAAAAATACTTTACCAAATATTATGCGGAAAATTTGAAAATGTACATCAAACCAAATTTCAAACTCGGTAAATGTTTTCAAACTCGCATTTATGTTTGACAACGGTCAAACACAAAACGGATGATATTGATATAAGGAAAGGAGCAATGCTTACAAAAGAACTACAACATTTTAAAACGATTATAGTTTCATGCTCTTATGAGCATAACACCGATTTACATTTTGAAGTACAAAATAAATACAAGAGTTAAAAGTGTAAATGCAAGGACAAAACAAAAATATACACCTTTCAAAGGGTTTACCTTACAATTCTAATAAAATATGGAAAGGTATCTTACCGTTAAGCTACACATAACTTAAAATGTAAGTTATCCAAGTTTAAGATAGCATTCTTGCATATCTGCCACGGTAAAAACAAATTACAAATACACAATAAATACAGTAATCAGAAATAAGCACCAAAAGTTCTTAATCCTGAAAGGCACGGTGTGTTGTCCTGCGTCCCACAGGTCTCAACCAGCACCAACGTTAAACAAAAAAGGGTTCAAAACAATTATGTAGTATTTTCTCATCGAGCATTACATCCTCGTACCCCGTCAAAGCCAGTGGTTGGCTCATGGTAAAAGAAGTACAAAAAGATTCAAAAGATCGATACGAAACATACATATTTTACCCAGAGAGTTCTAGTGGACAGCCCACAAGAACTATGAACCCAATTGCTATCAACAGACATGCACTTAAGTGCACATTTCAAATATTTCAACCAAAACACAGGGATTTCAGACCATTTTGTGGATTCGTTTGTAGTGCAGATGAAAAACCTATGAATGATTAAAAACTGTAAATGGTGGAAAACCATTTTGAGTAGATGGATAAAAGATATGTGATGCGATCAAGCTAAATGAGTCATTTGTCGGGAACTTTCATTTGGAGATTCAGGCCAAAAAAGGGCCATGTCACTTCATCACATCTCTTGGTGTTCCGACTTCCATAATTTTGAACTGAAGATGGTATCAGCGTGCAGTTTTTACATCAGTAATGCTGAGATTGTGTTCTTTTCAAAACTGTAAAACAAACAAAAAGTGACCAGGATCGACAAACGACTCATTTAGCTTGATCGTATCAAATCACACGTCGTGTCACAAGCAACAGGCGCTGAATCATGATAAAGGAATGACTTGTAATTAACTTGCGAGGACTTCGTGACATCTAAAGTGAATAGAATTAAACAATACTTGCTTGTCTTTTGTGAACCCAAAGAGTAAAACATTGTTTTAATGCTCACAATCTTTTCAGAATAATCACGAATACCCTTTTTTTATAGCACACCCAAACTTAACCACAATATCACCACCTTTTCCAGGCCTTATATTTTCTTTACATGTCAACACAAGCTCAAGAGTTAGAATAAGAACACATCTTATATTTACAGTGTTACATTTTAAGACAAATTACATTTCAGTTTTGTTTTCAAAATAGCTGTATGTGATGCAGTTTCAAACACCGAGCTGAATACGTAGCAAGTCACAACACTGATGTGCTTCTAGTTGCTATACACGTACACCTTCATTTTTTTTGCTATGTACATGACAACACGAAGCAACAGTGACTAAAACTAAACTTTGGATTAGAATAATTTTATAAGCAATAAATACCATAGTATTATAATAATAAGCAAGAATGATTTGAACACAAAAGATGGCTAACTGATTGAATGTGAGCTTGACAAGCTTGAAAGCTTGACGCTAAGGAGGAACATACATGTACATGTGCAGTAAGGATAATACAAAAACTGCTGGTTATAGTAACTGTAACTGACGCCATGGTTTAGAAATTTGTTTCAAGAAGTGATATTCCACAAAGCATTTACAAATGTTGAAACGAATTTCATTCAAACAAACAAAACGCTGCATTAAAATATTTCGTTGAGGTTCTGTCCCTTCCTGCTAACAAAGGGCCGAGCATGGGTCGTCAACAAAATCAATTTTTGAAGGAAAAAAAAAAGACAAACCCACATATTTGCTCTGGCAGTTTTATTTTTTCTACCATCAAAATATGTGTAAGTTATCAAATGTGTCAACTAAAGACACTTCAAAACCACAGGTTAAAATTCAATTAATCTCTTCCTTTTCATCAGAGGCATGCTCTTTACCCACACTCCTTTGGCCTTTCCATCCCCGCTTTTCGGCCCGCTTTTTTGTTTGATTTGTGTATTACAGGTCAAATCCAGTCAGCAGTTTCTTGCAGCAGTTTTATTCATTTTCACGTGCTGTAAATCTGATGCAATTTGATTGTCTTAACAGAAGAGACATTCCGCCAAGATATTCATGCCAGGCCCCAAGACTCCTGTCTGCAACACTTTCAACTTTTTTAAAGTCATTTTTTTTTTGTAAGTTCTCTAAAGCTTACGAACCTCAATATGCCTTTTTTTTTACTTGACAAAGAGAAATGGTAATCAATACAAACATGTTTTGTTCATCTTTGATTTGTGTCAAACTCTTGGTAATGATTTGTCCCTTAATTATTTGGCCCAAGATCACAGACTGATGAAAGGATATTAAATTTCAGTGGAAAAATTGGTCCAGTCTTCAATGAATATTCTTCACTTTCATTTCTTAGAAAGAACTTAAGTACCCAATTTCACATACCTTAGCCTTGTAGCTTTTACATACATGTAACTTAAGCAATTTCATAACAACATTGTGTAGTCTTAAATTAAAGAAAAGAAAAGAAACTAAATTTAAAAAATGTAAAATAATGAGGTACTCAAGCATTAACAAAATATGCATATTAACGATTACTATAAAATGAGTACAAAAGAATACAAGACATTCTCATAAAAATCCAAAGTACCAATTCGTGTACTTATTTAAAAAATAAACAAATTCCTGATTCATAATTAAACAACTCAACCAAATTGCTCCTCAATAAATAGTACTTTTTCGTCGGAATGAATGCAATGATACTTAGATTATTAAACAAACTCAAAGCAATAATAACCTGAAGTTCTTTAAATATTATCGATGAACATAGAAAATATCAGATTTTCTTTAAAAAAGGGGGAAAATATAGGTGTAACAAAATTAGATTCTTTTAATTTTTTTTGGTGGCAGACATACAGCCAATTCAGAAATGTCCCAGATAAATCTACTAATAATCAATGCAGTGTGAACCTAATCTGGTTGACAAATGTCTCAATCGCAGAATAAATTTTGAAACACCAAATGTTATATGTTAAGGTAGTGTCAATCACCAAGCCCATAAATTCACGGAGTTGATTTTACATCGTAAAAGACATCCACCAACACCACTACAAATATTTGACATTCACAGAATATCCAGAATGACTTACAGGTGCATGAATGCGATATCTTCCACACTCCATAAGTATAAGAAAAAATCTCTTGAACTTCTCTATTTTGCAATCACCCCGCCAGAAAAATATCTTTTTCCTAAAATTGGAACTGTTTTCTCCCCACAATATTTGAACATACATCGTCGCATCAGTGCAACAAGGTCGTAACTCCGTTCTGCAACAAATTCTTATCTCGCGCGAATACGCTCCGTGCATCAAGTCATATCTTGACGTCCATTGACTTTGTGTGTACATCTGGGTTATTTTAAGTGAGATGCGACCTTTTGATATTCCCAAGAAGATACGACCTTGTTGTACGGACATGACAACATGTATCTATACTTAATTAGAAGATTCTCCATAAAGTCCTTCACACAAGTGACACTTCTAACAAGAGTAGGAAGTTTTTTCTCAATTTTTCAAGTATAACTTTTCTCATTACATCACAAAATGGCGGCTGCAACATACATCTTCATGTGCAGACCCTATAATTTGAAATGCCAACTCGCACACTTACTGATGAATCGGACAGCATATTCTCAAAACTTAGTGCAATGCATTTTAGATACAAAACTGCAGACAGACTCTTTTAATGTTGCATCTTTGTAAAAGATAGCACACAACAGATCTTTGTGAGACCTGGTGAGTTTTGGAGATATTTTGGAGGTGTATGATTTTTTATGTGTGTGATTTACTTTAAAATTCCCACTAATCCAACAAAACAATTTGTAAAGAAAGCCCACTGATTTTTCTTTTTAATTTTCTTGTAGCTTTTTTTGAAATTTTTGAAAGAAAACAAAACAAATAGCTACAATTTGTTTCCCCGCATGCTTTATGTAATACAGAGTGCAAGGTTGCCAGTGCATTATTTGGGTTTTGGGACTTAGACATTTGTACGTCAAGATGTGTAGGCCTATGTGTTGCATATTTTTGTTGGCCTTGATGTGCAATACCTTGCATGATGAGTTTTCTCATAAAATTGGTTTGAAGTTGGTATGAACCTATCCTATTCATATTCTACAAGTGTAGTATTTGAAATTTGCTGATTTGAATATGACATCAAAGAACTAAATACTATACCCAATACTGGCTCTTTTTAAGAGTGGGTTTCTTGGCTGGACAGTAGTCTATGACTTCTGGCTTGTAACTATCCCATTTAGTAAAACTGCTGTGACTTGAGCCCCCAGATTGCACCGTCCCGTTGGAGTTTACACTGGCAAATGATGACGGGTAATTGGGCGAAGGTGGTCTACCAAGCTGCGTCACGGTAACCTGTGGAACATAGGGGCCCTGAATGGGCACTGGTCGAACCATTGTGACCGGAGGTGTTCCGTTCAGGGAACCAGTGCTGTGGTGATCTGGGCAGGCACCCGAGACCTGTACAGTGGGCATCAGCCCGGTTTGCCCGGGACCGGCCTGGGCACCTGGGTACGGACCCACATCTGGTTCCGGATACGGACTCTCCCGGCCAGACACGTGCTTCTTCTCCTTGCTTCGAGACCTCCAAATTAGGACAAACAGGACAAGGATGATGATGACAATTATCACGATGATGGGAATGATGACAAATACTGGGTTGAATCCTGAAGGCTCAAACGATTTAGCAATTGGGGTGTTGCCGCTAGTTGCTGTGGATGTCGTCACCTCTTCGGTTGGTAATGGAATCTCTCCAGCGCGGTTGATGCCAAAGTTTATGGTGTTGATCCTCCGTGTGACAGGCTGAACAGTTGTTGACAACGGTGCAATCGAGGTGGTGGATACCAGTATTGGGGGTACGATCCTGACTTGGAATGTAAGAGTCGCAGGTTGTACCCTCTCCCCGCTGAGCACAAAGACAAAGCTGTCATCCAGTGTGTCGTTCACACCAAGGTTTAAGAAATCAGCAACGTATAACACCCGTGCATTGACAACGTCCGAGTATGGAAATTCTGAAATGGCAAGATTGGATGTGGAGTTCAGGATGAGACCTCGTTGCGGGGACCTGGTTATTTCAATTGCTAGACCTCCGCCGATGCTGCTCGATAGTTCACTTGCATTTAGATACTCCGTAGTCAGGGCTAAAGATTTGCCTGTCGTTATGTTCATGAGCTTCAGAGTTATGGCTGGTTTAATGGTGACAGTCAGGTTGAGATCTTCCAGTATGTTGTAATCATCAAACACGGTGAACTTAACGAGGTCCATCTCTGAGGAGAAATCAGTTTGGGAATATTGCACGCTTCCCTGATTCAGCTGTGCTTGTGAGAACGAAGAAGTGGCAACACTGTCAACAAGAATCTCTCCATATTCTGGAGCAGTGGATATGTTGTACCTGATCCTTTCACCATCATCGTTGGTCGTCACATTAAATATTGTCGACGGGATGACAGCCAACGAGTCTCCTTGAGTTAGAGTAAGGTTTCCTGTGATGGCCACATCGAGTGTCACTGGCTCAACTATAATGCTGAACTGCTTCAATTTCATGCGAGCTCCATCAGTGAGACGGAAGAGAAATCCTCCGGACACAACACCTCCATCATGAACAAATGTTACCTCTCCGTCATTGATCTGTTTCTGCGTAAACTCCTGAATGACAGTGCTCTGGTCAGAGGTGAGGACAATCTTCCCGTTTGATGGGCTACTCAGAAGCACATAGCTGATTTCATCAGGGGGATTGTCTGCATCGACAGTGTTCAAGTCATCCATTGTTAGGGTCTTGTTTGACCCCTGGGTGATGGTCATGCTCAGGGTGCGGGTGAGGACTCTGAAAGGTTGATCATTGACGGGGTCGATGGTTATCACAAATTGCCCAGTGTAAGCTACAAGCTGCTCAGTACTCCCGACAGCAGTCGCTGTGACAGTGAAATTGAAGGAATCTTGCCTTTCATCGGAGTGATCATGTATGTACTGAATGCCATCATCGACAAGGTCCTCCTGCATGAAGGTGGAAAACGCTGTGATCTCCTGGTTTGATTTCTTCAGGACCCCATGGCTCGGCAAACTGACAATGTTGTACTCAAAGACAGATTCAACCTCTCCCAAGTCCTCGGCCAGAGTTGCAATGTTCAGCTGCTTGTCTGTAATGGATGCAGTCCCTCCCTCCTGGACCTCGATGCCGAGATTCAAGATGAGAGATGGTTCCGTCGTTGGCAGTATTGTAGTCGGGATAACAGTTGTTGCCGCTGTTGTCGTCTCTTCTCTCAATCCGATGGATATTTCAAAAATTTGATCAGTCAGATTCTGAGAGAGGGGTAATACCACACTGAAAGTAAACTGGTCTTCCGTGACTGGGGAATCCAATATCTGTTTGTATGCAACAACGTTTCTGTCGATCTGCGCCTGTGTGAATGTTGAAATCTGGGCGAAACTCAGGATCTCTTCATCAATCTCATCTCGGTCCAGGATCTCAACAATGATGCCGTGCTTTGGTGCCTCGGTGATAAGGAACCTGATTGGCTGGCTCAGGTTGGTCTTGGGCTCCTCATTGGTCACAGCCTTCAGGTGCTGGGCTGTGATTGGCTCAATGGAGTTTGGTTCCACGTACAGCATGGCATGGGACTCCAGGGATACCAAGAGGGGTCGAGCTGTGATGCTGAAGATCTGCTGTACAGTGGAGTGTACGCCGTCGCTGACGGAAAAACGAAAACCACCAGTGTTCAAACCTGTGATTTAAAAAAAAAGGAAAAAAATAGAAAGGAAAACTAAATCGCTTATAAATCGAAGAACATTCACATCTGTTTGTAGTAAGGGACCAACTGAGAAAACCGAGACGGCCATTTCAGCTCATATTTGTCAATTTCTTTGTGAAAGATCTAACTCTAATGTTTGTAAGGACAGGCCAAACCGTTCCAACAAAGTTGATCCAAAAAGACCACATGTGTATAAATGCGTAGTAATTTAATTTTCATGGTTATTACTGTTCCAGGGATATGCGGACAGAAGTTGTCTTCTCAGCATGAGAATACACTCTAGAAAACCATCAGAAGTTGTGCAAACATATGCATTTTGTTGGAGCTCAAGCTCTGTTTGACATATTTACTGATGTTCAAAAATAGAGTTTATGCTGATTCAACATGACATGTTTATGAACAGGGAAAAAGTACCAGTTGTATACTTTTCCAATGAAGACCTTTATCTCTTACATGGGGTAAGAATATCTTTGTTGAATATAGTTTCGGGTACCTGAGACTGATTTAGATTTCGAGTACAAACCTGACTGAATAAAGACGATGTCACCGTTGTTTAGATCCGACTGTGTGAAGCTCATCACCTGCGTTGTCTTATCGGGAAGCTTGACCAAGTAGCCATTGGTTGGAGCAGTCAGGATGTATGTCAGGCTCTGGTCATCTGTGTCCAAGTCCATAGTACTAAGGACATCAGTGGTCACCTGAGCCTGTGTCCCGATGAATAGTGTCAGGCCATTGTTGACTGTAACTTCAGGCTTCTGGTCATTGACTGGTGTGACTGTGATGTTGATTGTGTAGGAAAGACTAGTTTTGCCAGTCTCTGAAGAGATAGCAGCGATTGTGAAGCTATCATTTAGTGTATCACTGCCGTCATGCACATAGTATATGAGCTCATTGGTGAGGTCTCTGGTGCTGAAGCTCGTCAGGCGTTCACCGGCATTCCTTGTTGTCTCCAAGAAGCCATGAATGGGCTCCTGCTGGATGGTAAAGTCAAAGTACCACTTTTGGTAGTACGGGTTGGCAACTTGGATAATCTCGTTGGTGATGGCTTTGGAGCCCCCTTCGGGCAAGAAGAAATCGGCCACTGCCAAAGGCACCACTGTGGGTGCAATCTCAACAGCAAACGTGAGGTTGGACACCTTGACAAAGCCATTGTCAACCTCAAATGAGAAACGGTCTACTCCAACTCCAGGCTCAGTCTGGACATAACGGAGGCGGTTGCGGTTGACATCAAGCTGGGTGAAGGTCTTGAGCTGCTCTTCTGCTTGTCTCCGCCCTCGTCTGGTGGGTGAGAGAGACTCATCTGATAGTTGCAGTATGCCAAACTTTGGCTGGACAGTCACAGTGAAGACAATCTCAATGGGCAGGTGGTTTGGATGAGTGATTCTCAGGTGGGACCGATCGATGATCACTGCCTGTCCTTGCTCAACCACCAGCGGCTTCAGCTGCTCCACTTCAGGGAGCTCTTGGTGGCTGGCCACATATATCCGAATGTTGAAGACTGCCTCCTTGACCATACTTCTGGCACGGATGGTGAAATTGAAGCTGTCCATCATGGCCGTGCTATTGTCATGATGGTAGACAACCCTTCCAGCTTCCAAGCCCTCCTGATTGAACATTATGGCAGGATTGCCTCTGTAGAGCAGCTGTCCATGAGAAGGCTGAGATGTTATAAGGAACTCGATCCTGTTATCTTTAATACCCAGGTTGGTCTCCGCACTGAGATTGCAAGATGTTAGGACAACTGAGGAGCCACGGGAGATCTTCAAACCAGAATTATTTAGAATGCCCACAAAAGGCTCTGATGCTTCAATGTCCAAAAAGTCAGATGCGAAGCGGCTGCGGTCATCATCAAAAACATAGAATAGCATCCGGCCAGCAAGAATATCTCCTCGTTGCCTGAAGGCAATCAAGCCATCTTTCAGTTGTCTCTGGGTAAACCGATACACGCTCGATTCATTCGCGGCATAAATGAGATCACCGACATCAGTGTTTTCTCTCTGATACTCAAGGTTGTCATCATTAAGGTTTTCATCCCGGTCTGCAGAGAGCAGATTCTGGTCAGTTAGCGGAGTCTTGCCACCCTTGACTACTTTGAAGAGACGGTTGACGACCACCTCTGGCTCATGGTCATTTTGAAGCAGGATGTTGATGTCGAAGGTACCTTCGTGGTGGAGACTCCGTTTTCTCCCTGACAGGTCGGTGTAAGATGCAGATGCTGTGAACTCAAAACTGTCAGCCTGGGTCTCCGAGTCATCATGCATGTACCGGAGGAAATCATTCATGAGGTCATAGTTCAAGAAGGTGATAACATCACTTGTGCTGACCTCAAAAGTACTAGGGTCAGTCAAAAGCAGCCTTCCATGCTCAGGAGGCTTTGTGATTGTATACGCAAAGTCAGTGATATTGTCAGCAGTCACAAAGAATTTATCTGTTGTAATAACCACTGTCCCTCCTTCAGTAACATTTAAGCCTTTGTTTGTTACTACTAAGTTTCGGACATCTGGTATGAAGGTGATGATGAATGACGTCACAGAACTCTGGGCATTTACGACTGACACTTGGAAGAGGAAGGTGTCATTAAGTGCTTCTTCTTCGGATGGATCAAGGAAGTAACTGACCATCCCAGCGGCAATGTCTTCCTGTGTGAAAGATCCTCCGATTGGAATTAAGCCAGTGGTTTGCTTGACCAGCTGACCTCTACTTGGAGGACGTATCACAGTAAAGGTCCGGGGTGATGAAAAGGTAATGGGAAGTCGCACCTCAGCAGCAAGGTTTTCCGATGTGATGACACCCTGTCTTACAACATTTAAAATTAGACCAGTGTTGTTGGTCACTTCCACAGAGGTCACTACAATTTTGACCGGAAGGACGACATCAATGCTGACATCCTCACTTGAAGCCGACAGACTTATTCTATCATTCCAAATGCTTCTCTGCTTATCGGAGACAGTGGCTACATACCGGATGATCCCATCATCTACATCAGCTTGGGTGAATTCAGTCACGTCAGCCCACCAGCTCAGCAGTTCAAGCTGCTGGAGTCTGCCAAATCGCAGGGAATCAGTTAAACGATAGCTGACTTCAAAGTGGCCTTCGGGGTCGTTAGTAGCAACGTTTAGTTCTGCTGGGGTGATCTCAACTGAAGATCCTGGGTTTAGTCTAAGTTCGGTGGCATTCAGGATGGACAGCTCCAAAGGAATAACCTCGATTCTGAAAGAGTACAGCGGGCTCTTCTCCAAGCCATCAAAGAGGCGGATTACAATTCGAGACTTTGTGCTCGGTCCTGTATGCACATATGATATTTGTTCATTGTTAATATCTTCCTGTGTGAAGGAGACAATGCTTTCTCCTGCATTGCTGACCTTTTGGAAATATCCCACATTTGCTTGCTGATTGACTATTGTGAAGAGAAGGTCACTGGGGTCATTGTCAGGGTCAATGGCCCCAAGAAAAGAACTATGTATTGGCTGGACTGACCCTTTTATCATTCGGAGCGTAGCATCATCAGCAAGCGCTATACTAGGAACATCATTTACTGGGGAAATGTTGATCCCAAGGGTAAAGTTCACCACACCTTGGAGCACTTCAGGTATTTCAACATTCCTTCCAAGAATTTCTACTTTGATGGTAAGTTCATCGTAGAAGTTTTCTGAGCCATCATGGATGTAGAAGATCTTACTTCCCATTAGATCCAGTAATGTAAACCTGCTGGAATCATCATCATGTCGAAGCACCCTGCTCTCAATGCGTCCGTGCAGAGGGGGCTTTACGATCAAGAGCACAAGCTGGGATTCTCGCAGACCATATGAACGTAATTTCAGATTCAGATGGATGTTGGACGACGAAATGACACTGCGGCCTCCCTCTTCCACAGAAATGGGAACCAGTGAGAATGTTCCTTCAGGCAACTCAGTCTGGATGTTGATGGGGATAACTGGTTCTGTCTCTGCTCTACTGGGGATGCTTGTCTCTAACAAAGGCTCATCTGTGGATGGTTGCTTGGACTCTAAGCACTCATCGGTAAGGCACTGGCACACAAAGTTTTCCGGACCAGTGTCAGTGCATGTTTCCGTCCACAAACAAGGATCAGTTGAGCATGGAAACTGGTACACACAGCCAATCTCGATACCATGAGTGACGCGCGAATCGCCGAGGGTGAACAGCTCATTGTTGACTTCAACATCTCTCATGCAGCCTTGGAATGATCCACCGCTACTGGCATGGGTTATAGACTTGAGATCGCTCCTGAAAGCCTGAGACCGAGCTTTGTGGATGACTCCTCCCACGTGAAGCATCCCTGAAAGGGCTTGTGCACTTGAGGTATCACTGAGCTTCACATTTTCAGGTTCATAGTCAATACTGATCCTCAGGTTGCCTGGGGCAATGTCTATCTTTATCCAATGCCAGTTGCCATCGTTGATTGGTACTTGAGATGTAAAGTCCACCACACCATTTCCTCGATCCATCAGTACACGTATCCTGCCATCTGCTACCTCTGCTGATACAAACTGTGTTCTGAATCCACTGCTGAACATTAGGAGTCCCAGTGGGGACGATGTCTTCAGCCAGCAGGCAAACGAACCGTGAGTGTCCATCTGCCATCGAGGATACAAGACAAAAGCTGTCTCTTTGACAAAGCTGATGGGCGAGTCTGCCGGAGCCTCAAACTCCTCGCTGCAATCCCAAGTGATGTCGTTCACCGTGCTCCGCTTGTCTGCCGCAGTGGCGTTGAACACCAGAATGTCGTTGTAGGTGATGTTTTCAATGCATCCACGGAAGAAGCGGTCGGCTGATTTCAGGTAGCTGGCCTTCTGCATGCCCGTGCCACCGACGTAGATCCCATCCTGGACGTTGAGCGTGTCAGCCTGCCCAACAACTCTCTCCTCCCGGTGGAGCACACCATCGATGTACAACTCCAGCCAGCCTCGAGCCAGCTCCACACGGATGCTGTGCCAAGTCAGGTCGTTCAGCTTCTCCTTGGGCAGGGAGCGCACCGCCAGCTCTCCCCCACCCAGGTTCACCCGGGCTTCAATGACCCCTGATCTGATCTGGATGATGCAGTAGTCGGTGTCACCCGCAGCCAGCAGCAGCAGACCCTTTGATCGGCTGGTCTTGATGACCAAATGGATACTGGTTTCCGTTGAGGCCTGGGAGAGGGGTAGGTAGACATGACTGGTGCCATAGAATGAAGCTGTAAAGAAGCAAGAATGAAATTCAGGTTTACAAAATGGGAAATCAAAGGCCAAAGAAGATGCATGCTCAAACCAAACAGATTTCTTAGAAAGCACTCTTGTTACTCATCAGGTGGTATTTTAAGAATCCAAATTTATTTATCCTTCAGTGCATGTTATTGGTTCATCATGAATACCGGTAGTTTTGCTATTCAACCCACATGCATACTGTTTGTAGTAATGCAAGGGTCAAGCAAATGCCTAACGTACTTCACTTTGTAGTAAGTTGGAAATTAAATAGCAGCAGAAGAAGGGAAAAGAGAAACAAGCAAAATCATTGACATGGCTCTTTATACTCAATTACACATGACAACATTCTAAAAATGTAATTTTGGGTTCCGCCAACAAATGATTTCAAAGTGTTTTCTCGAAAAACCAATAAGGCATTCAAAGACTTCAGAAGTCCTCGAATGAATTCCATAATCTGATTCAACACTTCTCGAAAGTGTGCAACGAAAACAAACTAACACTAACTCTAAGAGATTCTTTGAGCCACTGCATTTTACAAGTGACAGCTGCGACAGACTGAAGGACTATTACGATTCGGAAGATGTTATTCTTCAGTCAACTCAAGATCAGCCACTCGTGGGAAAACAGCCGGCACTCAAACTTGGGACATTTCAACGGCAGGGACGATATCACCATGGCGATGGTACCAAGGCCACAAAATAGATAAACTGATGTGTATCTACATTCAGCACTAGACTTGAATGAAAGAATGAATTAATGGATCTAAAGGTTTTACATTGCTGTCAGCTTTGCTGACTTAACACTAAAAATTCTGACAAGGTTTTGCGCTTACGTGAACAAGTATTATGCATGACAATGCTGACAAAACCGAGCTCGCTGCTTGAACGCTGTCATGCAAATCAATATCCGTTATGATCTTAGACTGTCAGAGTAATATGCAAAACAGTGTGTGCATAACATGTCCAACAATTGCAAGCGAGGAATAATCACTGCAGTACACCCTACTTAATATTCAACAAGATATTTACAAACTGTAAAATTAAAGAGCCCTTTGACTGAAAGCACAAACATTTGATGCAATGTCTTTATTTGTACCTACTGGTTGATAAATAAAAAAGAGAGATGTGCCTGTTCACTGACAACCTATGTATACAGAGCTTACAAAGTTTGGGTTTTTCTGCAATTTTTTCAAACCCAAATCAATCAGTAAACTCAAAACTCTATGAACGTGTAAACACGTTCTTGCCAACATGTGAACATCACACTTGAAATCTGAGTGATACACAAATGTCTATTGCAGTTGTATCAAGTACACGTACAGCCAAAATGTCCTAAGGTGTATTAAGTTTGTGCATTTGACAGTTAAATTTCCGTGTTAGGCGTTTTTTTTTTTAATCCTTTCACAAACTTGTGTGATTACGTTTGTGTAGTAAACACTTTTGCTCACTTTATGAAAATCCATCCTTGTGAAATGCGAGATTAAATTTTCTCTACGCATGTCCAGGAACCCCTTACATTTCCCAGCGGGATGGTTACCCTAGGCCGGGCCTCTTCAATTAGGCAGCCGAGTGTGAAACTATCTACTCAGCGAGGGTCACGGTTACTTGAAGGGGAAAATTGTGCCCGTCCGAGCGCCGTGGATGAGCGTTCATAGAAACGCTTTGACGTTTATCATGGGTCTCTTGCAGTATACATCCGTGCTGAATTTTTTTTTTTATTCTCTGCTAGAACTGGACAGAGAGGAAGGAGAGATGAGATTTTCGCATCAATAGGGGAGAAGTGAACCTAGGGCCCCCGATGGAAATCAATACTGCTCGATGCAATAATAGCGCCAATGCGCTGGGATGAATGTTAAAGGTCACGAGGGAGAAATAGTGAATTAATGTTTGCACGTACATGCAGTACAGCGAAATTTGATTTCTCTCTCAGCACCAGTCAATGATATTGACTTGATTGTAAAAAAGAGAGAAACCAGAAAAGGGACAAAGTTTTGCATTTCATATCAGTTCATGTGCTGTCCACATGTACATTAATGAACGTGGTCTCGAAAATAGAGGGCTTTTTTTTTAATCAAACACTTGTGTACATTATATGTACATGAGGACCAATCGTGTACACAGTTAAGGAGATAAATGCTTTCCTTTATTGGTATCTATATCATTTGTCATTCGTGTACTCAATATCTAAAGACGGGTGCTTAAAACAACTAACCTGATGAAATTTTAGCTCAGTGAATGCTGTATATTCCGAGAAAACAATATAAATACAGGATCTCGATTTCAATTTAAAAGTTGCCGAGTCATGTTTTGAATTGCGCCCGAAATCAGCATCTCAGATGCCCAGATTATCTGGGACACGTTCTCATTCGGCCGATTGCAGGTACCGGTTCGCATTGAACTGACAACTTATAGCAACCACGCTCGCATGTGTGCATTTTGTCAACGCTTAATTGCTCACACCCATTCATGGCTTGGCTGAATTAAAAACGAACTACACACTGTACTACTAACAGAAATTAACCCTCAAAATAAGTACAATATTCCAACACTGTCCGTGGGTACATGTATGGCATACATGAGATTTGCATCTTGAATGACTCCACCTGTGAATTTTGCCCAGAACCACTTGATTCATGCTTCAAGGGAATGTACATGTACATCATTGGCTTTTGCTGTAATTTTCGGAAATGAACTATTCAAGGGGTTAGTATAATAGATCAAATATTGTTACACTGACATTTGTGAGGTTTTGTGTTTGAAAAGGTTGGAAAAACCAAGAAAAACAAAAATGTTCAAGTAGTCTGGTTCCCTGACTCCACAAAAGATAAAATGAATCAATTTATAGATGATGGAAAATTGTAGGCAAGGGAACCAGTCTGGCTGGCCTGCACCTGTTCATGAACATGTAACCAATAGCAAACAAAATTTGGACTGAAAAAATGGTAAATTTGGAGCAGAAGTTGAAAAATAGTTAGGTTTTGCCAATGCTGGTCGGCCGACCACCGTTGGAAATGTATACAAAAATACCATTTTCTCGAAAATGACTTCACACCAGGTGCCATAATTTTACAAGATGCTTGAGACTGTCATTTACCAACATCCTACAAGGCTACATGTAGTAAAGGTATTTCGTAAAAACTTGGTAGTTTTATTTTTCGATGTTTGCAAATGTTGTATATTCCCTTTAACATCCATGATAGCATGAACAACCTTGCAGTATGGTTTGATCATACTGAACCAATGTTTCTAAACATACATGTACTGTAGGCCCACTCCTACTCACATTCGGCACATACCAGTTAATGTACATGTATGTGTACAGTACACGCACCTGCCCACAGTGTGTTTTCACAATTGTGTCTCCTATGCTAGAAATTGTTTATAATAAATCAACTTGAATTGGACGCTTTATTTTTACTTTAGTCATCAGAAGTAAACACAGAAATCGTATTTTGGGGTACCACTCGGAAATTTGTAAAAGTGTAGACAGATTTACATGGAGCACATTCAACAAAACAAACAGTGCAGGCACGAAAATAAGAAGAGTGACACTATGCAATATACTGTGAAAGAAAAAAAAATGATTTTGTGTCAATCTCAATCCGTTATTCAGTTGTGGAAATTAAAGGGAATGTACATCATTGGCTTTTGCTGTAATTTTCAGAAATGAACTATTTGAGAGGTTAGTATAATAGATCAAATATTATTACACTGACATTTTTTAAGTTTTGTGTTCGAAAAGGTTGGAAAAACCCAGAAAAACAAAAATGTTCAAGTAGTCTGGTTCCCTGACTCCACAAAAGATAAAATGGATCAATTTATAGATGATGGAAAATTGTAAGGCAAGGGAACCAGTCTAGCTGGCCTGCACCCGTTCATGAACATACAACCGATAGCAAACAAAATTTGGACTGAAAAGATGGTAAATTTGGAGCAGTAGTTGAAAAATAGTTAGCTTTTCCAACGCTGGTCGGCCGACCACCGTTGGAAATGTTTACAAAAATACCATTTTCTTGAAAATGACTTCACACCAGGTGCCATAATTTTACAAGATGCTTGAGACTGTCATTTACCAACATCCTAGTAAGGTATTTCGTAAAAACTTGGTAGTTTTATTTTTCGATGTTTGCAAATGTTGTATATTCCCTTTAAATAATTGCCGAAGAATAGAACAAATATGACCACTGTTTTTCCTAAAGCAAATTGAACAAAACCGCTCTTTTTAAAAAGTGTAACCTCATGCAGGCTTTGACTGTGAGGAGAGACCTCATTTCCTTTTTTTCTTTCAGTCCGCTTGATTTGTTTATAACCAAAAAAAAGGGGGATGAATTAAAAAAAAAAAAAAAAAAATGGATGTCCATGGAGCAGTCAAAAAGATACATGCAATACCCCAAGGCGACTTCCTGGGACATGGCAATAACTCAAATTTGCAGACAATTAGGGAGTGGCTGTTGTACTTTCCTTCAAGAAGATATTCTAGACAAGATGTCTCAGCTGCCTGTTCCATCTTTGGTTGTCCTTGGCCTTGCATTAAGCGAGGAAAGACTGTACCTGGCCTTTCAGTCAGGCACGATAACAAATATCAGGAAGGGGAGATTTATCTCTTGAAGCCTGAATTGAAAAAGTTCAGGTCTTTTTTTAAACCGTCATTCTGCAAGTTTATTATTTTTTTTCCCCCAAGAGATTCTGCAACTACAGGGTTGAAACAATAACGAGAGTCTCCGGCGTTTCACAATTTATGTTTTGTTTTTATTATATTTTCACAAAAATCCACTTTATGTAGCTTTTTCTTGCAATCACTATTAAGTTGAGCCACAGAAATTTTTTAGAAAATTGAAAATTTTGGTTAGAAATTACATTGTCTTTTTTTTTAAATTTAACATTTCATCTTTCAAGTTTTGAATCTTCAGTATTTGATAGTCGAATGAATAATATTCACAAATTTAAATATTTGCCAGATCATTGATTACATGTAACTGGCTGTTTTGGCAGTTTATAACTCCCCTAACATCCATTAACTTCTTTTCAGGGCACTGAACTTCTTAAAACTCCACGACAGGTGTACCGGTATGTGTATGCAAGCATGCTGTTTGTGA